CTTTTCTTTCTATACCGTTCACCCGATTCGGGTGGAGGGCGTAGAGTACTTGGGGACAACGGTGGGTTCGTGACATTGACCTCCGAGGACACCTTGGCTACGCCGGTTGGAGATGGCTTTTTCTCATCGAAGTGGGAACCTGACTCTACCCGTCACCTTGAGTTTGGAGCTGACCGCCTGGCAGGGCCTTTTGACTTTCGTCCTTGGACTTATTGCATTCATGTTGATGCCTCCTGGACCTTGTCAAACTGCCAACTGGGCAAGAGGCAAGACAGGATGGTTCACGGAGCGGTAGGTGTTGAAATCCACCAATGCTCTTGGATACCCTTCAAAGCTGATGGGATTCCAGCGATGAAACCATCATGGTCAACAGAATTATCCGCGAAGACCCCAGCAAGAGCACTATGCACAACCGACAGCCAATCACTCCGAAGTTGCTTTGGCACAGCTTGACAGATTACGATTTGTGGCCGCTGTATCTGATTGGGTTGACCTTCCAAACCCCAATGAGTGAGTCGCCCCCCTTTCCTGACAAGACTGGCACTGGACTGAGATTTTAGCGACTCCTACTCAATACTTGACCCTGTCTTTGAAACAACTGGGATTCGGCACCATCAAGACGAACTTGCTCGTGGTCCCATCCACCGTGGGCCACATCATTACGATGCTCCTCTTCACATACCTCGCCGAGGTCGTAGGTCAACTTTGGATATTCGGTCTGCTCGCGCAGTTGTGGGCCTTGCCTTTTCTCTCTTACATCTATGCCATCGACATCAACTCGATCAACAAATGGACAGCATTTGGCATCATGACTGTCCTTCTCTCGTACCCGAGTACGCACGCTATTCAGGTCGGGTGGAATTCCCGCAATTCAAACTCGGTTCGAAGCCGCACGGTCAGTGCTGCAATATACAATATGGCTTGCCAGAGCTCCGGTATCATCGCGAGCAATATCTACCGTCAAGGTAAGTTTGAGTTCGTATTCAAGGGGACCGCATTGGAAATTGCTTACTCACCCGTTTTACTAAGATGATCGACCCCGCTACCAGCGGGGAAATCGTATTCTTGTGTCCCTTTGCGTGTTAAATGTTGGCATCTACGCATTCGCCAAAGTCTACTACGTTTTGCGCAACAGGTATCGGGACAAAGTCTGGAACAGCATGACGGAGGATCAGCGTATTGCATATCTCACCGCTACGACGGATAAAGGAAATAAGCGCCTGGATTTCCGTTTCGCCAGCTGAAGACGACTTGAAAATGTAGAGCGAGAGGGTTGGTTGGCATCAAGGGACGAGGACTGGGATGCAAGAGCTGCTATGTCAAGGGGGGGCTGGGGTACAGTACACCAGTCGTTAGGCCACGCTCTTTAGAATTTTCCTCTTGATTTTAGACATTTTGCTATTCGAGTGATAAGGAACGGAACGAATGAATGAATGAACGAGTTTTGCTTGCCCAGTGGAATTTTTATCCAGGATTCGGTCCACTTACTGACCGTTCGACCGTCACCATTTGTCTGGGAGACCATTGTCAATCTTTTCTTTCGCTATTTCTCTGTTTTCACGCGAAATGATGCCACACGATACGAAGCTAGGGAAACGTGGCGCGACCGGCAGGGAGAGCCCTCTCTCCTCAGGCTGCTGGACGAAATGCCACTAACATTCCCATCTAGCGACAGATGATTCGTCGGTGCCGAACTACATGTGTACAAACCCCACAAACACCATCCCTGAAGCTTGCTCGTTTTCCACGCACATGGCTACCCTCGGGCTGTTCCGGTGATATCTTCTGCATATGTCCCCTCGTATGAAGCACGGCGAATACCCTCCCGACAACACCACATTGCGCTATCTCGATCTGATATGTCGTCTTCGTTTGATGATGACTAGTGGTGCAATATACAGTTCTGCTGACGCGATACTCAACCAGTGCTTTGTCCGAATTGGATCTGTATATGATTTCTCGAGCTATCGCGCCATGTATTCCAAAAATGATGTGAACCCCTTTCCCCCCCACCCCCGCGCGATAACGGGATATCAGTTCGCCGGATATTCGAAGTCTAGTTTCTTGTTCTGCTACGATTGGATGGCATGAGTATGAGGAATGGGGAAAGGGCTGAAGAAGTGAAATTTGAGCATGGGACTCGGTACGGTACAAGCCGATGAATGTCCTTTCGTCTGTTTGTCCCCAGTCTGCGGTTTGATATGTTTCCGTCACTCTGGACCAAGTGATAAGATGCCATTCCATAATGACAATACATCATCAAATCTCACAAGTCTGAGTACGAACTAGAGGAAAGAAAGGGAATGAGGAAGCAAGCGGCATCTCGGCATCGACGCAAAGTACCTGGCACGAAGAGACCTCATCCCTCATCTTCCCCTTCCAGATGGACCGCCTATATCAGGCGAGTCATCGCCCCAGCACATTTCTCTCCCCTCCTATTCTCCTTCTTACTCCTTGATTTCAGAAAAGCGCCCACAACGCACACGCCAAATAATCATCGCGACCATATCGACCGAGCTCTGAGCTTCGCTTGACTTGCGACCATCATGTCTCCCCCCGCAGCGGATGTTGATCTCTTCTCACACACCAGCAATGGGCCCATCCCCATCACGAAAGTCAACGCCCAAAGCCGCCTGAGAGAACCTCTGAAGTACTCCGGCTCCCTGGACCAATATCAATCCTTCGATGTCACCAAGGTCATTGGGAGGGAATTCCCGGACTTGCAACTGAGCGAGATCCTCCATGACGACGCAAAGATTCGCGATCTGGCCATTACGGGTTCGTGATGAGTGTACTGCCTCTTGATGGCTACGTTTGCGCGCCGAGGTGTTGTCATCTAGCTAATTACCGCCGGCCGGTTTCCTTCCAGTGTCTCAACGCGGCGTCGTCTTCTTCCGCAATCAGAATCTCAACATTGAAGATCAAAAGATCTTGGGGGCCAAACTTGGCGAACTCACTGGAAAACCCGCGACATCCAAGGTAGGTTATTGATTGACTTATTAATCAGTTCCCATTCTTACCCTGTGGAAACGATTGTTATCCGCTGGTGCTGACCGTTCGATTTTTTGAATTTTTTTTTTTTGAATCCAGCTTCACCGTCATGCGTTGAGTAACAGCAAGAGGGGCATTGCCGTCGATGAGAACGGAAAACTCGACGATGAAGTCTCGGTCATTTCCTCAGAGGTATGTTTTCCTGCGCTCACAAGCTGCGCTGATGAATGTACGTGTCCTATGCTGATGACATTCCGACAGCAAAACCGCAACTTCTACAAGGATCGCTTCACCGCCCACTCTAAGGTTCTCGCCAGTCAGGGCTGGCATGCCGAGTAAGTTACGTTAATTACTGTACCTAGTTGCCTAATTGATTTCTGAATCGCCCCCCTGCCTTACCAAATGCCCTGATTGACCTCTCCCCCAAAACTGACTCCATTTTCAGCATCACATTCGAACGCATCCCGTCCGACTATGCCATTCTCAAGATCATCAAGAAGCCCGAAGACGCCGGTGGCGATACCCTGTGGGCATCTGGCTACGAGCTTTACGACCGACTGTCACCCGAATTTCAGAAACTTGCTGAAAGTTTGAAGGCCACACACCACCAACCGAATTTCGTCAAAGTCGCCAAAGAATTTGGCGAGGATCTGATTGAACAGGACCGTGGCGCGCCCGAGAACACGGGCATTGATTTCAATGCCTCCCAGTAAGTGACTGTACCTAACCCAAGTGTTCTACCTGGACTTCCTGCTCTGCTGTACTTTTGTTTCTTCGCCCCAAAAAAAAACCAAACTCGGAATCAAACTCGAACCAGACCCAGGCCTGATAATCTCTCTTTTTTCTGTTTGCCTTTGTGAACATGTGTCCCTCGCTGACTGACTGCCTTCGATTGAAAACAGTCCCGTGGTCCGCACCAACCCCGTGACAGGCTGGAAAAGCCTGTTCGGCGCCGGCCACCAGATCGAGCACGGCTGGATCGACAACGTGACCCCGCGCGAGAGCGAGATCCTCAAGGCGTACTTCCTCCAACTCATCACCGACAACCACGACCTGCAGGTCCGGTTTCGCTGGAACGAGAACGACCTCGCCATCTGGGACAATCGCTCCGTCTTCCACACTGCGACGAATGACTACGAGGGCAAGAGGCAGGGGAATCGGGTCGTGTCGCTCGGTGAGAGGCCGTATTTTGATCCGAAATCTCGTTCGCGCCGACAGGCTCTTGGGATTCAGGCGTGATCCCGTCAACCTGGCTAGATAGTTCGACCACCTTGTCAGTAGGTTGACCAGATAGGTTGTAGTCGATCAATCCAACCACTGGCCACGCGCATTGGTCAACGACGCATTGATTTGGAAAAAGCTCGAAATACACATCACAGCCTGATCCCACGTTGACCTGAAACGCTGGGCCTGGAAGCCCCGCCACACCACAAATCGCCCCGTATACAATGATCAGCCCTGACCTCTCCAAAACCCATTTCCGCTTTCAGCCCTAGGCATTCGCCATTCGACCTGAGACATGACTTCCTAGATGTCGTAGGAGTGCACTGGTGAGCCGCCTACTCAAGTAAATGCACTCGGGTTCGACCGAAGCATTCACATGCAAGAGACAGGACGAATCGCGACACGTAATAAGAATTCTCGTTAGCCCATGAATTGGCCGCTCATGCATCGTTTGATCGCTCAGGTGCTGTTATTTCTTAAGAAGGAGGGGGGGGGAAGGACTTCACGAATTCCCGGGGCAATCGGTTCTCGAAGCGTCCGGCGATGGGTGAACTATTCGTTCTTTCGACATTTTGACTTCCAGGGTTTTTGGCGTTCAATGGTATGGCCATGAGAGAACGGTATGCCCAGGCAATTACCGACCTGGGACCGAGTACTGGGTACATGTTGTGAGGCCTTTTAGCGCCTTGGCACTGGAGTGCCCTACCGAGTACCCAGTACCCAGTACCCAGTACTCAGCCTTCATTTCTAGATAGTTACCTAGTTACTCAACAGCAAGCCCCACGGTACCACGGCTATCCATGGCATACAAGTGCTCTTCCCCCTCCCTGACGTTACAATGTGTTCTCTAGTCTTGCCGAAGGACCCTCAGGACGTCCGAGGGCGTGGGGAGACGACGCCAGGATAGGGTTCAAAGCTGTCAGTCATGGTAGCTGATCAGAGATTGAAATGTCATGGGTGAGTATGAATGTGGATCATAGGTGATTGGTTGGTATCTGCCTGTCGAGTGAGGAACGAATGGATATCTACCCCGTACCGCGTACAGTGCCAAGCCCATCCTGGGACATGCCTTCCGTAATATCGATATAGCGAGAACAGGTTGGGCAGAATTCTCCATTGGCTTCAAGCGGAGACCGCACTGAATAATATCCTTCAGCGTAGAATCTATTTGGTGCCTCTGGCGCGACTAAGAGGATGCTAAGAGACCCCCAGTGACCGGAATCTGATACCCCGTACCCAGTAGTCGCGTGCAAGAAGCTGTCCGGCCCCGCATTAAAATCCCAAATTTTGAGTTGTTGGCTTGCTCGTGGTGGTACCCGCACGTGCTGCATCTGGACTGGGTCCCGAAAGGCACGTCACGCCCGATGACATACATTGGTCATTCCATCTTTTCGACATCATGCGTTCGTACAGCTAGCATTGGCAAAATGACGGGAGCCCACTTCAATGGCAACCTGTGGAATCAAGCGGACTGGCGCAGTCGATGCAAATCCCTCCTGATGGTCTGGTCGGCTGTGAAGAGGATATCGTGCTCGGTTATCGATTCGTTGAAGAGATACAGGAAGCGGTCTTCCTAGCAGCTGAAGGTGAGGCTGGGCCGAGCCCGAGCCCGAGCCCGAGCCTGGTCTGAAGACACCTGAACCAAACGGCAACGTCACGGTCCCAGGAAAACGCGTCGGAAAAGCGCGGTGCGGGTGACCGAGTTTACATGGGACAAGATTGCATAATGCCTAAAATACATAGATGACAGAATTGGACGGGGCTGCGGCAACGAGGTTAAAGCTGAATAGACGCCGCGGGTAGGGCTTGCGAAACAACAGCAACGGAGAATCAAGGAATTTAGCACGGAAGGTTGCCGGAACACAGTTTTTATCGGGCTGACCGCAATAATGGATGGGCACGCGTGATACAGATAGGACACGGTTAAGTTGATGAATTGATTAATCTATTGATATCGATTGAGTCACGCGAAGACTCCTTCAAGCGACGATGCCTGCGGGCGTAATATTACAGTCTGCTGTTAGTAGCCTGGCAGCCATGCCATCGACGACCACGACGATGTACTTGGCCATGCCACGAACGGTTCCGCTTGTCAATGCACAGTCCCCATCTCGATCATAACGCATCCGCGTCGATTGTCTGCCACATCTCCCCTCGGAAGTAAACCGCTTCTTTGGTATTTTATCTAGACTTTGTGAACGCCGAGAACGATGATCCGAAGCGTTGTTTGGAGACGCGCGACGGCCGCTCCAGACGTGGCGCTTCGGCATGTAGGCGAGCAAGTTCGGTTCGTAGGAATGGTGCAAACCATCTATGCCCGACCGGCGGAGACCTGGTACACTTGGAGGAGCATGGTGGTTTCATGAGCCATATGAGCCTTGACTTGGACGTAATTGGCTTGATGGTCTGGATTAGAAGGCAGGTCCACTGCTCCAACCCTGGGACAGGCGATTGGTTGTCGGCCACCCCAAGGGCGCGTATTAATGGTCCATCATTCTATCGATGAGGCCATTCTTGACCTTCAAGATACCCTAAGATCAAGCGCCGTACTGACGGCGAAGATAGCACGGGGCGTTCTGTGACTTCCGCGACGAGCCTCGCGGCGTAGATCGATGCCAAATGCCGGGATTTGGGTTCTTCGTCATGATGCTTTGTCGTCGGGAGTCATCTTCTGGTCCGAACAACTTCTCAACTTCTGCCACCCGTCAATAGAACTCGAGAAGCTATTGGACTAGGTGCGGAGGAAAAGGTTTTCTTCCGTATACGACATAGCTATCAAAGATCAGAAACAGACAATTTCACGGTCGGGCCCAAGATGCATACAAGTGAACATTGGCATGATGTGCTGGATTAGACATTTCTTGCCTGGCCTTTGCAACAATGGCACTCAGCTCAGTTGCAGGACGACCTAGGATTTTCGTGAAACCTCGTAGGAGAAAGGAATCAAAGCCCTTGTCCATATTCGCAAGCTCAAACATTCCGATGTGTTTGAGTCGCCCGTCTTGCTCCCTAAAAGCAAATCAGTAAGTGTGGCCTGTAACAAATAGTCTGTTCGTACCATGGCCCGATGGGGATTTTAAAAATATGTTGCTGAACTTCCTCGAATCCTGCCTCCGAGAATTGATCTCTCCATTTTTCTTGCGCGTCCAGCGGCGTGCCCATTCTCTCGCCGATATCGAACATTAAGTTGGCCGATTCTGCAAGATATGACGTCTTCAGGTCTAAACTACCGTCCGTGCAACATGTCCGTGAATGGGTCATTGAAAGCTCCAGATAGCCGCCGGGTTTAAGGTTGTCGTAGGCCTGTTTGATCAGGCGCGGCCAGTCCCTGATGGATAGTAAGAGCTCTCGACCAAAAATGAAGTCAAATGAGCTCATCCCGAACAGCCAGTCATCTTCAATATCGTCGATCTCGAACTGGCAATTCGGGGGTACCCAGGTTTGCTGTACAGGAGCAAGATCTATGCCAATGACATGTGCCGAAGGGTGTCTGTCGGCCATGTCCATGGCCCAGATACCTGAACCCGTGCCGAGATCCAAGAGCTTCTGAGGCGATTCGGCGATAGGTGCCAAGTGCAATTCGTCGCCCAAAAGGAGGTTGAACTTTTTATGCTGCAAATCGTTGCGATCCTGTTCTTGGTCGTCGATCGGCATGCCTTGCATGTTCTTCCCGTAAGACGCATAAATTCGGCCATTTTCGTAGACGCCTTGACGGACGGACGTGGGCAACGACGATAAATACGATGAGCTTGACGAGCGCCCGTAGCCTTCATCCTCAAAATCGTGGTCGACTGAGATGGCATGGGTTTCGTCCCAAATTGACATGATTCCGTGGGCGATGTGGAACATGTCAACAATCAGATGGCCCAGAACCAGAGATATCAACGAGACGTCGTACGAGACATTTTTTTCCTTTCAATTGGAACCTTCGCCAAATGAGGCAGAATGCCATGTAGGAAACGAAGTCAGTAAAGTCCAATGCCCCAGGATTTATGGAGGTTATGGAGGTTATGGAAGACCATGGGGGATGGCGGTTGATGCCACGCTGCGCACCGCCCAAGTGCCAGGGTGCTCGTCACTATTGGATTACATGGATTGCGATTGTACAGTATCACAGAGTCCTGTGATGAGCTAATTGCATGGCAATGCGGAGCTAGGACAAGTGTCGCATTCTGCGCATTTCCATTTCCTCTTTGACCCAAACCCCTTGGCTCTGCGGAGTGGGGTTGGCCCCGTCACGATTGCCGGATCGGCAATAGGCTGTCCGGGAAGCTAAAAACACCCTTGTCTCTGTAGGGTTCGCAGGTCTCGCACTCCTTCTACTTCGGGATTCTACGTACCTCGTATTCCCCCTCAATTTGGGGTTCCTCGTCGGGAAGAATCATCGGAATTTGATGGTCCAAGCGCCCCGACGGATTTTGGCAACAAGATACACACCCCCCTCTGTACTTAATCTACCTAGGTCAACCCTGGTGTGCTCAACGGGAATTGGGTCTGTTCTCCACCCCGAGCGAGAGCCACCGACCACGGAGGCGGATGGATCCTCCCGACCGCTACTACCAAGATCACATTTGCGCCGGTCAACCCAAGTGGTCTTCTACCTTCCGTACCGAGATGTGCGGCATGGGCGAGCGCGTCGAACAGTGTCTCTTTACTCTCGAGAAAGTCTCCTCCGTCACGATACGCGAGTGTGGCACGGCGCTAGCTCTAGGGGGGTGGATGTAGTGGACCATGCGAGCATCGTGCAGCGGAGATGGACCGGAGTATGTTCCAAACGGCGATATATAAGGACAGCAAAGAATCTAACAATCTGGGACATCAGGATGCGCTCTAGAAAACCTGCGTCCAGCCGTTCAAGAATCGTCCTGTTGAACATTTTGTCCAGAGAAAAAAGGCATGGCTTGGAAGCCGGATTTGCTTCGTCCCAGGCATCAGTATAAATCACTCATCTTCGTGTCCTCTCCTTTTACAAACTTCAGCGGATCAGCCAAATTAACCCAGCCAAGATACGGCTCGCTGATTTCGTAGCCAATCTTTCTTTGGACGAATTCGGGGTATTGGAGTAATTGTTCTCGAGGAACTGCCAAATATTGATTCTCCTCCTAGAGACCGGTTAAAGATGTTTGCCAAAAGTATCAATTTCGGAGAGAACGGGTAGGAGGAGATCAGAGGCCCGAAAGGGTGTGCACGAACCTGACGTAGATATCCTTTGATCATGAAGTGAATATAAACCAATCTTTCCTCGTCCGTCGTCTTGTTCGCAGATCCGCCATGGTAGCAGGAAGCCAGCATCATGAAGGCGTCGCCAGCTTCCAATTCTGCGTAGACAGAGTCTTGCTCGCTGGGCGGATCTATTGTCGCCTGGAGATGGCTTCCGGGTTGGAATCGTGTGGCTCCGTTCGTCTTCGTAGTCCTGGTTCCTGCAAGAAATAGCCCGACGCTTGTGTCTCTTCCAATTTGATAATTGTTGGCTGTGACAGCTGGATTGCTCACATGATGCACCATATCATCCCGGTGAAGGGGCTGTGCCTTACCACCTGGGTGGATAGCGATCACAGCGCAAGAACTAAGCTGAGGGCGAGAAACGCATTCGTGGAGGTTGTCCCCAGTCCATGACTTAGTAGTTGTGGTGAGAAGAGTTTCATAGACACCGCGCCACAGATCGTTGGCGAGAATGTCCTTGCAAAAGGTTGGTGATCTGGCCGCAAGGCCTTGGGCTTTCCGAGTGTCCTTGGAAAAGAATTCGCCGTCATAGCCTTCATCTGCGTCAAGGTAAGGTCGAATCTCCTGTTCGAGGGCGGCAAGGGTGGATTTAGAAGCAAAGTTCCGAACGATGACCCCTCCATCACGACAAATAGCCGCAACGAGTTCCGAGGGCGATGTTGAAGAAGCATTATATTCAGACAATGTTGGCTTGGTTTTTTCCTCGGGTTTGATTTTGATGGATGACTCTGCAGTTGGGACTATTGAGTCCATAGCGGTCACAGTTGAACTCGACATTGTGTCGGTGGCTTGGGATGTAGGATTGAGGAAGCGGTCGGCACCACCTGAACAATAAGGCAAATACCTTCCCGAGGTTGATCTATGTCTAGCCACCTGTTTGGGATTCATAAGTCTCAAAAGCGGGGCCCTCGCACTCCTACTGAATTGGGCGAGGATGGTTTGGTCCTCGGATCGCAGTAATTAAGCGACCTGGGTGCCCACAGGGGCCCCATGTTTAGTCGTAACTAGTCCTTTTACCCTGCACAGGCTCTTCGGGGATGCCCGGAAGAGCGATAAACAGAAGGACGCTTCGGCCCTGCGGGGAAGCTACTGTAACAGCCAAAGCAGCCTAGCGGCGGTACCTACTTATCTATCTCCCAGACCCAGCTCATCTTGCCAACCATTTAGCCATGCCCATCCGTTCTCCCCTCAGAATACAAACTTTGATTTATCTTCCTGGCCGTTTGTCTTAGGGCCCAAAGCATTTGCGAACTCTATTATCGCATCTAGTTTCTGCTTTGTTTGCGAGGCAAGGGATCTGCCACAGGCTGGCCAACTCACCTTGACACCTTCACCACCACCATGTCGGACCAAACTTCAAATCCCCAGACATTCACCACTGGAGCAGGCGAAAAAAAGGCGACCTCCTCGGTCGCCGCCTACAGTGGTGAAGAGAGCCAGTCGAAACCAGTCATAGAGCAGCCATTCTCGTTGTTGTCACTTCTGGGCATTGCCTATAGCGTCACCAACACCGCTATTTCGCTCATCATCGGCCTGGCCAGCGGCGCCTATATGGGCGGCGCTCCTCTCTACGTATGGGGAACACTCTTGATGGGGTTCGTGGGATTTTGTGTTGCCATCAGTCTCGGAGAACTCGCGTCTGCCATGCCACACTCTGGTGGTCAGTATTTCTGGGTCGCCCAGCTTGCGCCGCCCAGGATTCGACGTCCGCTGTCGTATTTGACGGGCATACTGTCCTGGGGTGGTGCTGTCTTTACGGGAGCCTCAGGCAGTCTTACAATCCCATTGATGATTTTGGGCATGGCCAGCCTCAGGAATCCCGACTTTGAGTACAAGACGTGGATGGGCTTCGTCGGCTTCCAAATCACGACATGGGGAATATTCTGCTTCAACTTGTTTGAACGCCTGCTTCCGTACCTTGGGAAAGCCTGCCTCATCCTTCCAGTGACAACTTTCATCATCATGTTCATCTCCATCCTCGCCCGATCAGAGAAGCAGTCCGCAGAGTTTGTGTTCACGGAAATCAGGAATACGTCCGGCTGGAATGACGGGATTGCTTGGATGATCGGCATCAGCGCCATCCATTGGTGCTTTTCCTGTCTCGACTCATGCACGCACATGGCCGACGAAATCCCCAACCCGGCAAAGAACATTCCAAAAGTGCTCTTGTGGACTGTTGGCCTTGGCCTGTTGACTGGCTTCCCGTTTGCAATCGCTATCTGGTACGCCGTCAGCGACGTCGATGGTCTAGTAGCCACATTTGTTCCCCCAAGTCTTCAAGTCTTCTATCAGGCTCTACGCGGCAACACCACCGGCGCTCTCGGTATCGAGAGTTTACTGGTCATCTGCAATATTGTGGGTGTTGCTGGCATCCATACCTGGCAATCTCGCCTCGCCTGGGCCTTCAGCCGTGATCATGGTTTCCCTTTCTCACGCCATCTCGGAAGCGTCGCCAAAGCTCCATTCCGAACTCCGCTATGGGCCCATCTATGGTCTTGCATCTGGACGTCGATCCTTGGCTGCCTTTACATGGGATCTCCTCTGGCATTCAATTCCTTCGTCAGCGGTGGAATCGTCTTACAAAACATTACCTACTCCACATCAATCATCTTGCTGCTGCGCCATGGCCGATCGAAATTCGCCCATGGGTCTTTCTGGTTCCCACGCCTCGGTCTCTTTTCCAACATTGTCGTGGTAGTGTGGTCGACCGTTTCCATGGTGTTTTACTGCTTCCCTTATTACCTGCCAGTGACGGCTGTGGGGATGAACTACTTGGCGCCCGTCTTGGTTGTGATGTTCTTGTACGCCGGGGTGTATTGGTTTTTGCACGGGAAGAAGTATTATCAGCTACCACCTATGATTGCACACTCTTTGAATAACCAGTGATCAGCTAATGTATGTATGTACCAAACCGCAGATAGTGGATAGGGGTGATCGATCTCCGAGAAGGGCTCAGGGCATTCCATTTTGGATTAATTGAAGCGGAGCGGCATATCTTCTGTTGTACTGGGTACATGAGTCGTTAAACGGAGCCTTGGTGGCATCCAGGAGCGTTTTAATGTTACGAACCAATCCGTGATATACAAGCACTACTGAAACATGCACATGATCATCCGGAGCACGGAGCACAGCCAAACGGAGGAACAGCAGTTCTAGGCCACCGTTGGGGGATTGGGACAGAGGACGCAATGTAGCCAAGAGGACCAAGGGCCGTTGGCGGCAGTTCCACCTTCTTGGTACACGTGTAGTAGGCTCTTGGCCTGACACTCCGTCCTGCACCTAAGTGGAGAAAGGAAGAGAAGAGCGAGCGAGGCTGTGAGAGAGGGAGCGAGTGGGAAAGCGCCACGGCGGCACGGGTAGGCCCGTTTGAGCTCACTGCCGTTGCACTAAGCCTAAATAGCGAGGCCGGGCCCTGAGTCTAGCCCTATCTGGGGCAAGCGGGGGCCGCCTTCAGAGACTCCGGCCTCCCGGACGGGTGGAAAGTCAGCCGCGGACCCGCTTGGCGTGGGAGGTCACGAGAAGGCCCAATGAAAGCCTCAGCATTAGCCTCCTCTCTACCAACTAAGTTACAATATAAAAGTACTAGTATCTTTCTTGGTTCAGAATTCAAAACCTTCGCAGTCCTTCTACTTCGAGATTTTCCTCCCCTCAATTTTGCCTTTCTCCGATGAAACCCAATCATCCATATTTTATTTGTAACGGCCGATCCACCTGCCTGTACTCGGTTTCGGTTATACCTTTTTGCCACCCCAAGTGAGCACCCAAGACGATGGAGGCCAACAAAGCCCTGTCCACCCAGACTACGAAGATCACATTTGAATCGGTCACCGTGCTTAAAGTGGGCCATATTGCCCCAAGTGCTCTGAAGCCTCGACAAATCAAGGATCGTTCCGGATGTTTAGCCTGCAAACGGCGCCGGGTGAAATGCGACGACGCTAAGCCGACATGTAAACACTGCGAAACACGCGGAGATGTCTGTGAGCGGGCCGCTGATGTGAGCCAATGGCGGGTGTCGCTTTCTCAGCCTCGTCAGATCAACGACGGCAACGGATGCCTTGCCTGCAGACGACGCAAGGTCAAGTGTGATAAGACTCTGCCATCTTGTCACCATTGTCAAAGACGCAACGAGCCGTGCCAGAGGCCGTCACCACCAGGTGTTGTCGTGAGCGCTTTACCGCGCTTGCCGGATTCGCTGGTGGCAGAGCGAGGCATCGATTTGCCCAGCGCAGATTGGGATCTACTGAACGATTGGTGCGACCGTGTCTGTCGCATTTTGTGCAATTTTGGCAGAGATTCTAATCCACTTTCTTTTTCCATGCTCGAGACCTTGACCCGGTCCCGTGCCGCGACACATACCTTCCAAAGCTTGTCTGCAGGATATCGAGGAAATTTCAGCCTGCCGCAAGCGACCCGCTCCCTCGAAGAGCGAAGCAAAGCGCTCAAATGTTTACGGCAAGAAATCGACGAGAAAGACTGTGCCACCGAGGTGATCCTGTTTACAGTCATCATCTTAGGCCACTCGTCCGGATGGCTCAGCGACGACACGAGCGAGTTTGGTCTGGAACACCTTCTCGCGGCCAATACCATCATCAACGGCTTGCTTCGAGACTACCGGGATGACACGAAGAAGAGTGAATTGTTCTATCTTGCACTCGGTATGTTTTTGTATTGGGACATGACTTGCTCATTTCTAGCACCACTGGAACGCCTTCCCATTCGCAACCCTCTCCTAGCCAAAGTCGCAAAGCGAATGGACACCGCTGAGCGTCCTCATTCGGTTGTGGGCATTTCTAGTGAGCTGCTTCTTCTGCTCGGAAGCGTCGGAAGGTTGTGCCGGCGCGTGTGGGAAACAAATGTAAGTCATTCAACTCTCGAACGCAAATTGGAGGCACAACTTTTGCAATGGCAACCACCGCCCGAAACTCCGGAGCTGGAACATGCTATCGTTGTAGCCCGTTGTTTTCGCGCGACGGGTCTCATTATGCTCTATGGCCTCGACCAAACCACGGAACGCGAAGAATTGATGGCCATTCAAGTCAAGACCGTCATTGAGAACTTGAAGAGAATTCCAGAATCATCACCTTACTATGGATTTCAAGCATTTGTCCTCGCCGTTGTAAGCAGCGAGGTCATGGACAAAGATTCTCGAGAATTTTTCGTCCGCGAATTCCACCAATTACATAAACATAATCGGCTTCGAGCAAACTACCAGGCCCTGCAACTGGCCCAAGAAATCTGGGCGAAACAAGACTTGGGACGAAAAGTCACCTTACCTCAAATCATGGGTCAAAAGGGCTGGTCTGTTATGCTTGGCTGAGATCTGCAAGACTCAGGAAAGCGGATCTGCGCAGATCAGGCAGCCCCAGCCGCGAAACAAAGGCGCCAGCGCTTAATCTGCCGATACCTGAAAACAACTTCGAAGAGATCGAGCACATGAATGAATGATAGATTCTGGCGAGATTCCGGAATGCTAGGTCACGGTGGCCGGATCCCCCCCCCCCTGGGCCAAAAAGAAATCGGCGAACAGTGCGGAGTCACGCTCAGCAGTTGGAGTGAATTCGATGCTGTTAGATGTGAGGGTAGCAAACTATTTTACGCACAAGCAGGCTTTCGAGATCGGTGCTTCCATGCCACTGGCCCTGGAGGAAGAGGGAACAAGTCCCTGTGGAACATTGCCGGTGATCTTGTGGCAATCCTTTAGTGGATGAAAGTTTGTTATATCTTGGGGAAGTCGGCGAAAAACATGTCCTCGTTACAGATGCTTGACTTCACGGAGCAATGCATGGCGAGATTCTTGACTCAAGGCGACAAGGAGATTTTGGGGCTCGGTCAAAATCAGGATTTGGATGCACCCAGTTCGATTTATCTGTAACCCTGGGCCTCAAACTGGTAGCGTCCCTCAACCGTCTCGTGAGCGACCCAGCTAGGAGGCAAAGACTTCTGCAGCTCTTCGGTAGATATCCGTGTTGGTTTCCGCTCCGCGGGAACAGGTAGAACCCCGTGCGTTATTTGTGCTCGGATTGGCTCGCCGAATGTACCAGGCCGGAGCATTAGCAGCCGGATCTCGTTGGTCTGGCCGTGGGCTTGTCGTATATCTACGGGGCCATTTTGGGGTTGAAGCAATGGACTTGAGTTTACTAGTTGGACTAGAATCGAGCACTATTGACTGCTGCTAGTGCGAGCTCGAAGAGGTTGTCGACCACATTAGAGGTAAGATGAAAGTAAGAAAGAGAAGGATGCCGATGTTAGACGTCGTGATCCTACAGTACCTAATATCCTCTGAAAAAGGAGATAACTTGATTGACTATTATTGCATTGTACAAGAAGCAGTTGCGATACGGCCGAGATCCTAGTGACGTGGAAAGTATCTGGGTTTGACTTGGGATATTGTCACCAGTCTTGAGTTGCAGTCCGTCCGAGCTGTCGTGGCAAGTGCTGGGGGGCACACGCCGAGAATCGCAACCTTAAGGAATTGATTAGTTGCTGCGTTCTATAGAACGAGAGAAGCACAGGCGGCTATCAACATGGCGAAGCTTAAGCTCCGCAGAATTCGGAACTTTCCACCTCTGCTTTGTGGAGTGGTGAATTTATCCCTGAGCATTACCAGAGGCCCCCTGAAAAACTGTAAACCTGCGTCTCAGTATGTAAGTGACCATTACGGAGACTTGGTCAGCATCACCTCCAGAAAGAGTTCGCAACCCTTTGATATTATGGTGCGAATATGAAAGATCGCGTGAGCAGAATGCCTCCTATACAGGAACCAAGCTCGCCAGAAATTCTCCCAGGACTTCATAGAGAAGCAGCCGATAGGTATGCTTTTGAAACTTGCCTAGGTAAGACGCTGCTGAACGTCGGGTTCCCCATCGCTCTCCTTGTGGGCGATTTGATCTCGATCTTCGCGAGCCCTCGCAGTCCTTTCAAGGGCAAGGAGCACGGAGAGAATGCCTGAAGGGAGGAGAGGAAGGCGATGAGCGAGAACACAGCCGACGGTGGTCTCCAGAAGTGTGCTGGAAGCACACACGTAGAAAGCACAATAGAATGGTTGAAGATCCAAATCCATAAACCGCAGTCTAGCGTCTGGTGGAAAATTGCACACGCCTTCACACCTTCTTCATTCTCTGGTGTCATAGTCTATTGTCACTGTCACCGTCACTGTCACCTCAGTTCCACCTTGTTCTATCCTTCTATTTTCTTTGGTTGGGCGAGACAGACGGCCACCTCTGATCTATATATGTACCGAGGACCGAGTACGGTGTAATCCACCTGTCCGTATCTATCTAACCTAATCGATAGGTGTGGGTCCGTAAGGACTATCTATTTGTTCTTTATCCGTCAGAATCCAAAACATTGCTCCGTGGTTCGACGGGTGCAGCACCATTTAACAACTCTCCCTGTGCTCGCCTAAAACTGTGTATGTCAGCGCCACGACGGGGCGACCCGTTGCAAATACTTGATGAATTTCCAGAGTCCAACTGCGCTTTCAGTGTTGCCTGCAGGATCTGTGACTCTCTCCGGGAAAGCAATGCCCGCGCCATAAGCCTGTGGGACGGCGGCGTGGTTCAGAAGGATGCCGTTAATCGGATCATGGGTGATGCCGTTCAGAACCCTGCCGTCGATGGCGAGCTGCGGGATCGGGTCTCGCGTGAAGCCGATTGCTTGCACGACGTGCGTGCAGGAGGAAAGGTGAGGTTTCATCGACACATCGCGGATATCTAGGCATTCGACTTTGGTGAGCACCTTGCCCACCGGGGAGTCTGCCAGCTTCTCGTCTTCCAAATTCTCGCGTGCAAACTCGGCAGAGGCGCCCTTCAGACCCGTATTGTCTCGCAGAATCCAGCCGTCCATCTCGACGGCGTAGGTCAAACGGCCGCGGACAAACCATTTGATGTGGAGCCGAGGATGGGTCCGTGTTGCTAAGTCGTAAAGGTTCATGATTGCCACAATGGCGCTATGAGACGTGCCCACGACTCCAACGACAAGTTTTTCATCTGTCCTTGACAGGACGGTCCGAAGTTTTTGTCGATCCAAGACGGCGTCGAGGTCAAGGATGGTTGGCGAGGAATAAGGTAAAGATATCCGCGTGGGCGACGAGCCGGTGCACATGATGATGTTCCACGAGTAAAGTTTCCGGTTCGGCTCAGGGTTTCTCGAGTAGAGACGCATTGACCAAAAGGCGGGCGAAGGTTGAAAATCGGCTTCTGCCATGTTTCCAACATGTGCCTCGACATTGGGAAGTCTACGTAGGCCGTCGGTCAACATGGCGAGCATATCCGAAGCATATCGGAGACGGCAGCCTCGGCTTTGATTGAGGGCTTCGAGGGCAGTTACTGCATGTGGTTTCGGTGTTGAAGCCACAATTTGACGGAAAGGTTCGAACGCATCGGCATACTGTCGAAACAGAGATGTTTTGGTGTTGCTATGGAAGAGAGAAGACTTTAGTCAGGTGGCGAATCTTCAGAATGAGATCACGATCGTCCATACCTCGACACATCTCTATATCTCTTTGATAGCCTTCCCCCACTGAAGTCAGGATCTACCCATCCGATTCTGAAGGACCGATGGAAGTGGAGGAGCGCACCAACAGTCGCAACACCTGCCCCCCCGGCACCAACGACCACTGCGTCATAAACTTTTGTTGGCACACCTGTTGTCACGGTGTGCTAGTCGAACCAATCGTCCCAAAAACCCCAATGGAAAGGGCAAACTTCGAATTAATCTTTGGGAGCTTGTGCTGCATCAATCGGAGTTTACCGTCAATTTCCGGCAAGGTATCAACACGTTTTCGGGCAAATCCATGGGCCTGAATAATTATCCACCCGCCAGGCGTCCTACATATATGCAAAACTGGGGGAGCTGAATGATAATAGATCAGATCACAACGTCCATGAAGATTTTGAGAGCTCGCTATGTTGGTATGGATGATCTCCTGTTGGAGACGGAAGGAAAGTCTGGTGGAGGTCGAGTTGGCCTGGCGAAAAAGAAAATTGGATTTGGCTTGTCCTCAAGTCATCGAGGAAAAAGGATAAGGATATCTGCGGGTTGAAATGCTCCATCTCTTCAAAGAAAAATGTGTTGCAAGTCACTCTTCTTGAAAAACCAGACTCTTTCGGAAGGGAAAAGCGGCAGCAGTAAGCTTGTTCAGTACGCAGACTTGGTTGGAGACCATGTCATTATAGCATGACTACGTGTGCTTAGGAATATTGCACCAAACGGGCAGCACATCAGTAGGCATGTATATGGCGTCCCAGTAATATGAACTCAAAAGCCTGAGCACGGCGAAGAAACAGAAAAAGAAGCATAATAATAAGAAGAGGGGAAGCTCTACCCAGTACCCAGTACGGAGTGGGAGGGTTCCGTGACGAGGCTGTACCTCGCCAAGACCCAGCCAAGCCACGTCCTTAAATGACGTCAGTGCGGCACGCACCTCTGCCATCGACAACGGATTCGCCGTTACCCAGTACTTAGCTTTCATCAACTGCCCATATCAATTCTGCACCATCGGATTCATTTTCACGTCAAACAAGCAAGCTTCAATCGGTCGGTCATGGCGCCCTCTAGGGGGACGGTCAGGACGGCTCCAATAGCCTCAATAACAGACGAGGGCGACACTGCCGTTGAACAACAATCCAACTCGGCACTCATCTCGGCCAGGCGAAACCTGAACTACCTGATCTCGCCGACTGCGCATACCGAGAAGCCTGCTCGATTTCGAACGCGCGCACTGCTCCGCACAGTACGATATGTAGGGCAGTTCATCATCTGGCGGCTGGTACGCTGGGCAAAGTATGTTGCTGTCGGAGCTCTGGTTGCAGCGGTGGGAGCTACCGCGGTCGGAGGCATGATATCTGGGGTGGCCTGGCTGGCTGCTCCGCCAACACTGGGGGCGAGCATTGTTGCAGCAGGTGTTTGGGGAGTGGGCAGGTTTGCGGCCAGGAGGCTGCATGCGAGATGGAAGAATAGCGGAGGTGACATGGGGGAGGAAGTTAGGGAGAGAGTGATGGATCAAGCGGGAGGGATCAGGAGGGAGGGGTCATATGGGATAGATGTTGGACCGAGGGCGGTTCCTTGGTAAGGCAGCTGGTCGTACGGAGTACAGAGCACACCAAAAATACTCGGTCTTGTGCTCGCTCGAACGAACAAAGGACGAGGCTGAAGACGCGTCAAGATGTCCATGACACAGCGTCCTACACACCAACGGACAAATGTTGAGATGATGACAGGTGACCACTGGCCAGAGCACGTCAGCCTTGTACCCCATTGTCTCGTAGGGTATGTATCCAACAGTATTCCCAACAATTCGAGCGGGATATGTGGTTCACATGCACATGTTTTGGACTGGGAGATATACAGGAGTAGTCGGGAGTAGTTGGTCTCGGAGAAGAGGAGAAAAGGCTGCGAGCCAGAGCTGATACGAAATACGAAATACGGCAGCAGAAAACGAAGGGCGAGAGCCCTGAGACCCCAACCGTTTCCAAGATGTGGCACGGGTGGCCTCTTGAGCCTCGGAGGAAAACACCCGAGATCTTCAGCCCCTTTCAGCCCCCAGAGTTAACAATTCGGTTGGGCCGAATTGGAGCTTCTAGCCGCCTTCTAGCCGCCTTCTAGCGCAAGGAACCGAAGGCGATCCACCAATCAAGACGCCTCCGGCGGCAAGGCTAGTGACGTTCTTCTTCCCCAACAAAAACCAAAAACCGAAACCCCTGCGTGCGCTGTGCGTTGCCGCTTCCCAACTCCAGCCCTTTGGGAAGCGTCAGTCGACCCTCGATCACCCGTCTCGACGTCTCATGAGAAGGCAAAAAAAAAAACATAATTAGAAAACTCTGTCCATACCGATTGACGGCCACTGTCGCCCCCTGATTCGTCTGTCATGTCGGCCACGTCTCGGAGTCCGCTGACCATCTTCATCTCATCCTGAAATGTCCTTGGCTATTATCGCCTCCAGCAACTGCCTGTGCCTCTGACCGATTCCCATTCCACCGACTTCCCCACAATCGCCTCCCAACATATCTGAGAAAGGCTCAAACACACCAACACCCTTTCGGAACATCCTCACCATCCTCATAAATATAGCCTCCGCTCTTCGGTCCTGTCCTGGCCTTTCCTTTTGTTCCTTCATCCCATCTCGACTCCCTTCTACCTCTGGCATTAGTTGAATCGCTCCTGAGCTTCAGCAATGCCGTCCTCTCAACCCACCGCTGGTGACCTGGCTGTCAAGCCCGACTTTCAGTCTTCACAACCCACACCCATGGCGAAACCCTCCGAGCCCAACAGAAATGCCAAGTATGACCCCAAGAAAGTCCATATCACCGAGATGCCCATGACGAGATCCAACTGGTACAAGCATGTCAACTGGCTCAACGTCACCCTCATCGTCGGCATCCCTCTCTGGGGCTGCATCCAGGCCTTCTGGGTGCCGCTGCAGTTTAAGACCGCTGTTTGGTCAGTGCTATATTATTTCGCCACGGGCCTGGGCATCACTGCTGGATACCATCGATTATGGGCTCATACCTCGTACTCGGCCACCCTCCCCTTGAGAATCTTCCTCGCCGCAGTTGGTGGTGGTGCCGTTGAAGGCTCCATCAGATGGTGGTCACGCGACCACCGAGCACACCACCGATACACCGACACTGACAAGGACCCGTACTCTGTCCGCAAGGGCTTGCTATATTCTCACATTGGCTGGATGGTTATGAAGCAAAACCCCAAGAGAATCGGACGTACCGATATCTCGGACCTCAATGAAGACTCGATTGTGGTGTGGCAGCACAAGAACTATCTGAAGGTCGTCATCTTCATGGGTCTTCTCTTGCCCACTCTTGTTGCTGGCCTTGGCTGGGGTGATTGGTGGGGTGGCTTCATCTATGCTGGTATTCTGCGAATCTTCTTCGTTCAGCAAGCCACCTTCTGCGTCAATTCGTTGGCCCACTGGCTGGGAGATCAACCGTTCGACGACCGCAACTCTCCTCGTGATCATGTCATTACCGCCTTCGTTACTCTTGGCGAGGGCTACCACAACTTCCACCACGAGTTCCCCTCCGACTACCGCAACGCCATTGAATGGCACCAATATGATCCCACCAAGTGGTTCATCTGGACCTGTAAGCAACTCGGTCTTGCGTATGATTTGAAGCAATTCCGCAGCAACGAAATCGAGAAGGGTCGCCTCCAGCAACAGCAAAAGAAGCTTGACCAGAAGCGTGCTAAGCTCGACTGGGGTATCCCTCTTGACCAACTTCCCGTCATGGAATGGGACGAGTATGTTGACCAATGCAAGAACGGTCGTGGGCTGATTGCCGTCGCCGGTATTGTTCACGATGTGACGGATTTCATCAAGGACCATCCCGGTGGTAAGGCCATGATCGGCTCTGGCATTGGCAAGGATGCCACGGCCATGTTCAATGGCGGTGTCTACATGCACAGCAATGCCGCCCACAACTTGCTCTCGACGATGAGAGTGGGTGTCATCCGTGGTGGAGGTGAGGTTGACGTCTGGCGGAGATCTCAACTGGAGGCCAAGGGCGAGGTTAGCCGTGACTCCTCCGGCGAGAGGATCATCCGAGCCGGCTACCAACCCACCAAAGTGCTCCAGAATACGCCGACCGCAGGAGCTGCCTGAGCGCGGCGTACGTTGCATAGACATTGAAATCGGTCTTGACGAGTTAGATTATGGAAAATATTTTACCTGCAAAGCGACATGTACAGTTCAGTTCGGCGTTTCAGGGAAACGGCAAAAGGGCAATTGGGTTGGGGATTAATGACTATGGATATGGAATTCGCTGTCGAACTGGGAGTGATTGAGTGATGAGATTGAGCCTTAGACGCCACTTTTGCCATGAAGCATCCAAAAACACTCGAAATACGCCATGAAAATGTCATAGCAGTATGAAATCATATCAGAACATCTGCCTGTGTGATTCTATCATAACCCTCTCACCCCGTCCGAAGTTCTGTAGGCAGGAAGCTGGGGAGATGGTGAGCAGAGTCGGTGGACGTGCTTCTCCGCATGCCTGCGCCTGTCCCTCTCCCCTGCAAGTTCCCATATTCGTCCGAACTCCGCCTTGTGTTACGCTCTGCTGGTCGTCCTCGCAAAAGTATCCAAACGCATCCATCACCTTCTCTCCCAAGGCTGACTTGCCACGATATCCGACCATCAACCTGGTATCGCGCGATCTGTTCTCAAAGATCCTTCGGAGAGCCATGCTTCCCGGCTGTTCGTATTTCATGATTGTCCAAGTAGTTGCATTTGCTCGGTTGCCTTCGCTCTCCACATCCTCCATTCGCTCCTTTGCCGTTACCTGATCAACTGACCGTCAGTTTATTGAGACCATCATTCCAAACCACCATTTACATTCTATCTTCCTAGAATCTAGAGTATTTCACCATTCAGCCGGTCATGTCGTCCTTTCGAGAACTAGGAAACGAGAAGTTCAAAGCCGGTGAATTCAAGGAGGCCGAGCAACTCTACACCCAAGCGTACGTCTCACCTTCCTCTGGGAGAGTGCAAAGCCCTAACCTGGCAAATGAAACAGAATCGCCGAACACTCGCGCTCCGACCCCAAAGTCTTTACCAACCGAGCTCTCACCCGCATCCGTCTACAAGACTGGCCCGGCGCTGAATCCGATGCGCGCAAGGCGATCGAGCTGTATGGATCCAAGCACAAGAATGCCGCCATGAAGTCTCACTACTATTTGGCGCAAGCACTTCTCGGGCAGCGGCATGTCGGTGAAGCCCTGGAGGAAGCGAAAACCGCGTACACCATCTGTTTAGAAACACACGACAGCTCTGCGGAGCTGATTTCCAACTTCATTTTAAAAGCAAAGCAAGCACAATGGCAGGCCAAAGAGACGGCGCGGTTGAGGGAGATGAGTGAGACGTTGGCGTTGGTGGAGGATCTGCTGGATGCCCAATTGCAGCGGGATCTTGACGCCGTGGAAGAAAAGTTCAAGACAGCCCAGATCGGCGAGACAGGACGCAGAGAGGAAATCGAAGAGCTCCAGAGAGAGGCGGATGTGAGAAGAGCAAATATCAGGCGGGGATTTGAAGACAAGGGTGTGCCGGATTCAGCGGAGAGGGTAAAGCACAGACACGGAATCTCTGCATGACCATGTTGCTAACCCTGTCGTCTTGTACAGGTCGTCCCCGACTGGCTCATTGACCCCATAACCTTCGAGGTGATGCACGATCCGGTCGTAACACCCACTGGAGTCTCATACGAGCGAGTATCGCTTCTGAAACACATCAAGGCCATTGGGTGTGACCCGCTCACGAGGCAACCTCTCAAGCCGGACCAATTGATACCCAATGTTGCGTTGAAGAATGCTTGTGCAGAGTTCCTGGAGAAGAACGGGTGGGCTGCTGATTGGTAGGCATTGTGCTCTGGGTGAGATTTGGATGTCCCCTCCGCAACCTGGCTGGACGGTGGTTGTCTCCTCGAATGACTTCGTCTGGGCGGACAACATCAGTCTCGCGCAGTAGGAGATTGGATTGAATGTCAAACCAACTGCCGCTGATTGGAGACCGAGGGCAGGCGGAGCTGGAAGCCGGGGTTACTGACTACGATGTGCCAGCATGCGGCGGCGTTTGGGGTAATACTTGGATGGAATAGGAGAGGCATGGACTCAAGGTATTTCTGCCTCTTGTCTTTTTCTCGAGGAGGCGGCTTCAATGCGGCGCTTGGATCTATGCTCATGACACCCTTGACACACACGGGGTGAGATGGATACATTAATGACTGACGGAAAAGAACCTGCTGGGCAATGATCCCGATTGTGGACTCGAAGAAGCAGCAGCAGCATCAGCAATAAACTCCACTGGAAAGAAGACTAAAGGTCATGCATCAGTGATAGACAGTATGAATATGGGTGAATAGACCATTACTCCCTGGGACACATCTTCCCCGTGGAATTCGAAGACGGTAATCAACTTTGGATCCCAGATAGCCCCTTCGCCCTCTCGCCCTGTCGCCCTCAACCCCACCACTGGTCCACAGTTACAGTTGAAGAGCACCGGGGCGGCCCTCGGTCAGCGCTTGGTGATTTCCAGCATAAATCCTGTGCCCTCCCCCCCTTTCCCCCCCCCCCCCCCCAACCAAAAGCCCACCAGGCCCCAAAGAGTTGAGCGTCGGGCTCTGACGTCGTTTTTTGGTTGGGAACCCAAAAGGCACCGTCATTGTACCTGCTTGCCTGGCACCCGGGCAACAGTAGCATCTTTGTCGACGTCTCTCTACCCTTTAGTACCTAGAACTCGTTCTGATCTGCTCTAGATCGTTGCATTGAACTCGTACAGCAATCGCTCTTGGTATCTTTGTCGACTAAAAGAGAAGCATCAGAGGTCAGTTGCTATTTCTACCACCCCCTCTCCCCGTCATCACTGCGCCATTGTCACCACGCTGGGCCGAAGGAGTCCTCTTGCAAAGTGAGGAGGGTGCATCTCAACTTGAAGTTTTCGCAACATAGAGTATCCTTCCTCATAACTTCACGACTTCGACTCTCTATATCACCTCATCCTTTCCCCAATAGCCGCTATCAAAGGCACTCGACGCTAACTCTGCGCACTGAATATAGGCTTCAAGTCCAATCGTCACTCTCTCAGATCCTCTCAGATTTCTTCTACCGCTGAATCCTGCGCCTGCGACTGCTGCCCTTCGAAAAAGACACCGCGTTACAGCCTTCATTGATCAAAGATGCCTTCCGCCGAATTTCTAAAAGCCGCCGAGGAGAGCCGTCAGCTCAAGGCCAAGCCGTCCAACGATGAGTTATTGGATGTGAGTACGGCGGAAATATATTTTTCCTGTTTCCATGGCCTGGTATAGAGCCAGCAGTTCGAGGGAGGCGGCTCTGAACAGGAAATGGAAGAAGCGAACCATGGCCCCGCCAAAGAAAAGACAGGCAGGGGTGAAGGAGTCCTGCCTGCTCATTTTGGGGGTACTGGGTCGCCATGAACCACCGACAACAACTGCACAGTTATCTTCCACTTCCTGGGCACGAACTCGACATTGTTGAATTCTAAACTAATCTCTTCGCCGAATGCAGCTCTACGCACTCTTCAAAGTCGCCAATGGCGAGGACATCACCAAAGCTCCTGCCCCGGGAATGTTTGATCTGAAGGTGCGTTGCTCCGCTCTGCATCTCCGTCTCACACCTCCATCTCGCCCTTCGAGGTCTACGTTTCTTGAATGCCCGTGACGCTAACAGCGTCTCGTCTCTTGTGGATAGGGCAAAGCCAAATACAAGGCATGGCAAAAAGAGGTTGATGCTGGCACCAGCGCACAGGAAGCCGAGGCGAAATACATCAAGCTCGTCGAAAGTCTCAAGGAGAAGTATGGGTTTGATCCGAGTAAAGTGCCCGAGGCAGTTGGCTCGAATAATTAGAGGATTCTGAGAGAAGTGCGTTCGAACCAGGCATGAAATCGTTGAGGTGGAGGCGCCGATTGGGGGGTTTGTCATGGCTCCGGTCCACGCCTTTCAGACACCGCTTTCCTCTTCATGATTGCAGTGATGCTGGCTTTTGCTGCGGCCACTCGGTTATCGGATGTTTGTGGTCAGAGAAGTCAACGATCGCAAGCAACGGGCTCACGAGAATAGGAGAACAGGGGAGCATATCCACACAATATACGCAATATGTCCTATGACTCTAGTCCATCTCTGCGCCCTGTTTCTCGTCCCCTTCGTTGCCGTCATCGTCGTCTTCATCTGTGTCACTTCCGTTCTCAGTAATCTCCTGGCCCGCAAACAACATCCACTGGCCTCCCAGGACGCTCTTCCTCCACACCTTGGTGACGCCGTCACTCCCGGTGCTCATAAGGACCTGGCCCTGAGAGTCGAAGGTGAGGGACCACGCGTCCGTGTGCGCGCGGGAGAGCGCGACAGCAGAGGAGATGGTCGTCGTGTAGGCGAACGTGTAGCCCGTGCGCGCTGGATTCGCACTGCCGGGGTGGGCAGAGGAAGAAGACGGATGGGTCGCCGCGTGGCGGCTGGCGATTTGCGTCGTCAGGCTCGACTGCTGCTGGTGCGCGCTCATACTGCGCGTGGGCGTCGGGGTAGAGAGCTGCTCCGCGCCGCCGTTGCGATGGCCGTTGCCGGTCCCGCTAGCGGATTCGGTGGCGGCTCCAGGTGCAGTTCCGTCACCCTCTGCGACGCCGAGCTCAAAGACCCGCACCGCGCCGTCTTTGCCGGCCGTCGCGATGCGATCGGTGCCGCGCACGCTGAACGGCGCCCATGCCACGTCCCTGACAAGTGCAGGGTGGGTGGGCAACTTGAGGGCTTCGTAGAATATCAGCCTGTGGCTGGCATTGCCGCTGCTCGACACCCCTGTGCCGCTTCCTATCCCCATGCCTATTCCGCCCACACTCGCGTCCGCTCCCGTGCCGGAGTGTGAGGGAACGACGCTGCGGTAGATCTTGACCTCGTTCAAAGCGCAGACCACGAGGCTCAACTGGTCGCGGTCGTTGCTCACCGAGTTGATGTACGCCAACGGCGTCGGGTTCGGGTCGAAGCGGACTTTGAAGCTGGTCTCCTCGCCGCGACCGGGGACGTTACTCGGCGCACAGACGTTGAAGCAGTCCAGCAGGGTCCACTCCCTCAGATCGTCCGGGTTGGTCGGCTCGTAGACGCTCAGCAGGCCCTGGCGGTCGATCAGGGCTAGGAACGTCGACACGTGGTCCGTTGGTAGCGTCCTCACGTCCATGCTCACAAAGGGCACGCGCGGGGTCGACGGGATCGTGGCCACGCGCCGGAACCGGTGGCCCCCTCGCGGAGCTTGCGAGGGGTCTTCGCTCCACAGGTGGAATTTGAGGTCGTTGCCTATACTGGCCAGGTGCGTGCCCAGCGTTGGGTGGAGGAACTTGGCCTTTTTCTCGCGGGATTGGGTTAGAAAAGCGAGCATGAAAATCCAACCAAAACAACAGGACTGTGCTTGTCAGGATGAGAGGCAGATGATTTTATTTCCGTTGAAAATGACTTGAATGCTTCCCCAGTGCAACTTTTGCTAGAATTTGAATGGACAAGAGAAATACATCTTGACTCGTCTTTACCCAGATAGCTTGGACCGGGGACGGAACTCACATCTCTGACATCAGAATCGTGCGCCGTGAATGTATCGAGCAGCGTTCTTTCGCCCGTCCTGGGGTCCCGCTCCCAGACTTTGATCCGGTGGTCGATGGACGCCGTCAGGATGCGGGTGCCGTTGAAATTGGCGTGCAGCACTGTGACGCGGTCGTGATGGCCCGGGTCGAAGGTCGAGCTTTTGGCCATTTTTGGACAAGAGGAGATGTCAAGGACAGAGAGCTGCCACCTGGCGGCTCAAGGTAAAAGGCAAGGGCCCGGGTGAGAGTGGTGGCGGGTGTTCTTGGTAAGGTAAATGCTTCATTGCTGAGGTGGATGGAGGGATGTGAATGTGCTAGGCTAGGCCATGCTGAGACATTGTGCCCCGAGATCCTTTCCTTCTGGTAGAGATATTTCTATAGATGGCCCTGAAGTATGTATATTTGGTGACTGACAATGGGGTAGGGGTGGAAGACTGGAGCGATATAAGAAGCAGGGAGGCATTTTCACATGGATGTTGGTACTAAGTTTCATATGATGTTTGATTTACGCTGCTTCTGATTGGCGGAATGGCGGGGTGGCTGGCCGTTTCGGAATATAGTTGTTCCGAACAGTTGCTGCGAGGGTCACAGCAAACAGAGGACAGATTGTCAACCTCTATCAAGACTATCCCACAGCGTCCCGCCACTGTGCTATGAAAGAAGCTCGATGTTGGTGGCTTCGCCCATCTCATTTCTTCTCCACGTCTCACAATACTGCTATGGATCCGGTCCGCATGTCTTCGCGGTAGCACAAAGGTAGCCACCTTTCAGAAACCAACTCTGCGACTTTCCCATGCCGCAGAAAACATCATGGCCTCGTCCACTCTCAAGCCTTCAGAGAAATGGTCGCTGCTCGTGGCCGCCGGAGCTTCTCTTGCGGTAATTGCAAACACCTTTCAGGGAGACGGGGCGCCTCTCGTGGCCTCGCTCGCCTTCTCCACCTTGGCTTTCTCCATGACTTACGCTTTTGTGCGATGGTCGGGCCCCGCTTTTGTCAAGGCTGGATTAAAGGGGAGAGATATGAGCAAGATCATGCCAAAGGAGATGTGAGCATTTTTCAAGGCCGAGCACGGGTGCGAATGCTAATCTGTCTAGTCCTGAGGCCATGGGAGCAGTTGCTGCAGCGGTCTACATTTTGTCCCTCATGGCGTTCATTCCTTTCGCCTTCTACAAGGACATCGTCGCCGCTACATCCGGTGGTGGGAACAGAGATGTCGTGCTCACCATTACCGAGGTCGAGACAGGACGATTCTTGCATCGGTTTCCGCACTCGAAATTATCCTCGTATCAATCGGCACTGAATACTCTCCAAGCCACCACCATCCTCGGCATATGCGACGACCTTCTCGACCTTCGGTGGAGGCACAAATTCTTCATCCCAGCAGTGGCGTCACTCCCGCTTCTCATCGTTTACTATGTCGATTTCGGCGTCACTTCGGTGGTCGTCCCCAATTTCCTCGTCCCATACATGCCAAATCAGGCTCGCCTCGTCAATCTATCCCTTTTTTATTACCTGTATATGTCAGCTTTGTCGATATTTGCGCCGAACTCGATCAACATTCTTGCAGGCGTCAACGGGATCGAGGTTGGGCAGTCGCTGGTGATTGCGGGATTGTTGGTCCTCAATTCTGCGCTCTATCTGGTCCCGTTTCCTGGGAATCCAGTCTTAAATCACGCGTATGCCACACGTCCACATCCCGCCACCGACGGCCATCTCATGACGCTGTATATTTTACTACCATTCCTGGCCGTGTCAACAGCCCTGTACATCCACAACAGATACCCAGCTAGGGTCTTCGTTGGGGACACATATTGTTATGTTGCGGGCATGACATTCGCAGTCGTGGCAATCATGGCCCATTTCAGCAAGACGCTCCTTCTGCTCCTCATCCCACAAATTGCCAACTTCATCTACAGCACCCCGCAACTTTTCCACCTGATCCCATGTCCGCGGCATCGACTGCCCAAATTCAATGCAAGGACAGGCCTCCTCGAGCCAAGTGTGACGCCATGGCCACCAGAGAGGCCGCCCAGCAAGCCATTGACGACCATCTTCTTACTTCTAGAGAAACTGCACCTGATTCAAGTAACTGTAGACCCAAAGACGAATTGCATCTCGAGCACGTCGAATCTGACCATTATCAATCTGTGGCTGGTGTGGAGAGGCCCCATGAGAGAAGACCAGTTGACGAGGGAGCTGTTGATCATGCAGACGTGCTGTGGCTTCCTGGGCCTGTTTGTACGTCATACGATGGCGTTGCTGATTTTCAGCGCGGATAACCGAGGGAAGGTCTCCTCAGTGTAGCAGCTATGTCGTTTGGATTGCTGTACAGATCATGAATGTTCTCTTTTTATACTCCGTCTATAGAAATGCATCGAATTCGATCAGCCCTCGCAGCCTCGCAGCCTCGCAGCCTCGCAGCCTCGTGTGCAAGAAACCAATCAGGGGTTTGCCGAAGATGATCCGAATTCAGATCGTTCGTTGTTGCCTTGCAACTGAATCAGACATTCCAGCACATTGCAACTTGACATACAACAGGTTGTCGAACGGGCGTTTATATGACGCTAATATGTTTTGCATGAGGCTGAAAATTGCAAGTCTTTGAATGTCCGTGTCTCGCATCGCTTCCAGACACTCCCGATTCATTTCTCCCTCGACTTCTGCCACCGTCTCTGCTGATACCCGTTCGAGATTTCTTCCTACTCACGCCTTCAGAAGGCAGGTGTCAGAGTATTCACTGATGGCTTCAAGACCTTCGAAACGAGTCAAACTCAACTCCGGCCAAAGAGATGCTTTGTCAGCCTCACTGCAGTCGTCTCTGGACGGCATTGTCACCGACCCGGCGTCCATTCGCGCGAAGAGAGCTGCCTTTCTCGGTTCGATTTCTAGGTCAATTTCACCACCGGGAATTCAAAGGTCTGGGGAACCGCCTCCACGGCTGCGAGATGAAACCAAAGAGGATCCCGAAAAGCACGTCGCTCCCCGTTCTCCGCGGCCACAGAAACATTCTTCCAAGGCTCACCACCATGGCGAGTCAAGTAAGAGCTCAGACGCTCAGTCCGCCATCGCTGGGTCCAAGCCAGTCTCTGCAGCGAAACTCCTCCCATCGCCTTTCAGACTAACCACGATTTATGAGCTTCCATCTTCTAAGAATGTTGACACGATTTCACTTCATGACATCCTTGGAAACCCACTGATCAAAGAAACTTGGATCTTCAACTTCTGCTTCGATGTCGACTGGCTGATGACCCATTTTGATTCCGATATCCGCTCCAACGTCAAAGTGAAGGTCATTCATGGGTCATGGAAAAATGACTCCCCAAACAAAATCGCCATCGACGATGCATGTCGCAGGTGGACGAACGTTGAATCCGCCACTGCTTATTTGCCTGATCAATTTGGAACTCATCACAGCAAGATGTTCATTCTCTTCACCCACGATGACCTTGCCCAGGTTGTCATTCACACGGCGAATATGTTGGAGAAGGATTGGACGAATATGACCCAGGCGGCGTGGCTGTCTCCTATGCTCCCGCCTCTCGAGGGAAAACATGTGGAGAAACCTGGAAAGATAGGAACTGGGACAAGATTCAAGCATGATATCCTGGCCTATCTCGCAGCGTACGGGTCGAAAACGAAGGCTTTGCGGGAACAACTGACACAATTCGATTTCCGCAGCGTCCGAGGTGCACTTATAGCTTCAGTCCCATCGCGAATGAAGGAGCCGTCAACTACGCAATATAGCCAGGCCATTTGGGATCTCAAACTCTGGGGCTATCCAAGTTTATCGCGTGCGCTGCAATCGATTCTCTTGCAACAACGGCAGACCAAACTTTCGGACAAGTCAAGCGAACAATCCCCACATGTTGTTTGCCAAATTTCCTCAATTGCCACCCTTCCGCAAAGCTGGATGAATCAGTTCTTCCCAATCCTCTACTCAACCCTGCAACCCACCTCGTCCAGTTCGGCACAGAAATGGGACCCTTCGCACATCTCAATCATCTATCCAACACCCCACAACGTCGCGACATCACTCGACGGCTACGCATCTGGCGGCTCTATCCACACAAAGGCCCAGTCAGCCGTCCATCTGAAACAAATTGCCGGCCTTCGGGGTTCGCTGTACCAATGGGCCAGGGGCTCGAAGGAAGAGACAAGAGCGGGACGAGACGAGGCAGCTCCGCATATCAAGACCTACGTGTGCTTTGAAAGCAAGCCTTCGGCGATAAAGCCCGTGCCGACTGTGAAGTGGGCGTTGTTGACGAGCGCGAATCTAAGTCAACAGGCTTGGGGTGCGCTCCGTCCGAAGGACAAGGAGATCGCGGTGCAGAGTTACGAGATCGGCGTGCTGGTTTGGCCAGAGTTGTTTGCGGAGGGGTTTGACACTGAAGACGCGAGCGAGACCGACAAGCAAGATTCAGACAGAGGAGAAGACGCCGAGAACAACAATGCGTCTACTGCACGCGGGAGCAGCACTGAAAAGATAAAAATGATCCCTGTTTTCGGAAATGACACACCCGCTCCTCTGTCTCCGCCTTCGCCTTCACTGACCCCCAACAGCATCGATCATCAATCTTGCGGACCAGAAACGCTAATCGGACTGCGCATCCCCTACGACCTCCCCCTCACGCCGTACGGCAAGGATGATATGCCGTGGAGTCCACAGGGCGTGTATGAGCAGCCCGATCGATGGGGGAGACGATGGCCGAGAGATTTCTCCTGAGCTAAGCTAACATGTCCGTGTTTTCTTCACCTTGACAAGTGACGAGGTCGTTAAGCTGGACAGGACAGGGATCTCCAAAAAGAGGCGATGTGGCGGTCCGTATTGGGAAGTCCAGGTCCATTTGATTCGGATGTTACTTTTCTGAGGGAGGATACTGTCGCGTGAGCTCTGACGATGCATTATGCTGTCTTTATTCGGGGTTGATCAAGTGGGAAGGATAGGCGGCCTGGGCCTGGCTCAGGAAGGATACATGCCGAGACTAGGTATATACCTAGCTGAGATGGCCAGCAAGCCCACTGGCTTCATCTTTACCACGAGGCTATAGCGGAGGCACGGGTTTCGGTAGTACTTGGTCAGTCCACTTGCGATACGCGGGCGTCAAATCAAGGCTTCATTAAGTCGTTGCGGGACTGCTGTTTCAACTTACGTCACGTCAAGGTATATCATGTCATTCGGTCTTCTTCTTCTTCTTCTTCTATGTCGGCATTCCAGTCCACAGCACTCACTACCTCTGCCAAAGCTAGGTAGGTAAGTTAGCCATTGAAGTATGGACTGGTCACCTTCACCTTCACAGCCGTGCTATCCCTTCTCAACCGTCGTCTGGGCCCGACGGGAGTGTCTTGTCGATCTTTTGAGTGTTTCGGTGTGGAGTTTCCCTCAGTCTTGGATTTGGGCTTCGACCTCGACAGCCGCCTTGAAACAAGACCATTCTCGTCGTCGGAATCATGTCCATCGGCTCCGTCGTGCGGATCGCGTTCGCCCTCCAGAGCTGAAGCGGAAGTAGACGTAAACCTCGTTGCGGCGGCAGAGCTTGTTCTTGTTCGTCTCCATGATGGCGGTTGAGAGGCGGTCTTTGAGCTGCCTTGAACACGAGATGTGCGCTCTGAGGAAATGCGTCTTCGGGCATTCGTGGGCACGTAAGCGTCTGAGTCAGAATCATCAGAACTCCTATCCTCTTCTTCCACGTCTCCCTCGTCATTAGCATCGTCAACGCCGTGTTTTCCACCTCCGAGTTCAAACCCTTGATCGGATACATCTTCTCCTTCGACATCGCCGTCATCCTCGCTGGCCAAGGTAGATAAGTCCGAAGTCTCATGCTCGCTGTCTTCGACTTGTTCGAGAATCGACTTTCCTGGTCGCCGCCGTCGAAGTGCTGGCTTCAATGGCGAGATAGAAGCCGGTGTCGGGTACTGGTAATCGGTGGCACGCTCTTTTCCTTTGGATTTAGAGCCGCTCTGGGCAAGGAGATTCGGCTCATCGTGATGATGATGGACCACTTCGAGGTCGCTCTCAACCTGGTGCTCTTCGTCTGAATCAAGGAGAAACCCGCCTCCGCCGCCGAATTCGTCCTCAGCGGTCTTGGTTCCAGAAATTCCTTTCTGCACCGCAGGCGCATCGTTGTCACTTTCCAGCATGATCGGCTGCTCTTTACTCCTCCCTAACGTCAGTTCATCTGCAGCATTCTGATCCCCATATGTGTCCCTCACTCTCTCCCTAATCCTCAACCCAACAACAAACTTTCGCCACAGCTCCAACACCAGTGCCTCCATTTTCTTTTCCTCTTTCTTTCTCTGCTCCTCGTTGAATTTATGCCATGCCTCTATCACAGCCCGCTCATTCTCCTTGGCGACCACCACGCCGGTGCAGATGGGCACGGCGCGCTTGTTTCCGAATTCAAAGCCTGTGACTGCCTCGGCAAAGTCAATCTGTAGTTTCTTGCAGATCCGTACGGTTCCTCTTAGGGGAATATGGGCGGCACCTTTGGGCACCATCGAAGGAACAAAGCAGTCGATGTTTCCATACGCGTTCTTTGGAATCACGCCGTTCTGAATTGGCGGCGGGATAATGTACTCAGTTTGGTCCAAGCTATACAGGCCCTGCATCTGTTTTTCTCCAGTTTGACGTTCGTGTTCTTCCGCTTCTCGCTTGCGAGTCAAGGTGACCGCCCGCACAGGGACGAATTTCATTGGGGCCTCCCCTACTTTAGGCCTTCGACCTTCTTTATGCCATGACTCTGCTGTCAAGCAACGTTCGACGTCGGATCGGCGGTACACCGGTTCCTCCTTTAAACTCTCGCCTTTCCCAGAAAAGAAAGTACGGACGGGTACAGCGTTGGGGCGAAGGGCTTCTTCGCGGCGGAGGAACCGTTCGAGCACAAAATCGGCGGACGACTTGAGAGATTGCAAGGTATCGACTTCTTGGCCACCGCTGTCCTTCCTCTTCTCCGGAAGTTGGGGAACCAGGTCCGTTGCATCTTCCACGTCGTCGACGGTTCTTCTCATTAGGTCAGGCCGGACATAGCCACTCATGACGCGCTTGAACCAGTCGTAGTCCTCGTATCTCTTGATTTTGCCGTATTTATTGTATACAGGAATCTTCTCCACAGGAAAACGAAACCCCTTTGTCTTACCTGGCCAGATTCTTTTCCTCAGGTATCGCACAGTTACGTCCTTCGCTGTGCCATCCGAGGAGTATGCAATGACATAGGCCATCACAGTCTTTGTCTTCTCGGCTTTGATACCGCGTGGTTCGAAAGTTGTGAGAATTTCTGGAGTGGTGGCCACTGGAGATGCAAGAACCAGCGGGGAGACTGGGAGGACTTTGTTCGTTACTGGCGATATTGCTTCGGTCCAGTAGATGGGGAAAGGGTTGTCTCGGTCATACTTCTGTGGTCGTTTCTTGGGCATTGCGGGGGTGATGTCCACGACCGAGTCCTCTTCGCTCTCCAGCTCGGAGCTATTGCCAGATGTTTTGCGTGGCCCGCCTTTCCGTCGTGCTGGGGTTTTGGTGATCTCTGATATTGACTTGACGTCTTCCGAGCCTGAGTCGTCGGAGGACGTTTCTAAATTGACTGCGTCGCTGGGTTTCTGGGGTTGCGCTTGTTCTGCCTTCGTCCAGCCGAACCCACTGGGCTGCAGGCTTGCCACCAACCTGGCCTCGATACCCAAACCTCTCAGCAGCGCGGTAAACAATTGAGCACCCACGTCCCTTGAACCTTCAGACTTCCTCGCAAGCTCGCGAAATTCTTCGATATTTCTGACCCGCTCCCCATGCTCTTCCGGATTGTGCTCATCGTTGCGCTGCGACTGGATGATCTGTTTTAACCCCAATCTGGTGCCATAACCACGCTTCCTCAGTCCCGGGGCAGTGATAGCAAATTTCTTCTTCCAGTAAGCGGCCAGAACCCTCATTAATGAGACGAGCGGGTCACCGTTGCTCATATCGGGCTTCCCATGCTCGACGCGCTTGCTTGGCCTACCCCAGTCTCTTTCATCGCGTGGGTTGGCAGCCTTTTGCTTGCCACGTCTCTTGTCCTTCCTCTTCACAGATTCTGCTCCTGTCTCTGTCTCTGCAAGCGTCAATCCACTTGCTCTCTTCCACTTTTCGACCTCCTTCTGAATTGGAGGGGGCAATTGTTGGAGGAGGATCTGTTGAACTTCCCTGTCTGAGATCCAGCTATTCCGGACTGAGTTGTGCCAGAGAAGGAATTGCACGTGTAGCTGATGAGTGCAGATTCTGACCTGCTTCTCTCGTTTCGAGGGCCCTTTCCTCTTGTTTGCCGCCTGCGCAATCCAGTTCTCAGCTTCATTGTCCGCTTTGCGCAGGGTTATCTCAATAGGTCCGTCCGACTGCGGTTTATAAGCCGGTAGCTCCTCCTCTTGTTCGTGGCCCGCGGCGTCTTCCCATTTTATGTCTTCGTCTTCGTCTTCGTCTTCGTCCTCGTCCTTCTCGGTCCCATGAGCAGCAACAGGCGGCTTCCCGAGGTTGGATGGGACGTCTTCGAACTGCTCGCTGTCCACATCGCTGAGGGAGGACTCCGAGTCATCACCCCCAATGGAGAACGTCTTAGTTCGCTGCAGACCTGGGATATTCCTCGACTCGTCGTCCAAGACGTCTCCGAGTTTTGCCTTCTTCACAGGAGTCTGCCGGGAGGAGGCTGGTGGCGATGAAGAGAGCCTCTTTCTCGGTAAGAATGGTGGCATTGGGCTTTGCCCTGGAAGGACACTGAGCCTCAGTTCTAGGTCATGCAAGGACAACGGTCGAAGAAAATGACTCTGCGATACCCAATCTAGGCATCTGCAGCGACATGCGCAACTTTCCGAGGGCGGTAAATGGTGACGTCGCTATTACGATCTCTCGAATCTGAAGAGGGTTTAAGCGAAAAGTGATAATCCCGCGGCGCAGATGCCGCCTAGAACACCCACTGGAATTTTTTGCGGGGATCAACGATCAATTGCTGGCGGTCTTACCCAGTCCTCCGTAAATCTCGCATCCTACCAAGCATCTGCCACTCTGTCGCGCATGTTTGACATCCTCAGCCTGAAATCAATGGCCGGCAAATCACCGCCGTCGCCTGTTCACACCTACCACTGCCTATGCACAACCCTCGTTCTCGCCACCGCGCGCGACCTGAACTCCCTTCCTCGCCGCCATGAGCCTGTTCAAGATGGAGCCCTGATCCTCGCTCCACCCGTCGACATTACTAGAGCCGAGACTCTGGAGACGCAACGCTCTGAGCCTGCGAGTTCTGTGCTACTCAACGTGGCGCCAGAGCGAAAACCAGTCATGATCCGACGAGAAGACGGATTTGAGAAAAGAACGCTGCTGAAGTGTGTCAGGTGCAAGTTGGTCATCGGGTACAATCTCGACGAGGTCCACTTTGAGAAGCCAGAAGGAAATCCGAGGCCAGTGTATTTGTTGCCCGGTGGACTACTCAGCACCCAGGATATGGCAGAAGGGAAACAGCCAGAGACTCCTTCGTGGGCGGAGCAAAAATAACTGCGCGTGCAGGATTCATGTGTTTATTTGCATCTGAGATACCCTCTAGACCAATAGACTCTGCCAGAATGCGCTCGGATCTCGAGCCTGAGAAACAAGACGATTGCGTCCCGTCCACTGTTGCGCCAACCAGAAACTATGCACTGGATCCCATGTCCATAAACCATACGCTCGTGAAAGGGAGAGTGGCTAGTTGGCCAGAATCGTTCGGACGAGCTCCATGTAGTTGATCTCGCCACTGCTGGTGTCGACGGCCTTCAGCAGCTCGTCCACCTCTTCGTCGCTCATTTTCTCGCCCAGATTTGTCAGGATGTATCTCAGCTGGCCCACCCCAATGAAGCCAGTCATGTCCTTGTCAAACACCTGGAAGCCGCGACAATATTCTTCTGGTTCACCAGGGTCTCGGAAGCCGCCAGGCCGGTTGAGGACTTTGCTAAACGAGTCAAAGTCGACTGCGGCGAACATTAGCCCGTGGTAATTGATCGAGTTGCCCGTGAATTCTTACAGTCGCCACCAACTTGTTTCTCCAGGTCTCTGATTTCGGCGAGGGTGGGATTCTGCCCACAGGCGCGTAGGAGGTCGCCAAGGGATTCGAGGGCAACACGGCCATTGCCACGCTTGTCGTACAGCGAAAAGGCCTCCTTGTAGTTGGTAGACGTCTGCGCGGCAGAGGATTGAGAATTAGCCATTATGAATTAGCCTGATGGAGATGGAGATGGAGATGGAGAGAGAGACAAGTCGTCCGTGAGATGGTGTCGTGTTTTGTCTTTGTGTTGTTGTCGTGTAGTCAAGGATGCGTGTGATGCCGGGGACAGCCAACCAGAAAGTCACTGGACGAATGAGAGGAAAGAACTCACCATCTTCCCAATCCGAGTCTTGCCAAAGCGGTGCTGCTGGTAATTCCTTTCCAAAAAGTCTCGCCTACTCTTTGCTGATTGTGATTCTGTGCTTGTGTTCGAGGTGTCGAAGAGGTGGAAGACGGACAAGGTCTCTCCTGAAGCCAGATGGCGTGTGCGCTCCCTTTCTGTTGACACTAGTTCCTGCGACCCTCGAGCAGAAACCCACTTGGACGCCCGTCTCCCAGCAACAGCGCACAGGTTCACAGCCTCATTCACCGCCGCCCCGAGCCCCTCCTTGGCCTGCTTTTCGACTCCCCAGCATGAAAATCACATTTGCTATCACGATGCAGACCCTCAGGATCTTCTGCTCCTTCTTGGGCAACAGCCGGAACACGAGGCTCATCTGGTCTGGGACGCGCTCCGGGGGGCCTTTCGCCACATTCTAGATTCTTTTGGTCGTTTGGAACAACGAGAACAGGCGTCTACCGATCAGCGAACTGGCCATCAAGCTCCTCTACTATCTACAACTGCCGCGAGTTCGCCAAACTTCTATCTATCGTTTTTAACATCCTGTCCAGTGGCAAGATAGTCCTCTATCTCTTCTCCCAGACTTCACATGGCGGAATCAGACCCGTTTATTCCCTCAACCGTCAATTATCTCACAACGCCTGATTGGGTATCTCAGCTGTCCAATATCAGGCGGGGTCCATTCACCAACCGTTATGTCACGCCTTCGGACTTAACTCGCGTGGAAGGCGTCAACTGGTACAGCAACTGCTCACGCCCTCTCTGGACCTAGGACATACGCTCGACCGTCTCGGTGGTAAGACCGAATCTCGAATGACTGGCATGGGTAGATGTCGCTTACGTCGTCGTCTCCTTCTCATGGGAGACGCCTGTCCATTGCAACCTTAGCCTCTGTCCACGCAAGTGTTCGAGATTTCTCCTCCCACATGATCGTCCAAAGTCGGTATCTATGCCTCAGCCAGACCCCAAAATTTAGCCTAGGTCACAGCCCTAACCGTGCTCGGGCGGATAAACGTGGGGAGAGCGTGATATCTTCACGCTACTACGGTCCATTTGGTAGGCGAGATATCTCTTATCCCTGCCATGCGTCGAAGCCTCTTGCTCCATTTACAAGGTAGGAACTCTGCTCGCCCAGTCAGACTAATTGACCATTCCGCCATCAAGAGCTGCACCTTGTCATTAGCTCCCATGCTGTCCGCAATCGTTGATATAGAAGCGCGGTGGATGCCAGTTGGGACGGTGGCATTCGAAGCAGGCAACACTCAATACTCACTATTTCAGCGTCGTGAAGATATATCCACAGTGTCCCCAATTGCCTGGTCTCCTGGATCACTTCATCACATCAAAGTGATATAACCCTGCACCACATCACCGACTAGCACTCTCCCGGGGCTTCTCTCCCAGTAATAATGCCATCTTCCTCATCGCCCGTCGTGGAAAGACCTTCTGTGATCGCCCCGAAGCGGCAGCACTCTTCTTCCCTGTCTTCCGTGACCACTGTACGGAGCACGACTACCTCCACGGCCATGGCGAACTCATCCTCGGAAATGCACTCCATACTCACAAAACAAATGCAGGCCCGCTCCAACAATCAACAACGCTGGCAGTCCTGGCAAGCCAAACAAATTGAATGCTTCCAGGGCGCCGCGATGGTGGCAGAGAAAGATGCCAAATCGAGCAAGGGGTTCACGTCGAAGCGGCCGCATCTTCACCTGGACAGCATTTCAAGGGGCCTGAGGAGATTGCGGGGTTGAGGACGGCAAGCAAGTGAGACGGCGATTTGTCCTCACTAATCGACCTTGAACGCGGATAGGTGGCGAGTGGGCGAGCGGCGCGCAACACCTCAAGCTGCTCATGTTGTTGGAGAAGACAAATCGAAGACTTGTGGAAGTGCGGGAGTGCTTCTATCTCCGCACATCCTGCTTGCTTCCCGCCGGTTCTGGATGCTGACAAACCGATAAATCAACCGGTGGCCACGATCCCAACTCAGCCTCCAAGCATGTAACACCAATCCGAAGGAAGTCACGCGATCACGACAGCACCTGGTGTACAAGTCTTGATACACGGGAGCTCAACCCAGAGATTCTCGACACTCCGGAGAAGTCATCAAGCGACGTTGATTGATATAGCTGGTCAAGCCTGTTTTGCAACCGTGTTATCGAAACTCGTCTCGTGCATTGTTGCCAATGGTGGTCCACGTGGTTGAAAGAGCAGAGCATCTTCAATCAGTATCTCTCGGATGGCTCGCCATCTACTTCCACTTCTTTTGAGATCAGAAGTGTTGTATGGAAGTTGCAATCAAGTCCTAGATACCTGATACCGTGTTTCGAACGGGGACGGTTTGTGAGCGTCTGACTGAGTTGACCAAGGGTGTGCGGGTCCAAGCTTCAGATACCTAGTACTTTTATACCATCTGACATTTGCAATATTCAGTCCCCGCTCCTTCGAACTTGCTCTGTGCCCCATCTCGAGACCTATTGCTGCGGCGGTGGAGTGTGTCCAGGCACCCCGATAGCCAACCACGCCATCACAAGTTGGGTTGGGAGTATAACCTCTTCTGCGCGCCTGAGGACAGCGAGTGATGCGCCGCCATCAGTGGCCCTGACATAGGTAAGAAGTCGACTTGAAGTTGAGCCCATTCCGCCGGCCATGGAAAGAATATGCGAGATTATGGAGCAGTATGGGGACGATTGGCAGCAAGGAAAGAAAGGGCTCAAGGAATCGAACCCGCGTTGGCGTCGCCGGACGTGGAAGCGGGGTGCCCAATGACGATCGGTACGTGCTGAATACCTATGTACCTTGCATGGGAAAGCATTCTTGCTGATATAGGCGAGTACTCAGCGGAAAGCAGTGGACCATTCGGGTAGGAAAACTAGCGGAAGTGCAATGAGAACAGCACCGACACGGTGTATATTCCGGCTGCCATAGATGATTATCGTTGAGGAAGACAATCTGTAGCACTTCTCCTTCATGCGCGGGCATCGATTTCTCCCGCGCCGCTTTCGAGGACGGCGAACTTCTTATCCTCACTCTTGGCTGCCATTCTGTTTTTGCCATGCACGCCTTCGATCCGCGCATGGATGTGTTCCTCTGCTGTCCTTCCCTCCCCAGCATATCTCGGCACCCAGCCTTGCTTTTCCATCCCATGCATTGGGACGAGAACGGCGTTCTTGTCAGGATGCAAGAAATATGCAAACGTGTACCGATCCAGCCCGCCTTCCGCCGCGGTAGGGACGACGCGGTGCCAAGTGCTCTTCAACTTCCCTGCCGTCCAGAACTCGAGCATGTCTCCGATGTTCACGAGGATTAAGTCCGGAAGAGCAGGCGCTGGCGTCCACGTCTCGGTGTCCAGAGACAAGTCCGGCGAGGTGTACTTGGGCGGACGCACCTCAAGACCTCCAACGGTGGTTTGGAAGAGGAGGGTCAGTGTTCCCCAGTCTGTGTGAGGCGAGATGCGGAATACTGGAATCCCCTCGGACGTCTCTGACCCAGGGATGACGGGCGGGTAATGCATCAGCTCGAAATTATCGAAGTTCTCCTTCTCCGGACCATGGTATTGTGCGAACGTCGTACTGGGAAGGTCGAGCGCTAACGCGATGAGTTCAAGGAGCTGCTTGGTGAATTCGCGGACGTCTTGTTGAAAGGCGAATATCTGCTGCCGCGCTTCAGAGAGGACAGGAGGAAGACGTGCTGCGGCAGAATGCTCGGTCGTCGGCCACTTGTTGATGCTGATCGCTTCACGAGGATCTGTGAATCTGCCATCCGCCCTGTGTGACACCTTTCTGTTAAAAGGCAGGACCGCAGGGAGTAGTGATGGAGGGCCATTTGCTCAACACTCACCCATACGAGCTGGCAGGTTTGTAGCCGGCATTTTTCGAGGCAACGTAGGGTGCTTCTAACTTGGCCGAGAGCGGTTGAGCAAAGAACTGTCTTTCCTGCAACGCTTGTAAGTGTAATGCGGTGCTTGTCAAAGACTCGATCGGGGCCAGAATAGTTCAGGGGAGAGAGAGAGAGAGAGAGAGAGAGAGAGAGGAGTAAGAGCCACTGCTCCTATGTAGTGCTTGGACTACTCGGTTACTTTAGGAGATGTGATGTTCGTGGCATCTTTTCATCAAAGGCTGGCTTCATTCCAACACAGGCAAAGCCACATGAAAACCACCAAGGCTCCTCTTGAGAACAGACTCACCAGGTCAAATATCCCGCCAATTGCATCTTGAGGTATTGGGTGGTTTTTGACGTAGAAGAAGCCTGTGTGGTTAGGGAAGAGGAGATCAGCATGGCTGGCCACATGGCACCCTTGTTGTGGCCCTGCATTGGGCTCATTTTCGCTCACCCCAATCGGTGCAGGCCTTGAGCAGCTCTCTTGCCACCTGATCCGGCGACGAGGAGGCCTTGTTGAAGTCGATGATCGGGATGTTAGTGGCCATGGCCATCGGAGGTTTCCCTTTTCTGGAGGAACAAATGGGCGTATTCTAGCAGGATGCCACGATGGAACGGGTATTTGAGTAATGCCAGAGTGTAATGGACCCTGCTTCTCGAAGCTGGGTGTCTCGATTAGCGAATTCAATTCCTTGTACTCGGTAGCGCCACGCGGGTGGTTTGTGTAGGGCGAGAGGGCTGGAGGGGTACTGTAGCATCGCTAACCGATCAATTGATAGGGGCCAGAGACTCTGAGAACTGGAAGGGGAAGCGTCGTCGCCATGATCCTGTTCGGCTGGTGGCAAATTGCCGCCTAGTGTCGTGGAGTTTGTTGCAAATGATGATGGTGAAAGATAAGGTAAAGAATGCCTGCGCCTCTGGCACTCCCCCTTGTCGTAAATCCTTTTGGTCACCAAGCCTCCCTCGGCGCTGACCGAACTTCATCTCTCCTAGGCCCTTACTCGTCTCTAGCCCCTCACAAAAGCAAAGTCTAGGTACGAGGTAGGTTTCTTTGTTTCTGTCTCCCAGGAAACAGCCCGGCGAAAAGACGACAAAGCCGAGAAGTCAAGCAAACGCCCAGAAGAGCTTGAGAGGCTTCTGGAGGCTTGTTGGTCCCGCCAAGTTGTACCGTCCATCGTCATCTTCTCTCCAAGCGCCCTTCTCAAGTCCTTACGATGCAATCGAGATTGAACGCGACCCTACCTTGCTCTACTGGGTACCTAGGTCCTTGCCTCCTCGCTTTATCAAATACCACAGATGCCATGGGGGGGTGAGCTCACCCGAAGAGGCGGGAAGGATACGGTCTGACAAGGTGTCTTTGCTCTGCTGCGACAGCGAGGAATTCGTTACTCCCACGTACAATATGGACTCGAGGAGGCGTTCACTTCACACCGAGGATGCATACCTGTTCTTCGACGACGGTGCCTCCCTATCGCTGCTCGTACGAATTTATTCTGGATTGTTCAGCACCCCAATGCTGTACTGTTAGCTCCCTTCCAGGCTTCGGTTTCAGCGTCAGACAGATTGCCCGCCCAACTTGGGCTACGAGATAGCGAATAGGTCCCCCAGCGACGCCAGGAAGCGGACAACTTCCCAAAGGCAGACCTGGCCCGCGCATTGCTGCATCAGAGATGTGGCGTTGGACTCCCTTCCCAGGCTCCTGACTGGTTCACCCTTATCATCTGCTCGCCTGCCACTTCCCACTTGATCCCTCCTCCTGTGCAATCATCGGCTCTCTCCGCGTTTCTAACTCGCTAACATCTTCAAGATCATCCTTTTGTGGAGATGCAGAGTCGCATTCCACCCCCCCCCCCCCGGAACGGCACTCGCCCGTTCGACGAGACCACTCTGGTCGACGCTCAAGGGCTTAACGAAGGTAAGATACGATCAAGCTCGCGAAGCAACATTTGCTGCATTGGACGGTGCCTACCGTCGCACCCATGTGTTATCTGGCACCACTGCTATATTTAATGTCTGCTGGTCGCCCACCTGTCGCGTCTCTGACTTTGTGTGACTGTGCGCTTCTCGTTCCTTGTTCTTCATTGTGCGACGACCTTATTTCCTAGGAGACACGAAGCTACGTTGTCGTCAAAAATGGCCTCGATTGAGCCTTCTAGCTCCTCCTCAGGAGCGCCGTCAAAAGATGTCGATATCGAAAAACTTCCCGGCGTCGAGGAGAAAATCGAGCCCGACGTTCGCCGTGGCAGCGTCACTCCAACATTTGAAATCGCAAGAGCAAGACACATTCAAAACAGCATTGCACCTCTTCGCTGGTTGAGCAGAGGCGAAGAATGGCTCGACGAAAAGATGGGCGTCGAAACTCAGGGTATTGACCGCATCCCCGAAGAAGAGAAACGCCCGCCCGCCCTGATCAACACTTTCTTCATGTGGTTTTCAATGACTTGCCATGTTGGAACCCTTCCGCTTGGTGTGCTAGGCCCCGAATTTGGTTTAACCCTCGGTCAATCTGTTGCAGCTGTCGTGGTTGGCACCATCCTTGGAGCTCTTTGTACGGCATACACCGGCACTCTAGGACCCAAAACTGGACTTCGTCAAATCGCCACATCCCGATATTCTTTCGGTTTCTGGGGTGCCAAACTCTGCAGTGTCCTCAACGTGGTCGTCGGCGGCGGTTTTGCTGTTGTCAACGTGGTCATCACAGGCCAAATGCTCAGCGCCGTTTCGGACTACTCGATGACAATCGCCGTGGGTTGCGTGATCGTTGCCATAGTCTCCTACGTCGTTTCGGTCTTCGGCTTTGCAATCATCCACACTTTCGAAAAGTACAGCTGGATTGTATCCTTCATTCTCCTCTGCGTCTTGATCGGTCAGGCTGCGCCGCATGTAGGGCCTAATGCGCCTGGGTTCCCTGCCTCAAATCTAGAAATTGCGGGTTCATGGCTGAGCTTTATGGCCATCTGCTTTTCCAGCTCCTCAGGCTGGTGTTCTATCGCTGCCGACTACTACTGCCACTACCCCGCAAGCACAAAATCATGGAAGATCTTCTTCCTCACTTTGGCCGGTATCACCATTCCAACTGTCTTCGTGACTGTCATCGGTTCCTGCATTGGCAATGCTGCCATCCTGAACGCATATCCGCCCTATGCGGATGCCTACAATGGCCATGGCTTGGGTGGCTTGTTGCGCGAGATCTACCATCCATTAGGCTGGAGCAAATTCTGCTTGGTTATTCTCACTTTCAGCGTCTTGGGCAACAATATCGCCATCAACTACTCCTCTGGCCTATCCATCCAACTGCTCGGTCATTATTTCCACGCCGTCCCTAGATTTATTTGGTCCTTTTTGGTCGCTTTGGTTGTGGCTCTGCTCGCCATTGCTGGAAAGGACCATCTCTCGGCCATTGTCTCTGATTTCGTGTCTCTGCTGGGCTACTGGACAATCTCCTTCACACTTATTCTTCTGATAGAGGACCAGTGGTTCCGCAAGCGATCTGGTGAGGGATATAATCTCGAGGTTTGGGATATGCCTGATAAGCTGCCGTGGGGTGCTGCGGCTGTGTTCTCGTTACTTGCAGGTTACCTGGCCGGTGGGGTACCCGGTATGGCGCAAGTCTGGGTAAGTGACTCTCTGCTTTGTGTCCCATTTTCCCTCAATCGATTACTAACGTTCTTTTCCAGTATGTTGGCGCTATTGCGGCCAAATTTGGACCTTACGGCGGTGATGTTGGTATCTACATGTCTGGTGCCATCACCCTGCTATGCTATCCTCCATTGAGATACTGGGAGAGGAAGAAGACCGGAAGGTAAACAGCTGTTTGTGATACAGCAGCCTTCTAGAAAGGAACTTTTCGCCGCCATAACATTTTTATGTACTTCAATAGTCCCCGAAACGTATCGGTTCTCATTGGCCTAAAGCTGCCACAAAGCAGTCGGAATCACCCTTCCGCCAAAACACGATTTCATATTTCGTCTTCCTTCAATCGGTTTCTAGCCCTTTTCCACAGTTTGTGTTATATCTTGCAGCCACTACGGCGGTGTTACGAGCCCAACCCGAGACAAGGATAATGAAATAACAGTGTTCTAGGGGTTCAGCCTGTCGTCCCCCTCAGTCGACGGATCATGGCGTTGGGCAAAGTTCCAGTTCTCAAGGCTCTATGGCCAGCACACTCCACGTGGCGAACCCGGTGCTCTGGTTCCTTTCTACGTTTTCGTACTGGGTTTATGCACGAGTTACCATGTGGATTGGCCAGGTAGCGCAAAGGGCATGCGACCCTCTAGACCAGTCTTATCGATGGTTCGGGTGTTGGTCTGCTAAATCAACCAACAACATTTGACAGGGTATAGATTGCCCGATTGTTGCAACACTAGAATCAATGGTGAGGCCCTCTCTCTTGCCTCGGTCTAGAATTCTTGAAGCTGATCAAGCACGATAAGACTGTTAGCTTCTGCCGCCAGCGCTGGATCTTCTCCCTCGAACAACTGCTCATGGCTACTTCTCCGCATCTTCGAACCTCAATAGGCATGGCGCTTCCCCGTAAGCTTGCCGCCAGTGGTCACATCCTTGATAACGGATTTCTGCAATCCAGCCTCCGATAGGCATCATCGCTGTCGCCTTTGACGAGCTATGCCAGTAGTGCAGAAGTCCGAAATCAGATGTCGACCTGAGAGGCGCGCCCGTCGTATAACTACGGAGTACATATGGACGATCAACGGCAGTTCCAGGATGCAAGTCTCGGGTTTCTCTTCCTCCACCTGTCGGATTCCTCTGCACCATGGATTCCAATGTCGAGAAAGTCCCAACACAGATGGACGTCAAGGATACGTCCACCCCATCAGACCCGCCTTCCATCAAAGATGGCGTGCAAAGCAACGTTGACACCGGCGTCGTCCTCACTCACGATGAATATCACCTAGCTACTCTGGGTTATAAACAAGAGTTTATTCGATCTCTGGGCTTTTTCGAGTCATGGAGCTCGACCTTCACTAGGTTCGTGCTGAAGTGTGTAGGGATCGCAGCTCTAACATCTTTACTAGCATGAATTTCATAAGTGGTATCCCTGTCTTATTTGGGTGGGTGATGTACACGGGGGGACCTCAAGCAGCATTTGCCAATTGGACGATGGTGGGCGGCTTGTCTTGTATTGTGAGCTTAGTGATGGCAGAGCTGGCTGCCTCGCTACCCACGACGGGTGGCATCTACTTCTGGAGTTACCGCCTAGGAGGAGAAAAATACGGGCCGTTCTTAAGCTGGATGACTGCCTGGTGGAACTGGGCAGGCTGGATCAGCGTCGTCCCCGGTGTCCAACAAGGCTCTACCAACTTCTTGGTCTCGGCTTTGATGATCAAGTACCCCAACTCTGAAGTCCTCCACAAGGGCTGGTTCTTGTGGCTGCTCACAAGCATCGGCATGATCTTTGCCATGATTCCAAACATCTACAATCCGAGGCTGCTTCGGTTATACTTCCGGTTTGCTGTGGCCATCTTCTTTTCACTCTTCTTCATGTACTGGATCTGGTTCCCGATCAAGGCCTCCGAAAAGCATTTCAACAGCAGCCACGGAGCATTTGATTTGTTCTATAACGGGATCAACCTAGGAGACAAAAAAGAGGCATCTGATGCATATTGTTGGTGAGTCTAGCAGCTGGATCCCTAATTCTCCACTCGTTCTACTTGTGCTGACGTCGTGTTGAAAGGGTTATTTCCGTCCTCTTCGGAGCCTGGGTTTTCTATGGGTACGACGCATCGGCCCATTTGGCTGAAGAAACCAAACAAGCCTCAACGGTCGTCGCCAAGGGTATCTACAGTAAGTCTTCTCTCTCTCGTCATCCTGGAAGGAGTTGTTTTCGATAGCGACTGACAGATATCGGCAGCATCGACTTTCTCAGCCTGGATCTTGTCAATTCCCACCCTCATAATCATTTTATTCTGTATGCAAGACTTCGACGGCATCATCTCAGCAACCTATGCGAACAACTGGGCCGAGTATCTTGTCCAACTCATTGGTGAGAATGGCGCAGTGGCCATTCTTTCAATGCTCTGGGTGGACAGCACGTGCGCAACAGCAAGTTGCTTCATGTCGGCCCAGCGAGTCACGTATGCCATCTCACGAGACGGCGTGCTCCCGTTCAGCTTCTTCTTCAGGAAGCTCTCCAAACGCAAGATGGCGGTCAATGCTGCGCTCCTCGTGTTGGTCATGTCCGTTGCGATTACAACCGCCGTCATTGGCTCCGCCGTCGCCTTCTCAGCCATCACAGCTACGGCAACCATCGCCACAAACTTCTCGTACCTGATCCCCATCGTTGCGAGACAGACAGTGGGACGCAAGTCGTTTGTGCCGGCAAAGTGGAATTTGGGAAAGTTCTCGGCACCACTCGCCATTGTGGCCAGTGTCTACATCTTGTTCCTCTTTGTGGTCCTTCTCCTGCCGCAATTGTACCCAGTGGACGCGAACACACTGAACTATGCTCCGATTTGCATAGGCATCATCACCATCATTAGCTTGGCCGGCTGGTTTTTCCCCGTATGGGGCGCCATGCATTGGTTCCAAGGCCCGATCAAGACGATCACCGAAGAAGAGTTGAGAAATGCACGGGTCGAAGGAGGAGTGGCGACGGTTGATGAAGGAGATGCCTTGGTAAATATTGAGTATGGACATCGGCGGAAGAGTGTGTGATGGAGTTCGACATTAGCGCTGAGGCTGTAAGAACAACACAATTCGGAAAAGGCAGGCTTTGCAGGCTGTGTGGCTATTGTGAGATCTTACGCTCCTCTGAAGGGTACTCCTTCTCGATCTTAGTAATATAACAAGAATCGTTTTGAAACAACGGCGACTCGCCCACTCCTCATCTACAACTTCTGCCTCTCAATCTTCTTGCCTGCTGCTCTCAGCATATTTTCGCCATCAACTAACACACACCAGCCTTCGCCACCCACGGTGCCATCCTCAAACCCTCCCACAGCTGATTCGAAGTTCTGCTTCGCATACGTCAAGTCCTCGTCCTCGAAGCTCCCCGGCTGTAACCAGACAGCCTTCACTCCGGCGGTCTTCGCCTCCTCCAACACTTTCCTCGTGACTGCAGGCGGCGTCAGGAACGACAATGCTGTCTGAGACGGATGAGGGAGCGCTGAAACTGTCGGCACCGTGATGTATGTCTTGGACGGGAGAGATATTGACAGTCGACTTGGATTGATTGGCGTCACAGGTAACGAGTGCACATGGTACCAGCCCAATATCCTGTATCCGAACTTGCTCTTGTCCTGACTTGCACCGACGACGGCAAAGTATTGCGAAGAGAAGAACCTTTTGGCGGCGGCTTCCATTGTGAGGCTTAAGGGGGAGCGGCAGACGGCGAGGCGGTAAAATGGTCAAGAATGGTCTAGATTTTTCTGCCTCGGGCGATGAGTGATAATAATATGCCGAGTAAACCAGAGAAACCTGAAGAAAGCACGTCATACTCAGTACTGTTTGCAGCTAAACACTGGCTGATGCTTGGCCGCTCGTCCCCTAAAGAAAGAGCGTGTGTCTGACATTGACTTGCTGGGTCTGCGGAATGCTACACATGGCTGCTTTTGCTCACTTTCGCGCTTGTCATACAGAATCATCTCGTGTCTGCTCGTGTCTGCCCTCCACCGCTAGCATTGGCCTGGTTAGGGGCCCCAAGGCAAGGCAGACTCACTCACTGAGTCTAACACCACAATATGGCTGGTATGAGGTGTTTCTGTGGCTTGATCGTGGCTTGTGAGCCTCAGGCCCCCGATCCGGGACGGGAAATTTAGAGAATCCGAGCAGCAAAAGGGCCAATTGAACAGGCAGCTGGATTTCATGAGGGCCACTCTTGTCCTGTCTGTCCTACCGGGGTCGATTGGCGTGCCTGTCAAGCCCCATCTAACTTCGCAGCAGGCCCGCAACTTGGGGGGAGAGAGACTCGGCTGCGGGCTGCTGCGGGCTCCTACGGGCTGGCCGATGCAATTGAACAAAAGTGAGTCTTCTTACGAGCTGATCAAAATGCTCTCTTGCCTCCCCAACAGCAGCTTCTGCTGCCTCAGTCATGCTCGACTATTTCTCTTCCATGGGCTTACCGTCGTCTTGCCACCTCTGAGACTCCGTCTCGCCACCACGGTCGCCCTTGCAATAGCACAACCCCATTGTGCCCGTCTCCCACTACCATGGCTGAATTGGCTCTCCGCACTCGGGATCAGCCTGATATTCGGGCGCGGATCAGCATCCACGATGAGTCTCCCAATGACATCAAAGAGCTCCTGATTGCCGCCGACCAGACGCAGAGAGCTCTGCGGTCGAAGCAGTCGTGGACCCCTCCTGAAGCATTTGGATCTCTGCATCGAGCTGCGTTACGCAAAGCCAGGACGCTTCCTTATCCTTATCGACCAGGCCACTTCAACGATCTCCCCGCCTCAGACCCTCTGCCCTGTCCGCTGAATCGATCAAACAGTCTCAACTCCTTGTCAACCATACAACGAGAGACAGAAGCTGCTTCGTTAAGCCTGTACAGAGGCTCGCCTATCTCTGCAATCAGTCCTCCATGTGTCCCGCCGTCGGCGCCGTCATGGACACCCGACGTCGATTACGAACTACAAGATCCATGCCCCCCTCGGCCCCCACTGAGGGTAGAAACTCTCAGTCAGCAACGCAAATATCAGAAGCGTCTAAGGAAGCTTATGAAAAAGGAGGAGAAGGAGCAGCTCAAGGCGCAAAAGGAGGAGGAACAATTACGCCGCGCGACTCTGGCTGCTGAAGTTGCTGCTTCACGGAGGAATGCGGCATCCAGAGGAGAGGCAATCCCACTGCGCACCAAAAGCACTAGGAGCATTGCTTCACAAGTAGTCAAGAGCTTGAGCTTGAAAAGTCCATTGACCAAACTCAGTCGCCATGTCAAGAAAGACAGGTCGGACCCGCCAACATTGGATGACTTTGACAGCAAGCAAGAGTTTCGCGACTACCTCAACCCTTCCCTTCCGCCATTGGCACCTTCACCCGCGCCATCAGCCGAAATTGCTGAGCTCCCTGCCGAACTGCCGCAGTATACGCCGTTTCAAGACTCGACGAGGACTCAAAAGAATGAACCTGTTGTTCTTTTGGAAGACGCCCGTGCCGTGAAAGAAAAGGACAATTTGTCGCCCGTCGAGAATGACATTGCAAGGGCGAACAATTTTCGTCCGACACCAAGATCGATGAGGTGCGATTCATGTAAGAGCCCTATCCGTCTGCATCAGGTCTACTATCACTGCTCAATTTGCGACAATGGCGACCGCATATTGTGTTCTTCGTGTGATCAAGCTGGCTGGAGCTGTCGTCATAACCTTACGGAAAGGGTTCGCAGTGTATCTCGCCCGGTCGCTTCCCAGAAAGCGGATGTCACCAACTCGGATGGAGAGCAAAGTCGGTCAGAGGCACAACAGTATGCCACAGCCATGTGGGGGTTGAACTTGCCAAATCTCCCCGCTCACCCGAGTCGATGGACTGAGTCGCCGGCTGAAGCAACAATGTCTGCGGATAGTCCATGGGCATACAACGACATTCTAGAACAGAAGAAATTACACGATGATCAACCGCGGGGCGTACGCCCTTCTCAGAGATCTGATGATGCAAGAGAGCTTGATTTCCGTCGACGCGAACAAGACATGGTCTTCCGCGAAAAGGAGGTCACCTTACGAGAACGGGAGGCTGCTATGCGAGAGCAGCAGGCCTCGATCAGGGAGCAGGAGGCCGCTCTCCACGTGAAACAGCAGATGTTTACCCTACATGTGCAATCAGCCGTTGTAAGACGAATGTCGGAACTCTCGGCTGGAGTTGGTGCGCAGTTCCAAGATCTGTCCCAGGTAAGTGCTCCTGTTTATCCAATCCGCCTCTGCACGTCTCGCTTGCCCCTTCTTGCAGCCGGAACTTGCTCTAACGACCGGTTCCAGGATGACAAGATAAGGACTCATGCCACTAAACGCAAAGCGGGGGCCAGGCATGCAATGGTCTCTCCTTCTAATTCTACCGGCTCGAATCACAAGTCTTCACCAACGCGTACGCCGAGCGGTGGACAAGACCCAGACGAAGAGGATGAGGATGCCACAGGAGGGACACCGAAGAAGATCAAACAGGACCCCGAATCGCTGGGAACATCAGAGAAGCTATTCGCTTGTCCGTTCTCCAGGTACGACAAATCGAGATATTCGGAACAGAATACGCATGAGAAGCACTACCGGGGCTGCTCGAGTGGATATTGGCCTGACATCTCGCGCCTTAAGCAGCATCTTTACCGTGTCCATTGGCGACGGATTCATTGCATTCGTTGCTTTACGAAGTTCGACCGCAAAGACCAACTGGAGCAGCATGTCCGGGGCGCGGCGCCCTGTGCGCTTGTTGAATGCCCATTCCCAGAGAAGTTTGATGAGGTACAATACAACGAGATTCGGCGCAAGCGACCGGCCAGCACTCCGGAGCAGGTGTGGTACATGATCTATGGTATCCTGTTTCCAGGGGTACAGCAGCCGACAAGTCCATACGCCGATAATATGGACCTGCCTTCTGCACGCAGCCCAAGACCAGCTGAAACTCAGGACACAATGGATGTGCTTGGAGCAGTCTTCGAATCCCGCTTGGATCAGCTCACGGATGCTCCAGGTCAGGGTTGGCTTCGGTCCGCGGAAGTGCGCCAACTTATTCGTGAGCAGCTGAGAGCATCCATGACCGACGTTCTCCAGCGATTGAGACCTGTCAACAGTCCATCTCTTGGGAACCCGTCTGTCGAAGTGTCGCCCTTTTCAGCCCAACCGCCGGATTCAGCCCGACGCAGCTCAATATCTCTGACCCCTGCGTCCTCCATCCCGCCTTCGCCTGTCCATGATCCTGGTTCCGCGAGCAGGAATGGGGTCGACTCACACTTTCTTTTGCCTGGTCATCGCCAAAGCTTCAGCCGTCCATTCCCGGCTAGGATGGCACCAAAGCTTAATGCACCACAACCTGCTCAGAACGCTCAAAATGTGGAAGAGTCATCCTCCGGGGTGACCTTTCCTGTTCCTCTGGTAGTTGATCCAGAGAATGACCAGTATGATGAGGAGTGCAACAGCTGGAGCCACGGAGACGAGCTCGGACTTGCCATTTCGACAAATGCAATGGCGGGCGAATTCGACTTTGACTTTGCCTCTGCGTTCGAGGAGCTGAACAAGATGCAGTGTGTCTCAATGCCACTGCCGGGCTCCGAATTCAATCCGGTTAAACTGTCCAGCTTGAATGAATCTTCTGGGGAAGCGTCGACAGGAACCTCTCACCTAAAACCCAAGCATTCCACAACGTCGTCCGTCGACTCTGGTTACGGCAGTCTCGGTCACGCCTCGTCTTCGGCATCAGCGTCCTCTTCGACGACCGCATCTAGGACACCGACAAAATCCAAATCAGCACACAAAGCTGGGAAAAACAAAGGCAAACGGAAAGCACCGGGGTTCACTAAAGAAACAAGTCCTGTGCCGGAGTCGGCGATCAATTTTGATGCTTTGAATACTCCATTCCAAGACTTCTCGGGTGCCAATTTGGATCTTGAGGATGCGATAGGTGAGTTTACATTCGGAATAGGAATGGGCGATGGAAATGTGGGTGAGATGAATCACCGTCCTTATTTGGATACGTCGTACCACCGCGATTTTCAGGAAGCCGGGTGAGATATGTACCGAGTATGCTATGACTATTGGTATTTTCAACGGCTCTCTTGTACTGTTAGAGTTTAGGGGTATTATTGTTCGGTGTTGTGATGCTATCATAGTCACTGGTTTGTCACCGCCAGGCTACGATGATGGGTATGACTTGGAAACGGAAAATATGGTCGCTGAAGGGGGGAAACATTTCTCTGCTGGGATTGTTAAGCACAATCTGTATCTTGATTAAGGGGGACAAATTCGATTCTGTCCGACATAACCTATTTTCTCTTCGTCAGACCCCCTTCTTATTCCCTTCTCTTGCTTCTCTTCCCTTTGCCAAGCTTGTCGGCTATTGCTTTTCTATTGCCGCTGCCGGAAAATCTTGGAAGTATCAACTTCACCTTATGCACGCAGTGCCGTTATGTGCTCAGATCTCCACGCTACAACGCTATTTCGAGGCCGTTGATGGACATTTCACAAGAAAAGAGGACCCGGGCGTTTGATCCCAAGTTCTATGCCGATTCCAAGCCTCTATCGTGCTTGTTACGCACGGACCTCAAATCCGTTTCGCCTTTTTTGGCATCATAGACAGATTTACATCATAACAATACGGGTGCTGAGCACAATAGGTAGGTGAGGCTGCAGGCGAGGAGTGTTCCGAAGTAAACTGCCTTTCTCACAGATTCTTCCTTTTCTTGTTCATAAATAATAGGTCTACGGTCTTCAAATTCTCTTCTTCTAACAAGTCCGGCGCCGTTCGGTCTCCCCGCCTCCGCAGACATGGTCGACTCGGTGATCCAGCTGAAATGCGACCGCAACAACTACCCCTGGGGTAGGAAAGGCCACGAGCCACTAGCCGCCCGGCTGTGCGCGAAGTCAAATCCCGACTTCCAGATCGATGACTCGAGAGAATACGCTGAGATGTGGATGGGCACGTACCCCGAGCTGCCGTCCTACTCGCTCAGAACGGGCGAGGATTTGCAGGAGATATTGAAAGAGTACAAGGAGAAACTGATCGGCAAGGGAGTGTACGAGAAGTTCGGATGTGATCCGCCTTTCCTCCCCAAAATCTTATCCATTGCGAAGGCGCTCCCACTACAGATCCACCCTGACAAGAATCTGCATCAGGAACACCCAGACCAGTTCACGGATCTCAACCACAAACCTGAGATTGCAGTTGCTCTGTCCAGATTCGAGGCCTTTGTGGGGTTCAAAACCCCTTGGAGACATCCAGGAGCTGATGAAGTTGGAAATTCTCCGCCCGTTCCTGCCGACCACTTCCGAGGGCTTGACGCTGAGTGATGATGAGACCCTGAGACAGATTTGTACGAATATGCTCAAGGCGCAGGAGGACCTTGTCGCAAAGACGATGAAGGGCCTGTTGGCAACGCCGCCGCAGCAATTCGGGCAACAGGCGTATGTGCTCGAATTGGCCAAGAGATTGCAGGAACAGTACGGCAAGCAGGACAATGGAAACCTTGTGGCGTTGGTGTGTATGAATTTCTTGGTGTTGGAGGCAGGTTCGGCTATATATATTCCTGCAAATGGCATTCATGCTTACCTCTCTGGCGACATCGTCGAGTGCATGGCGAGGTCGAACAATGTCATCAACACGGGATTCTGTCCAAGAGCGGACCGCGACTCGGTCGATCTGTTCGCCAACTCCCTGACCTTCCAGCAACATGACCGATCAGAACCCATCCTCCACCGACAGACGAGCGGCAAGAGTCAGAATGGCAAGACGGACAAATTCAAGCCACCGATGAGCGAATTCAATATGCTTTGTCACTGAGCTCTCGGCGGGAGAGAAAGAAGGAGTCAGACGTATCGCGGGACCCAGTATCATGGTTGTCACGAACGGACAAGGGAAAATGAATGTCGATGGGCAGGAATACGAGTTGCACGAAGGGAGCATCTTTTTCGTTGGCAACGGCGTTGAAGTCGAGATGACGGCGCGAGATAACTTGGTCGTGTATCGGGCGTATGCGGATTAAGGGCCTTTTTGTAGCTTTGTCTCTTCTTCAGTTTCGTGCTCAATGAGTGGGAGATCAGTGGCAAGGCTCGTTAGACGCTGAATCTCCGTACAGTGGGCATGCTCGGCTGGTTTGCTGGTTTGAGCTAGGCCTAGTGAACCTTGCTGGCGACCCTAGCCCAGACCAACCGCTTGACGAATCTAACTTCCAATCTATGCTCATTGTCACCAACGATGGTCGCCTGCGCGCCCGTCGTGGCTGGAGGGCGCTCGGCCTGTTCAGCCTACCTTGGACAGCAGCCGCAGGGAGACCATGGCTTCCATCCTCTTCCTTCTCCTGAAGGAGGAGGTGACCATTCTTTTGTTTGCCTGTTTCGCTCCTCGCTTCTTGTCGGGATTACTCCTGCTTTGTTCGACAGCAAGCCGGATTCAATAATACGTGGCACAATCAATCACGGAATATGTACCTCGAGAGTGCTCAATAACGTTAAAGCGACCGCTATCTCGAATATATTTGACAGTATAGAAAAACACTCACATGGATCTGGGATTCCCCTTTCAACACCTGGCTCGAGAATGACCGCTCCATATTCTGCATATCCGGAAAGTCTGCCAGTGGGAAAAGCGCGTTGATGGGTTACATTCGCAGAGCCACCCACACTCAACGCATTCTAAGCAGCATTCATCACAAAAGTTGGAAGACAATTCACTTCTTTTTTATTTCAGAGCTGGAAGCGAGATTGGCAGTAACATGGAAAGCTTTCTTCGATGTCTAGTCTGTCAAATATGCGAAGAAGTGCCCAAAATCATCGAAGCTGTTCCAGAACTTGCAAAATTTATCACAGACATATCTCGCCGACAGCCCATTTCCTCTTCTGCGGAGCGCATGCCTCGCTTGATTCACCCGACTGTGCAAACCTACCTTGAGCGAGGCGGTTGGCAGGACATTTTCGCAGGCACTTGAAACCCCGCTTTAAGCGATAGGATATGGACTGAGATCTGTACGCAGGCGATCGTGAAAGGAGAATCAATCCTGGCCTGTCTAGAGCCATTTCATAAAGATCCTGACCGCCAGGGGCTTTATCTGCCAGGGGACAATTCCAATGCCAACGGCGACGGCGGCAGCTCTAGTTCGAACTCCGAAAGGAGCTTTCAACACGACTCTGATCAGAATCCAGGCACGGTCTCCAGCGTTCTGGACGGCGATGATTTACGCTCATAACCAAGCTCTACCGACCGGCAGCGAGCGAACACGCCAATACCGCAAATTTTGTTGCTGGCTTATGCTGGCATGCAAGTGCTCTTCCACGCCCCTCGATACGAGACGACTTCGGTGACATCATCGTCTCCACTGATTGAGGCCCTTGTCAACTCTCCCTTCACAGACAGACATCGGACGATGATCTGGGAAAGAAATGATGTCAATGTCCGTAGGTCAAGGGCATCAAGAACTGGATGGCCGAGAACATGGGACGAGCTGGCCCCTGGCCAAGATGGAACTGGATATGTAACTGAAAGATTGGATTAATGTCATCATTCCTTATTCCCTCACCTTCCACACACGTACTACGAATACTGAAGCTCATCTGGCTACCTTCGAGCAAGCGAGCAGCACCTTCCCGTTCAAATGTTATGGGGATAACGAGATTCTAATCGATGATAGCCAAACTGGGCATTCAGTCCATCCGTCCAACGGTACCTTCTCGCTAGGTAGGTAGAAGTTGAAATCTGATGCCAAGATGCCAAGATGCCAAGCCCTCCACCATGATCATGTAACACATTTCACCAAAGTGAAGTTCGGGTTGGTGTCGGCAGAGCCGATGGCACCGAGATGGACGCCTGAAAACTCCGGCCACACAAGTTGCCGTCTCGTACCTGATCGACGGAGCAACAGTTCGTATCTGTGAGAAGAATATTAGAGGCATCATTGAAGTTCTGACCACCACTTTGTCTGCCTCTGCGGTGCCCTCAGCGTCCTTTCTCGCCTGACTCATGCCTTAGTCAGCAACCCGTCCAATTTGTGCGCGTCGTTGGCGTCACGGTTACGAGATTTCAACAGCCACTACTCCGTATATCGGCTATGCAGCAGATCACTCATGGCGACCAACTCTAACACTTCAGAGGCGCGGCCGCCCAAGGCCTATTCCTGTGTCCGTTGCTTCGAGCGCAAGGTTAAATGCGACAAGGAGCATCCCTGTAGCGGCTGTGTGCGCTCCAAGGTCGAATGGCAAGTTTCATCATGCTTCTTCATTGCTCCTTGGTGTCAATGCGAAGCGAGATCCATCGAGAACCGACACCTCGTCACCCGTCAGGGCTATACTGACCTTTCCTTCTGCAGCGTCTTTCGCATTCCACCTGCTCCTCGCCGTCGGAAACGCAAGACCCGAGAAGACGATGTCGTCGCTCGCTTGAAGCACTACGAGGACTTGCTTCGTGATCAAGGCATCGATCCAACCACCCCATCTACTACTCCCAGCAAAGTTGACACGACCTCTCCCCTTGACGACGGCGACAATTCCAGCACGTCGGTATCTAAGCCCACAGAGCCTCCGTGGACGTCAGGTTCACTCCAAGGAAGATTAATCATTGACCAGGGGAGATCTCGATTCATTCAAAAGTGTGTCATTCCACCGGCCCCGCAACCTCTTCTAAGCTAAAGTCAAGACAGTAAACTATGGACTACGGTCAGCGAAGAGGTCTGCCTCTTCACGTTCAGTCTCTTCAATCGACTAACCACAGCCCACAGCTCCATCACAGTAGAGATGTCATCCAGGATACTGAGAGCGAGGATGAATTGGATGCTCTTGACGACAGGACTGACTTCGTCCTCGGGGTGACACCATACCCCACTCAGACATCGAGCCTGCACCCAAGTCCCGATCATATGTTCAAACTGTGGCAGATTTTCCTCACAAACGTCAACCCATTGGCGAAGATCGTCCATCAACCCACCCTACAGCGTACCCTGGAGGATGCCATTCAGGACATAGACCATATACCCCGTGGGCTTGAAGCCCTCATGTTTGCTATCTACGGTGCCGCTGTCCTTTCCATGCGTGATGGCGAATGTGAAGCAAATTTTGGCGAGTCTCGTGCAAGTTTACAATCTAGATACAGGTTAGGAATCCGCCGGGCTTTGACAAAGGCACGATTTATGGCGACTTCCGATATCGTTGTCCTACAAGCACTCGTCATTTATCTTGTGAGAAGAAGATCTGCGCTTCAATTGGCCGCGACTAACCGACGATAGCTCACTACGCGTCAAGTCTTGGACGCTCGCACCCTATGGACGCTATCAGGCGTTGCAAGTCGTATAGCCCAAGGCTTGGGTGTCCATCGAGACGGCACCGTCCTTGGCCTTCCTCCGTTTGAGACGGAAATGCGCCGCCGGCTTTGGTGGCAAATCAACCTGCTTGACTTCCGGGCGGCTGAGCTGAGTGGTTTTGGCGGCATGTCGGAAGTCAACTGGTGGAACACCAAGGTGCCGTCAAACGTCAATGACGTGGATATTTGGCCAGGCATGAAAGAACCCCCTGTTGAGCACACTCGGCCCACAGAGATGGTGGTCTGCTTGCTTCACTATTCAGTTGGCGCCTTCTGGAGGCGAAAGCTCTTGCAAGCAGGCACTGCTGAAGAGGACCTTACTCGAGCTCTGCAACGTTGGGTAGCAACAAAAACGATGCCCGAAAAGGATGCGTTCGTTGATGAATTCCAGGCTGACTTGGAAGAAAAGGTGTTGAGATATTGTGACCCTGCCATGCCACTCGAGATGATGGCTTTGATCATTGGCCGTACAATGTGCAAAGGCATTAGATTCATGGCACACCACCCTCGGCGCTACGCAAGCGAGAAAGATATCCCTGACAGTGAACGCCAATTTCTATGGACAACAAGCATGGCGTTGATGGAGGCCGATAACCTTGCGCATTCCCATCGATCGCTGCAAAGATTCAGCTGGCATATCGACGCAGGGTTCCAGTGGCATTCCTTCATATTTGCGTTGGGAGAACTGATAGCCCGGCCGACTGGCGACGGTAAGGACGATGCTTGGATTCAGATTGAGGACATCTTTAAGAACCATCCAACGTAAGTCATCTGACCTCTTTGAGTCTCAGTGGGGTGTCCCAAGCTTGCTCCGGCCCCACTTCATTGCTTTCCTGCGTCGAAGTTCCGCCGTCCATTGCACATCGTTGTTTAGGATTCTGGGCTGACTCCCAACTCTTGTCTTCGTGAAGCTTCGTCTCCGACCAAAAGAAGCCGCTTCACATCGCGATCGGTAATTTGTGCTTGAAGGCATGGCGAGCCCGCGAAAAAGCACAAGCAGAAAATCCCCAGGGGTTATCATGGCTGGATACTCCGCAATTCATTCTACAGCTTCGCAAACAGCGAGAGGTTCAGGAGCGGAAGGCTGATGCCAGTCGCCCTTCAGCATCACAGCCGCATCCTATCCCTCAAGCTGAAGACACGAACCCGATAAGAGAGTCGCAGCCCCCCAATACTTCGGCAGCAGAGAGCCTGCCCAGCGTCCAGCAATTTGAAGAGCCGGCCACTACATTAGATTCTACCTTTTCAGCGCATGACTTCTCTGTCATGGACAATATGGCCATGGACTGGCAAAGATGGGATACCCTCCTTAATGATTTCGAATTGCTTACACAGCCGGCCACCATGAATCCTGGGCACTTGCAGCACCTCGGACAGTACGGGCAACAAGGCTATTCATGGCCGTTGTCGCAGATTTATGACAACCCATGAAGCTTGGAGAGCCTCGAGCTGCATGGGATAAATGGCTACCACGAGCACATTAAATCAGTTGTCTTGCGCCTACCATTGCGCTACATCTAAGGCATGGAAGCCGCCTTCTTGGAGGAGCGGTTATTGATCTATACTCATAGGCGGTTACCTCAGTATTGTACTAACAGGAGTTACCAGCAGCAAGGACTATTCAGGATGGCGTCCTTCACGGCAACGTCGTGTATTCCTAAAACAAGTGATCTTGAGGTCAAGTCTGACCCTAAACCACCCCCAGAATGCCTAACAGACGGACACCGCTACGCTGTGTAAGTTGAGCTCGCCTGCAGCACAGTTTATCCCCTGTCTGAAGGTAGCCGACATGCCTTTGGTTACAAAATGCTCCGCTGTGAACCCATTGCACGACGGATAGATGACTTGTCGCGGAGACCGTCCGAAGAGTTCTACGCTCGAGCTTTCAGGTGAACAATTCGCTAGGACTAGGCTTCAGGCTTCTCTCCTGGCTGGTATTTAACTCAGCACTACCCGATATTTCCTGGCGGACATTTACGCGAACGCTAGGATTTTTGCGACTGTCGCATCGGAAAGCGTGCCTGAGAGCCTCGATATGGACGAAGTCATTGTGCCGGGGCTGGAGATCCAGTCAACCAACCACGAACGTTATGGGAACAGGGCTCGAGCACTCGGTGCACAGATACAAGATTGCCGATTTCTGATCACAATTGCAACCAAATCGGTATGCGACCAAGTCGATCAAGCTGCCTGGTCTGGGCAATATCTGGTCCTGACGCTGTCTGACATTCAGCGAGTCGAGCCTAATCCACAGACTACTCCTCAGCAACCTCTCTCACCTCGCCCATTACCTCCATCTTCTTATCCCTTCCCAAGTCCAAGGCATCCACGATGCCCTCCCTGTCTTCTGGCGCCACACCCATGATAGCCCGCAACTTGGGCGCCTCGCTGTGGACCTCTCCGTCAAGATTCTCATCGATCTCCTCCAGTGTGCGCCCGCTCGTTTCAACCCAGAACACCAAGACCACGACCAGCTCTAGCACGTCCCACGCGCCGTTGATCATGTACGTCTTCCAGCCAATGGCTTCAAGCGCAAATGGGAATGAGAATGTTACCATCAATCCCACTCCGTTCACGAGGAAGGTGTAAATGCCCATGCCGAGCGAGCGGAGACCATAGTTGAGGACCTCCGGCGGGTACAGGACAGTAAGAGGCGTCCAACCGAAACTGTATGCTCCCTGGAAGAGGAATATTGTGGCCACCGTCCCGTAGATACCGGAGTTATTGGTCGAGTCGCCGTAGACTTTGGTCAATCCGCCCACGAGGAAGATGAAAATGGTCAACAGCGCCGTGGAAATGGCAGCCAGAGCTTTACGCCCTAGTTTGTCCGCCATAGCAGTGCCCACGAGAGAAACGACCAAGCACCACGCGTTGAGGATGATGTTGATCTCAAGCTGTGTAGTCGGGTTCGTTACTCCCGCCTGCGTCAGCATTGTTCCGAAGTAATATGAAATAATGTTATTTCCGGAGAGCATGGAAAAGACGGCGACGGTGCAGACCAAGAATATGCGCCTGCGAGTGGAAGAGCTGTTGGCGAATTGTTTCATGAATGAAGGGCTCTCGAATGACTTCTCGAACGCAAGGGTATCCGTGATCTGGCGAAATTGGATGACTACGGCAGGGTCATCGATGTTCCCATTCGAATGGGTCTGCGCCAATGCCAGCAGAGCCTCTTTATTCCGCCCCTGGTCTTGAAGCCATCGAGGGGACTCCGGGGTGAATGGGATGAGGACTATGCAAAGAACGCTGAAGAGCCCCTGGAGGGCTGACGGGAGACGCCAGGCCCAAGTGGAATCCATCTTTGCGGTGCCGTACGTGACACCAGCAGCGATCAGACCCCCTATTTGTTGGTCAGTTACCTATCGCTTCAGTCTGCGATAAAAAGATGGGCCAACCACTTACCAACATACCAAAAGTCATACAATAGAGCCAGCGAGACCGCGCGAAGCTTCACAGGCACAGTCTCTGACAGGTAGACGGGCGCAGCGATGGACGAGGCGCCAGTCCCGAAGCCGATGATGATCCTCGCGATCACAAACATGGCGATGTTCTGGGCGGCCGTTTGGAGGACGACACCGATGATTGTGGAGACAGCCCCGAAGAACAGAGCCCATTTGCGACCAATCCAGTCCGGGACTTTGGCGTACCCTATGCCCGCTATTGCGCTGCCCATCCACACTGAAGCCGTGTTGAGCGCTAGAGTGGCTGTGGTTAGGGTGAAGTAATCCGTGTACGAGGGAAGGATGTTGAGTCCATTCATCATGGAACCATCGAAGCCTAGAGTCTGCAGGTGCACAGGTGTCAACCCATGATCGAACCCATCTTGCCATGTTGCTAAACCTCCCCGTAACCAAATTCCAGGTATGTACTTACAGTTGATGTCACGCATGATGTGAGGACGAGGATGGTGCAAGCAATCCACGACTGTTGAGGCACCCATGCCGGGAGCTCCCAAGGAATTGGCGACATGATGGCTTCGGTATCAAGTCTTTCTTTGAACAATGGTCGTTGGGTTGAGAAAATATGTGAGAGATCAAACTTGATGTCCTGGTCTCAAATCTTTCGTTGACCGAGGACCCGCTCTATTTTATACACTCTTTAGAGTCCCCTCTGGGATAGAGACGACAACACGGCTTGCCTGCTTGATCCATGCCAGGTGCGTTACCACCCGTTATCGCAAAAGGTTGTTGTGTAGATATGGAGGAGTCCGCCAGCGCGGGACGGATAACACGGCCAATCTCCAAAGAACATGCTCTGCGAGTCTGGTTCTAGTCCTACCGATCCGTCCCTTTGGGTTCGCGTTATCTGGAGAAAGGACCCAGGTCCTGATACGGACGAGGCTGGCCCTCGGCCTGTGCCTCCTTTGCTCAATTGCCGTCCCAGCGTGGAAACGGCAATGTCCGCCTCAAAGCGTCGAGACACGGATTTGGCAGCACCGTCTCCCACTGAAAGATGCCATGGCTGGTGAGTGAAGGTTTCCGGGCGGGCTGAGTTTCGAAGTTTCGCATTGACCTAGTCGAGGTTGAATGTCGCCCTGGGCACGCTCTGGGGGACATATCCAGCGAAGTCAATTGCGTTTGGAACCCTGTCTCTCACATGTCGTAGATGTCCGATGAGGCATCTTACGTCGCGATCAAGCGGTCATCTCGCAACTATTAATCACCTTAAAATCTTCGACAACAGGGAGGAGGGGAAAGATCTGGCGTGCGCTGAAGGAGCCAGTGTACCAAACAGCGAACACCCAAAACCAATAACATGCCAGGAAGACTGATGAGCTGGCCAGATTGGCCCGAGTTTACTGCAGCCAAGGCAGAGCCAGGTGATGACCTGGTCGGATACAAGAAAGCCATAGTCGACAAATACGGCAAGGACAACATCATCAAGAGCTGGCTCAAGGTCTGCAAGGAGCTGGAATCAGTGACGGACCACATCGCCGAACATGGCACCGCAGTGATCCCGGAGATCCAGTTTGACGAGGTCTTCAACTTGACGCCCGAGAGGAAGCAGGCGTTGAAGGATGTCGGCTGTTTTGTCGTCCGCAACGTCTTTAGCCGGGAGGAAGCTGACAAGTGGTTCAAAGATCTGAAGGAGTACGTTGCTGCGAATCGATCGCAGATCGGAGGTATGTTTGCCCCCATCAAGGAGCACGCAAATACATATACACCCCATGGAGTGAAACCTTCGATCTCTTCTCTCTGACTGATTTCTAGGCTGGCCACAGGAGACGCCGTTCATCCTCAACCTGTACTACTCACCCACACAAATGGCAGCCCGATCACATCCCAACCAGTTGAAGCTCAGCGAGGAGCTCAACTCCTGGTGGCACGACAATGCTGGCTCTTATTCACCAGAGCCGTTGTCGTATGCGGACGCGGTGCGCATTCGCCCCCCAGGGATCCCCTTTCGCGGACTCGGTCCCCATATCGACGCAGGCAGTCTGTGTCGCTGGGCAGATCCCACGTATCAGTCCGTCTACGCCGCCGTCTTTTCAGGAAGCCCCGAGTTGTTGGACAACTATGACTTGACCGCGCGCAAGACCGCCAACCAAGCAATGTTCCCCGGAAGCGCGCACTCGCGCGTCTTTCGAAGTTTCCAAGGATGGACGGCCCTCACCTCGGCCGGACTCGGGGAGGGCAGCTTAATGCTATACCCCAACGTCAAGTGGACGATCGCCTACCTGTTGCTGCGACCATTCTTCCAACCCCCAGACTCCGAGGGGGAGGATGTCATGGACGCCACCAAATGGACGTTCGACCTCGAGAGCCCGTGGTTCCCAGGAACCTTCAGGGAGGACAGCCAGCTGCTGAGCCCGTCGTCGCACCCGCACCTCTGCCTTTGCGAATGCATGGTGGGCATCCCCCGCATGGAACCCGGCGACACGGTGTGGTGGCATGCAGACATGTGCCACGCGGTCGAGGTCGAGCACAACGGTGACCACGAAGCCAGCGTGGCGTACATCGCCGCCACGCCCCGGACGGACGAGAACAAGCGCTACATCAAACGCCAGCTCGAGGATTTCCTGAATGGTCTCCCGCCCGAGGATTTCCGCCGCGGGCCAGGCGAGAGGAGTTTTCAATTGTTCACAGGAGAAAAGGGCATCTTGGGCGGCGACGCAGGCAGGAGGGCGATGGGGTTCGATCTGATCGCCTAAGAGAATTCCTGTCTCAAAAGCTGTTTCAATCAAAAGCTCACGTCGAGAATCTCTTGCTCTTGCTCTTACCATGGCCATGGCCATCGCCGTCGCTCTGACCTCCCATCCACAGCTCTACGCTGGAGTAATTGTGGAGTCGCCGATGATGAAATTCGATCGCGTCGAAGCAAGGCTAAAAAGAAAAAAAGTAGAGATCCTAGGCTAATAACCTATATGAGTTTAGTCTAGATGGGCAATAATCATCTGATATCTTCTTTATTCACTCTCTCTCTCTCTCTTCTATTGTTCTTAAAAGACACGGAGTTGCTCCTCCAGCGTCCCAAGATATTTTGCCTCCCCCTGTTTGTCCTCGCTTCAAACCTTGCGAGCGGTGTCAGATATCGAGCTTAGAGCTCAGAAATAGACACACCGAATGGAGGTTTGACACAGGGGCATAGTATATACTCAGTACATGTGTATGTGTATGTATGTAGAGACTAGCTCACATCAAATGGTGAGAGTGATTTCAAAACTGGAACAACGAAACGATGAAACACCAGGCTAGGGATCTTTGTCATCGCCGTCGCAACTAACGACATACTTGACGACAGTAAGCCTCCGAAAGGCGTCTATGTCATTAAGATCGATTTGCATTATTATCTGTCGGCCCGCCCCTTGCTGCCTGCTTGTTTGTTTGCCGGTGCGAGACAAGGGTGGCTTGAGCCGGCTTTTGTCACAACTTTGTTTCTGCCCGACGGTTGTGTTTGGCGAAATCTTGGCACTGACACTGTATCGTCCGATGGGGTAGCTTGAGAGAAGAGAATATAGAGAGGGGGAAGGGAGAGGCTGGGCGATGTTGGCAAGTGGCCATGCCAACAGTCCATGTGAGGCCGTTGTCACTCTAGATCCTAGATAATTTCACGGGAGCTCCGCTCTTGTCACAAGGAGGGGAGGGGAGGCATGAGCGGAAGCGCAAATCGCGAGAACAAAAAGATCCCAAATATCTCGAGATCCGAAGATGGCAGAGTCGGTATTTTCGTGTGCTGTAGTATATTGTAAATGATTGCTGGGTATCTTCAAATCCAAAAAAAAAGTACAAGATCTAGAAGCAAGGCACATGTCATACTGTGTAAACGTCAAATTCATCATCTTGTTCTTTTCAACCATTTCCGCTGTCGCATGTGCAACTGAATCGACTATATGATGTTCGCAATTGTCATTCGTGATCGGTTTGGATCTGGGGTAGGGGTCTCGTTCGGCGTGCTGATCGGCGGCAATGTTAGTCCTCCTGAAATTCCTGCTGGAGCCGGTCCATTGGGTGAAGGTGATATGGGCAGAGGAGGTGGGATTTGATTGTGTGGATAATGCTGTCGCTTCGAGAGTTGCTGTAGATATCTTGCTGAATGCTCAATGTGTTGCCAGCCGCCCCAATCGTGCTGCTCTTCCTCAGACAACATGTTATCCCAAGACGGTGACTGAGCGCCTGACGAGTGTGGATCGTGTTCGATGAACTGATGCCTTGGTCTACCATGTTTTTGCCGTCGACTGAGATGAGTGCCTGTCTCAGCGTTGCCCCATACCCAGCTATTTGTACTGGCTTGAAGGTCTGCCGACAAGTAGACTAGTAACTCCTCGTCGTGGTCGATGTCGATACTGCCAGGCTGCTCTGCCCGCTCAATCAAACAGCGTAGAAAGAAAGACAAGTGCCTCCCGCAGCAAGTATTAATGCTTCGAGCATCATTGATCGTAGCAGCCGCTCTTAGGACGAGAAAAAAGGCGTCATAAACTTGTCGAGACAACAAGAAGAGCATGCACCGCCAGAGATGGGTACATAGCATGGTGGTTGAAGAGAGCACAAATCGCTGTTCCCACTCATGCGATTGAACATGCGGGATCATGCACCTTGAGAGGATGTTTGCGGTATCGCGAGAAGCATGGAGACACTGCTCAATAGCTTGGGCTCTTTGCTCTGAAGAGCACGATGGGGATAAATTATGGCGCTGAAGCATTATGCGCGTATTTTGGAAAGAGATAAGTGGGGCCATAATACATGGATCCAGAGGAGAGGTCGAAGAGAGTTGTAGTGGCCGGGGAAACAAATGCAGACATTCACCCAGGTGACTCTCGAACTTGGCCAACGCCTCGCTGGTGATGCAGAGGGAACGAAAAGTCTTAGCCAGCGGCGCCATAAGCCGTGCTATGTAAATATTGGCCAGCAATAGTTTAGGAGCCAGGGGAGTGGTCATATGGTCGGACATCAGGCGCTCTTCGTCGAGAACTTCGGGGTACTCTGTGTCGCACTCGTCGTCATTGATGAGCATCGGCTTTCCGAGTTCCAGGGCAAGCAGGCTGCTGTTGTCAGTGGAAAAAAATTGGCGGGATGAAGGCTCAAGGCTTACCGGTCCCAAACATAGAATGAGTACCATATGCGTTTGCGCATTTCGCCTTCAATCGGCGACCATTGACCCCCTTGAACGTGCAACCCTAGATCCTGGACAATGCGGATTGCAGAGCCCAGCCATATCCAACTAGCAGATTTCCGATTCATCTCTATCAGCGCAATGCTAGCGAGAAACGCTACGATTGCCTGGTTTGTAGAAACATCATCTTCCCAGAAATTGATGGTTGATATTGCCCTTGTGAGATACTCCTGCGCCTCCGGAACCCGGGCACGGTCATGGGTTGCAAGTGCGCCACAGGCCAGAACCGCATATAGCGTTGCGACCCAGTCTGTCGGTAGTGATTGCACGTTGCCTCTCTCCATTGCTATCGTAAAATTCCGCTGAAATTTAGGCCAATATAGAACGGGAAAAAGACGGTGGATATATTCGTGATAGTAGTGTAGTAAATTTTCTGCGACTGGTTGCGAAGGCAATCCTTGTAGGTCTGAAACTCGAGTATGTGTAGTGTGCGATCGAGGTTGGACTCCCGTAACGGGAGGTTTCAGCAAGCCACGACCAACATCATTCAACTGTGTCCTGGCACTTGTGAGGTCCTGAGGTGCTCTTGCTTTCAACATCCTCCGTGGCGATTTGCCGATAGACGGAAATTCAGCGAAGACCGAGGAGGCAGTTTCGGGACGAAGGTCAGTGGAGAGATCAGAATTTCGCTCAACCGAATGATACCGCTCGAGCTGCTGCCGGGCTTCCATTAGTTGTCGCTCTAAGTCCTGTACTAGCCTGGGAAGATCAGAAAGTGCCGTACATAACCTGGAGAAAGTTTGACTCACTTGATAGACGACATGCGCCGGTTTGTGTCCTTGGTGAACTGGCAGCGAACATTGCGACTCGAGCATTCTGTACAACTAGATGTTTCGGTCGCATCACACTTGTCACCCATCAGCAGAATGACAGCAGGAAGCTCTGTTTTCCACTAACCTTGACCTTACGCTCACGGCAAGCGTCGCAACTCGGGTCTTTTCTTCTTTGTCTATACGCTCTTTTCGGATTGTGCATCATCATGGCTGAAATCTGACCGGGAGATGGGGTGCTCGCCGCTCCGCTGCCCGGTCGTAGATTGTCCCCCGTGCGAGACACTCCTTCGTTCGGAGAGAGGGGTCCCATATCGTGAGGACCATAGAATGATGACATCGTCGTTGGTCCTGATGGAAATAGTCCTGTCCCAATATGCTGCGACGATGCAGGCCTTGGATGTGGTGTTCGATCCAGGTCATGAGCGGTCGCAAACAGTCCCGAGGAGGCGACCGACGTCGATTCGAAGACGGGCAAAGACTCGTTCATCATCTCAGTCGCATCGACAGTCGCCAGGCATCGCAGGAATCCGAGTAAGTGCTTTCCTCTACTCAGACACGAGTGCTTCCGTTGTATCGAGACATGCCCGCCACTTTCCGAACCCGGATCCAGAAGCAACAGCAACCCTCAGAACCCGCAATCCATAACAACAAAGAAAGAGAGACTCTCTCGATTCAAGGGCACCTCAATCAGGTGCTCTTTCGACAGGTTACTGCAACGACAGAAGCGAGATGCAGGAATGGAGACAGGTAAATGTCCGACCTTGGCCTACTGGTCCACTGGGGAATAGCGAGTTGATGCGAAGCGAGTGGTCGCCACTTTCTCAGTCAGGTCAGCCGAAATTGTCGCTAGAAAAGTGGTATTACAGTGCGCTGCCAACGGGCAGAAGGAACCTGGAGTTTGAGGGCGCGACCGTGGTCTCGCGATAGCCATGCGCTTTTCCCACTGATCTGTCGATCGGCAACCAACGAAATTTGGGGCCAGATCGTCAAGACCTCTAAGCAAGGACAAGTATTTGGGGGGGGGAGGGAACCGGTGCAGTTTAGCTCACTTCCACGCCCGTTAAGGGGTAGAGATGTAGTCCACGAGCGGCGCACGAGGTGAACTGCCGGTGCGCGTGGCGTTGGGAGCGTGCCAGGAAAAAGGAAGGGTCCCGCTCGAACATCGAGAATCAATCCAGGCGGTGGATGAGGCCTCTAACCACAGACCTAACTGATGCTGGGGGGACATGAGCGGAAAGCCAAAAACCACGTCTGAGTGGGAGCAGATTCGGATTGATGCGCAACCCTGAAAAAGCTAGGGCCTCCTAGGAGCCTCCCCGGTTCTAGCAGCCGAAGTAAAAGAAGCTAGCCGCAACGTTCTCAACAGCCGAATGGGGCATGACCGGCATTCGGCTTGCCGCCTAGCTGGTCTGCGCCAAAGGACCACTGGAGCCATTCTCGAAAAGAGTTCCCCTGTTCGAGGAGGTGGCCGGAGAACCCATGAAATGTTTGACCCATACCCGAGCCACCGTTCGAGTCGTCTTGGCTGAGAACATCCTGGGGCCTGACGCGTAGATACACAGGCAGGTAAATACTTTGATACATGCACTCTAAATTTGAGCGATATATGTTTGGAAATCTTCTTGGAGGTCTTCCCAAGTGGATAGGTTTGAGTGGTTTGGAGGAATGCGCGTCCTCTTCACAAGACTATGGTGTCATACGCGTGGCATGAAGGGCTGTGGACGAGATCACCGGTTCTTCAGCCATCATGATGGCTCCATGCTGCTGTCAGTCGTATGTCCACGATTCCTGACGGCTCCCTTGACTACCTTTGTGGCGGACTCTTTTGGTGGAGGCGGACCGAGGACGATCATAGGCCTTGGCTCTTGTCGGTGGGTAGCTCTAAGCGGCCCTAGGCAGGGCAGATCAGAAACAAATGTGCTATCAACGTACCTCATCCGGACTCGGCTCGAGCTGCTCTGAGGCAAAGAGCTTGATCCCTGTCCATCTATTGAACTTCATCTGCGGCGAAATACTGGTTCTAGAAGGCTTTCGCCGTGCCTGAAACATCCGACCACACCATTTCGGTCGTATTGTGGTCGCAATGAAAATTTTTTGAGACGCTGTCCCTTGCTTTGGCAGTGGAGTTATCGCCGTCCGCAGTGTCCGCAGCGGCTGGCTGACATGGGTGCTATTTCCATGAAGGGGGAGAGGGACTGCCGACATCTGGAAAGCCCTCTCCTCCTTCGAATGGCTCAATCTGCATGCTGTGGTTTCGGCACGAAGGGTAATGGAGAAAAAGACGGTGGAACATACCAATGGTCCACACCAGGACCGCTTGATTCCTGGCTGAGGCCGCACCTAACTTCTCCCTTGCTGTCCAGTGCTGCAAGCCTTTCCAATTTTGCATTCTTTAGTGTGATTGAATCAGGTACATTCCACTCCGTCTCTTCCGACTGGCATCAAATAGAGGAACAATCTAAGCGTGAGGATGATGCATGGGGTGTGTCGGAGAAAGTCGAACCCAAATCATCACCCTAGCCAGCCATCAACCAGGGGGGACTGCGTTGTCGATCATGGGGTCATACTGTAACTGTTGGAAGCATGGGGGCCCTCGCCGGGAGCAACTTAGTCCCTGAAGCTGAAAATTGGCCCCCCTCCCGAATTCGTCAACCCCATCTCTGTTGACTAGGGTTTCTCTCCTAATTATGGCAAAGTACCAAGAAAAATCATCGCTCCATCCTCTATTCCCTCTGGAGCCAGAATGTCTGCGACGTGACGAATCCGTCGAAACTAAGGCTGCAGGTTCCGAAGCTCCAGAAAAACTGCTGTAGATGGAAGATTCAAGGTGGGGCAAGGATACCTCTGTAGTGAACCTCATAGCAACTTCGTCTCTTCTCGAAGGACGGGGTAGGACAAAGGTGGCCAGTCAACTTGCAAGGTATGATATTAAGTAAAAGTGGGAGGAGTAGTAACGGATCTCCTACGGAAAGCAGGATCTGAGGCTCCACCAGGGACGGAGTACTTGATAGAGTTGTGGCTTCGCAAAACCTGGTAATGGATAATTGATCCTGGATCCCAAGTGTCTGTGGCGGTCAAACCCGTCATCTCTGTCTGTTTCCATTGAGGTGCAGAATTAGGCCGGAGACTTAACGGAATTGCAGAGTCCGTAGGGGAAATCATCGACAACATTTTACCGCGTGAGCAATGATGTGCAGCATTGTCCTTTCCCCAAATGATGGGCATGCGCATCTCAAGCCCAACCGTTTCCCTCTTCTGTGCAGGATCGTGCGAGCGACTGGCGCTCATCTCTCGGCTTGGTGGCGCAAAAGACTCCCAGAAAATGATGGAAACGGCCAAGACGCAGTTCCAGAAGACTGGTTTGTGGCATTAGCGTGCAGCTCTGAGGAGACCTGGAACTTAGATTAAACGCCAGGGAGCTAGCAAACCAGGGTGTCTAGGAGGTAAGGATCCCTTCCCCCTCCCGGTAACGCCATCCAGTCGGTTGGAAGTACCACTGGCAAGCCGTTGGAACGGAACTTTAGCCCTCGGATCTACACGACCCTCAAACAGGATCGACTTTGCAGCTCGCAGCTCGCATTGCAGCAAGGTGGGATTTCCCCCTGGCATCTCAGTCCCGCATTCGTGCAGTGAGGATCGGACAAGCTCACAATTCAAGGGTATGTGTTTCGAACCCAACCAGTCTTTCCGTTCTCTCCGTGAAACATCTCGTCTGGCGAGTCGAAGCGATATCTAGAACAGGGAGTAACGCCATCACCAAAAAGTCAAACGAACAACGAGTGACATTCCACGCTTCCTTGGTCTTCACTAGATCTTCAACTAGTTTCATAAATGGAATGACGCAGTTGAAGTGTTGCTTGGGAGCAACCGGATTTGGCAGATCCAATCTGCTGGTTCAAATGATGGAAGGTTTAGGGAAATGTTCTTAATTTTACCACATAACCCGATCTATTCCTCATGTTGCTTCATTCCTGGTCAGGATAATTGTCTGTGGGGTTATTATTGGGTCTTGACTGGGTGTTTATTGGATTTGTGTACGGAGTAGGCCCTCGGTGGCATCTGTCATATACCTAGGATGTACTCGGTACTCGTAACCTATTCTGCTGAAGGTTGAGAGAATTGAGCAGAGGATCGACAAGCTGCAGCAAGGAGGCGTTGATTGTCTGCCCCCTTGTCGGTCTGACCAAAGTGCGTATGACTCAATTAAAGTGAGTTCGATAATGCGCCTGACCAGATAAACCCCATGCTTAGGGGTTTCCGAACCCCTGGCGGCTGCGTGACGGCCACGAAGATTTTGGTCGATGTAGCATTCTTCTATTGTGGCCTCAGTATATAGCACTGAATACGTTGCCATCGAGCTGCTCAAGTGGGTGGATATGATCGGCGGTATGCGATATGTGCAAAGTCGAAAGGTGAAGGCCTTGCAAAAATGGTCAATCCCCTTTAAGATGACAACCCGGCCACTTGCCGAAAGTTAAGATAGTGCAGACAACCATTGCGACAAGCCCCGACGCAGGGAGGGCAAGAAGCGGTGGTGAACATCTCCTCGACCTCCACTGGACTCTCTGAAAGGAGGCCGCAAGGATCGCTGACGTGTAGCCTCCGCGGAAGAGCTAAGCTATGGCCTCTGTTTGATGAACCGCCAATTTAGTTTCTACTGACGTTTGAGGACCGTCAGTGTCATCAGGCGTGTGATCTGACCCCAGCACCCTGGGAGAATTGCCCTCTGTGGGAGCCAAGCTTCGATTAGCAACCTTAAGCAGGGTGATGTCCTGTAGGTAGTGACAGTTGCCACCGGGGTTTCCTCGCAACCGGTAGGCCTACCGAGAATTGGCGAACAACGAACGGCGATCGATCTCCCAGTGTTTCTCACACACAGCAGAGGTTCCGCGCCCCCAAGCGAAGATCTCGTGGTGCATCGGGAGGCATTTACTAAGTAGTCAAAATGTTCCAGGTTCCTGCACTGGTGCTAAAAGGCTCGATGAGGCTCTAAGGTGCCAAATTCCAGCAAGGGCAAGGAATAGTACCGATTTGTTTGCACAGGCCTGGTCCCCGACCCAATGAAATGTAAGGGCGCAGGGTACCGATCCTTGTATATCGGGGACCTCTTTTAACAGCGTTCTAGAATATCGACCCAGCGGGAGATGAGGGACCCAGGCGAGCAGGGCCGGTTCACGATTTGGGGGTCCACCTCTCCATAATCTGATCGACGACAGCGGCGAAGCCTTCCATTTCTTCTTCGGCTGTCGTGCCCGTGAAATCCATGCTGCAGCCCACGTACACTGGTTGTTTCATCTTCCGAGCAAGGACCTTGGCCATTCTAGTGGCATAGTCAATGCTAGAGCCCGAGGTCGACAGAGGTGTGCTGATCGCATCTCGATCGTTTCTCATCTAGAATTCATCAGAGGGAGCCTGTTGCTCAGGGAGTTTTACGTACATCAGGCATTGCGTAGACAAAACTTCCCATAGGCGATAGAGTGCTCTCAGCTTGGCTGAGGTCGGTGGTGGTCAAATGGACCATGGTGCAATTTCCCATGAAACTCAGGTGGGCGTGGAAGTTGAGATGAGGGTGTCTAGGCATGGGGAACGATTCGTTGACAGGCCTGAAGGAGGGCTCCATGACTGCGTGGAATCAATTGCCAGTGTTAGGAACGCAAGGTGTTGCCGGCAATGGAGGTTTAACGCTGAGTTGAATATATCGCTATACAAGTCGGAGGTGTAACTTAGACGGCGCTTCCAACCACACCAGCTTGTTTCTCAATAGGTTTACTGTCATGGATGACTGACTCTGAGGGATGTAGTACGTTGGTTACAGGCAGGGTAGAGAGAAAGAGAGAGCAATAGCGGTGTTTGGTGGTCGCCGGGTCCTATCTGGCTTGGCATGCATCCGACTTCATTCTGTGATGTAGACAGTTAATTCTATTGCAACAACCCCAATTCATCCGTGCACGACTTTGCATCAGCAATCGCCTTTTCGACCCTCTTCTGCCTGACGCTTGCGAAACCTCTTTAGGATGGCTGGAGTCCAGCACACCGAGGATGCCGCCGTATCGCAACCTAACCCGTTATTCCATGACGCCGGCCCCCTGGCCGACCCTCTTGAACGGCGAGTCATCTTTGCTGCTCTCGATTCATTTCAGTAAGTGAATCACAGAGCTTCATGCAACGGTCTTTGGCGCTTCAACCAAAGCTTCTAGTCTTCATACGGTCTTTGATCGCCATTACCTTGAGCATTGAATGCCGGCACCTGACACGGACGGGGGCCGAGGTGGCATGGCAGCCTTTCGTTTGGCGGCTCTCTCTTACAGGGCCATTGCCTTGCTGGCTCATGACGTCTTGAATGAAGGTCTCATGCTTGATCGTGGACCAGGCCGCCTCAGCTTCACTTCCTACGATGCGGTGCTCGGACTTAGCATGACATGATCCTCCTGAAGGCAGTCTGGCCAAAGGACGACCGGCTCCTGAGGCGGTGTCTATGCCTCTAATATGCCTCTTCACCTATTTCCCACCTCCCCAACGAGAACCCGCTTTTAACTAACACCGCTGACCTAGATTGAAGTCAGTACCGGAAAAACGCACACTACAACACAACCCACCGAAGGCGACAGAATCTCTACGCTCTCCCATCAGTCCAGTGGCAAATGCTTGCAGCTCCTCCTTTTTCCATTCTCGACACGCTAAATGCTGTTGACGATGCATTGGATCATAATGCCGACTTAGCAGACCAAATATTCCGCCTAGGAGCAGGTGCATTTGGACTCCCGGAGAAACCGCACATAGACTCCTGGATGAACTGGCAAGGGAAAGCCAAACCGAACGACATCTCCAAAGCGCATTCAACTATTCGTCAGTTTTATCGAGACTGGTCTCACGAAGGGTTCACTCTCGAGGTTGAACCACTCCTCAAGACGATCCTCTCGGACCTCGAATTGAATCTCCCTGCTGTCCAACCGCATAACCAGTCTCCGTCGCTTCTTCTCCCTGGTGCCGGACTGGGCCGCGTACTATTCGAACTCGCTCTGCGAGGCTTCCATGCGACAGGTAACGAGATCTCCTACCACCAACTGCTCGCAAGCAATTTCATTCTCAACAACACCGAACGCGTCCACCAGTACTCGGTTTACCCCTTCGCGCATACATTCACAAATGTGGGGTCTCGCGCAAATCAGCTCAAACGCTATACAGTGCCAGATGTTCATCCAGGCGAAGCCTTCTCCTCCCGGCTTTCCGCCGGGTTACCAGTGGGTGAAATGAACATGACGGCCGGAGATTTCGTGCTGTCCTATTCCACGCCGGACTCCAAAGAGACATTCGACGGGGTGGTATCCCTGTTCTTTGTCGATACAGCACCCAATCTCCTTCGATATATTCAGACGGTGCGGAATTGCTTAAAGACAGGAGGCGCTTGGATCAACATTGGCCCACTGTTGTGGCATTTTGACGATCGTGCGCCCGGCGGAAATACCGACGACGGCGACGACGATGAACCAGGCGAAAACACGCGTTCAGAGTCTGGACCAAGCAGCCAGCCAAAACCGGATCTCGAAGACAAAGGCATCGCCGAACCGGGATCCTTTGAACTCACTGACGAAGAAGTCGTTCTGCTCGTTTCACGCACGGGTTTTGAAGTGATTACTCACGAGATCCTGCCTGCCGATTCGGGATATATTCAGGATCCAAACAGCTTATTACAGAATCGGTACAGGTGCAGTCACTGGGTCGCGAGGAAAGTTTGATAGGTTGATCAACGCAATGTCGAACCCTTCGGAGGCTCTCTGTGGCCTATACTAACTCATGATGTACGGTCCTTATATCTATCTATTCCGTTCCAGACCTGGGTGAGTGTTCCAGCCCGCAGAGATCCCTCATAAGCTCTTTGCTCTATATGTATGGTCCGCTCACGGCAATAAGGAGTTCCAGAATTCCAGACAAGCAACGCGACCAAGGCGCCATGGGGCTGAGTTTGGCGCACTTGACACCCTGAGGCAAGACCGGCAGTTCTTACTATCTGCACACAATTGATGGAACTGTGGGTCTCGCAGCCGCCTGAAATTAGGATGGGACATCGAGGTAGAGGAGCAGCAGCCACCCAGCTGGCCATCGTGAGGTGTTGAGCGAAGTCGCCTCATAGTCCAGCATCGACCGGGCAGACTACGGAGGGCACGGCAATCAATCGGGCTTCTCCTTTCCACATTAGAGCAAACAGGATCCTATCTTGTTAGTTTCGAGACTAGATCTGATTTGATACGTCTGCCTGATTGTATCTCGCGCGTTCAAAAAGTTCATTGCTTTCGCTCATGGACAATATGCAACTCCTGGCTTTTTCCTTCTTGATCTTCACTTTCGTTCAGCGTCACTGTGCCAAAGACAACATCATCAACCCTCACGAGGCCTTCATTTCAAGCTCGACGTACTTCCGCTGTGATCATCTCCACATCAGCAGTCATCAAAAGTGTAGCTTAGGCTGGATCAGGGATATTCCCCACTTCCTTCTTCAATTGCCGTGGTCGTTCCCTCATACTTCGTCTTCAACCTCCTGCTCATTAAACCGCTCCTGTCTCTTGTCTTTTTTCCCCGAACCGCCATGGTTCTGCTCTTGACGTTGGAATTATCTTCCCAGCTTCTGGGCCATATCCATGCTTCCATCCACAGCCCTATCTGAACCTCGCGCTACATCTTCCCATCACCTCACCCTGGCACACCAATTCGGCATTAAACTCCGACCCATCCAAGGTCAGGTAAATATCGAAGTACACCCGGTAGAATGTGCCTTGCGGAGTATCCATTCTCTCAAAGTCCTTCTCGAGATTCTTTCTTGACAGATCCGAAGTGAGGGTGACCACTTCCTTGATACGGGGATCCTTGGTATATTCGGGGCTGTAACATGGTTAGCTAGGGAACGTCGACACAAGAGGCTGGAAACTAACCAAACATCCTCATCACAAGCATAAAGAATATCTTCGTACATCAACGTCGCCCCGGGTGCCACCTGCCTGAAGAACGAGACTTTGACGGGTTCACCAATTTTGACTCTCTCGCCCTTCTGCACAAAGATTTGTCGTGTGTATTTACACCGATCCTTGCCATCGAGGCTAGGCACGCGATACTGTTCAGGATGATGACCTTCTTTGAACGGCTGGAGGGTCGCCATGAGATAGTGTCGTCTCGCAACGCGAGAAGTGATGACTCGCTCAGTAATTCCAGCCGTGACGGCACCTTTCACAATCGCAGCTACGGAGTCCATGGGTCTGACAACTTTGGATTGGAATTGCGGCGGGACGTGCAATTTAATCTGCTGGAAGAGATACTCGGACGCACCAAAGCCACCGACCACAAGAACATTTTGTAATGATCTATTCTGCGCCTGGATAGCAATGATCTGATTGCGAACGAGTTCCAGAATTCTGTTGACGACGGGTTCGAAGCACTGAAGAATTTCCTCATTGGTGAACGTCATGTAGCCTTCTTCAATGCCAGCTTCAGGGAATTCAGCCTCGATACCAACATCGACGGCCCATTTCTGACCGTTATTGCGGAAATCGGCCTTTATTCTGTTTTCAAAGTCCATGATACACTTGGCGTATACTCGACCGGCAGTTTTTGATCCATCAGGCAACTTCATTTTCCTGATCTTTGCACGCAGAATGTTGGAGAAGTTTCGGTTGAGAGCGGTCGAGCCGCAAGAATCGCCACTACCGGCCGTACATTCGGCGACAGTGAACGGAGTCTCTTCTTCGACTTCGTACGCGATCAGATCGACGGTTCCACCGCCGCAGTCTACGATCAGGACGGCGTCGTGGATCTTGAGGTTGAGGAGACCGGTCTTGGAGCAGAACATTGCCGCGGCTTCGGGCTCAGTAATGAGGGTCAGTCGGTTGTCGTTCTCATCACGAATGAAGCCAGCTTGAATGGCTGCGGCTCTGGTCGCCGCTTTACCAGCATCGTTCCAGATGGCAGGGACAGTCAAAAAGTATCGGATATTGCGCTCTTCTCTATTAAAGACCTCGCCCAATGTCTTTTGCAGCTGGACTCGCATAGCTTGCCGCAGTTTGAAGAGATAGTCGGCCGCCACATCGATTTCGGACTTCCCAGGTGGAAGAGGGGGTAGATTAATGGGGTCAATGTACGTGTTACCCGAGAGCATGAGTTGCAGCTTGAACCATTCCACTTTTTGCACGCCTGGCTTGGGATAGCCGGTCGGAGCAAGGGCATCAGCAATGTCAGGACCCCAACCGACGACTTTCTGATATTGATCGTAATATAGCACAGTGGGAATCTATTCGGGTTAGTCATATGTCACACACATTCTTCGAAGTGTCCGGTTGCGCCCACCTTTTGTTTCGTTTGATTGCCTGCGCCGGGCCATTCTGTTATTATATCCTCTTTTGCTTCGGTGTTTGTCGCAAAGGCGAATGCCACGCCCGAAAAGGTGGTGCCCTAAGAACAAGCGTCAGCTACCGGAAGATCAAACCGGTCTGAACGGTGTCAGTCTTACAAAATCGATGCCGACAATTAGCTGGGCCTTGCTCCTCCCTGCGCCCTCAACTTCAGCGGGACGAGCACCAGGTGGAAATTGAGTGGTCATGTGCTGAATACCAGGCTGCGGACCGATCGTCTGATTCATATATGCGCCGCCGTACCCTGGAGGTTGCGGGGGACCCAACTGAGGAGCGCCGCCAACATAGGCACCGGCCCTGGTATCGATGGGAGCAGGATGGTGGGCCATTTGGTTCTGAGCAGGCGGCATCGGCGACTGAGGCCGTCCCTGGACGCTGTTGTATGAGTAGCTGGGAGGACGTCCAGGGACACCAGGCTGATTGGGATTCATGGGCGGCAGACTGGTTTGCGAGGAGTTTTGAGGAGGGGGAGGAGTCGTGGCGTTCGAGATAGAGCCGTTGGGTGAAGCGACAGAGGTGGAGGCGGTTGAGGTGGTTTGGATGTTGGCACTGCTCTTTCGTTTGGAACCGAAGCCTAGAGACTTGAAGCGCGAGCTCATGACATCGACATTGAATAGGAAGGCGAGGGGGAGAGCGAGTGCACTGGCAGAGGGGTTTTGTTGTAGTTGTGATTTTTTGGGGTTGTTGATGGCGATCGAGACGAGGTGGATTGGTAAGGCGAGTGAGACTGGTGGCTGAGCGTAGGAAAGGTGCACTGTTTGGGGCGATGACGAGGACCAGAACTCAAATTTCAGTCAGTGCGAGGAGTGTAGTCGGTAGGGTAGTGCAACTCAGGCAAGGGCAAGACGAAGCCGTTTGAGAATGGGAAAGACAGCTGAAGAAGAGGCAGTGATAGAAGCAGAGAGGGACGTGCGGCTTGTGGCTGCGGTTGCTGCGCTGAAGAGGGTGGCAGGCGGCAGAGAAGAGACACCCAAACTGCAGCCACGGTGCCCGTAATGATGCGTAATGGTACAGGGTATTTGGTACCTAAAGCGACACTAGCTGCCCTCTCGCCCTCTATTTATCAGGCTGAGCTGCGAAGGATTGACCCCCCCGCCGTTTACCGTCCTCCAGGCCATAGAGAAATGATTCACTGGGTTCCGGAACCTTGCTGCCGCCCCGAGATTGCAAGTCTCTGATCTAGCATCACGTTGCCTCGGCCTCCGTCTCCGTATGCGACATAGGGACTGGGTACAGATTGCAAGCAGCAGGCAGAGAAGAAAGAAACACAAATAAACGCACAAAAGTGGTGGCCCAGAGGGGGCCCTTTTGGGGGTTCTGGACCCGTGCTAAGGCCGGTAGTGGGCTCTAGCGGCTCCCGGGGTGGCACGTCTCGTATTGTCTGACGCCTAATGGAATCTGCAGTGAAGGCTGATTTGGGGCGCTGACAACCAAAGTACTTGCGACAAATACGCACTTCTTGTCCTCGCCAGATTGCAGCGAAACGACAGATAAAGAGCGGTGAAATCCACTGCTTGATCCTCCTGCGCGTTGTTCTTCGCGCTCTCGCGCTCGCCCAACACCACTTTCTTCCCTGTGGCCTCAAAATCCACACCCAAGATACCAAGATACCAAGGTGAGGTGCTTCTGTGCAGACACAGATGCTAAGAGTCGATAGGGCTGACATACCGCCCCCTCCTTCATCTTCCCTCGCCCGCTCAAGGCTCATCTGCGTGCTCGGCGGCCCAATCCAATCAAACTGGGCCGTTTCAGCTGTTGAACAAATGTGCAGTCCCAAGAATTTCACCCTCCCGCGTTTCGACGCCTACATTCGGTGAAGGGCTTTCGCCACCATCTATCGCCTGTCCGATCTCCCTCACGTTTCAGCCTTCTGGAATTCCAAAGTGTTCTAGTCGGTCCATCCTACTACCAAGAATTGTACATATGTAAGTACATGGTGTATATAGAAGACACACATGGTCGCCGTTCTGGTGAGAAGCCCCGCAGGCCATGGTAACGGCGGGTCAACTCTCAGACTTGGGATTCCATCGGAACCCTGTCGATCAATACAGCTCGTGCGGCTGACACTAATAATAGTGGGTGGCACTTCCACATGCGTCGGCGGCAGTTGTCCCTTCGCCCTCTAATCATTGGCTCAATGTTCTCTCCCAATAAACATGGTCATGAGCTGATCGGGGTCGGAATATGAATACTCTTGATGTGGCCAAAAGTAGTAATGCAAAACAACATGTCGCTTTAGTTTACCTACTTACAACTCATCCTTGATGCTCTTCGTCGCCGAGGCAGTCGGTGTCGAGGACGAGCTTGATGAAGCGTTCGCTTTGGAGGTCCTACTTCCTGCGGTCTCACTGCCGCTTGGGGTGGAAGATTTCGTCTTTTTGGCCTTGCCCTTCCCCGACCCTTTCTTTCCACCCCCCGTCTTCCCCTTTTTGGGTATCTCGGGCATCCTGATTGTCTTCATAATAGTATCCGAGACCAGTTTCTGTAACTCCTGCCCCCTATTCTGCAATTCAGAGACCAGGAAGGCAGGATCATCGTGTGGGCCCAGTGTGTTTTGCATGGCAAGTTTCTCGTCGAGCCATTTCTTCACCTCATCATATTTCGTCGTAAGAGCTGCCAGATCTTCGTTCGTGTACTCATATGGTTTAACCAGTGGCGGTTCGTCCGTCTGCGTTGCTTCGCCTTCTGACGCGCTGCTATACGGGTCCTCGTCTAGGTCATCTCCATCCATTGTGGGCGAGCTTGTCGAAGCACTCGAGGCTGCAGATTCTGCAGCTTCACTTGCACTCGAAGCCGCATTTTCTGCAGCCTTCTTGATGCTTCCTTCCACCATTGTAATCATCCCATTCATGCTCTCCAGTCCCTCTTTCAAGGCCTTCACGGCATCCGGTCGTTTCATAGCTTCATCCTGACGCTTTAATACCGGATCAACGAGGCCATGGAGAGTCTTCAACTTGTCCTTGAGGTCCTGGAGTTTGGCATCGAGGCCATCACTGTATAGCCATTCGGAGATGCTTGCCAGTTGTTTTTCTAGTTCTTTCCGAACAGACTCACTCGCGGCAGTAATGAAGCCCTCGTCCTCCAGATAGTCCCTTGCTCGGTATGTGAAAGCCTCGAGAGTGTTCAAAGCTTCAGCTCGGAGAGCGGCATTCCGATCCGACATATCGAATTGAGTTAGACGCTGTCGGAGACGAGGCAGAATTTGAAGAGGGGGAGCGTTGAGCCCGACAACAGTCGATCTCAGAGCAAGCGGTATTGAAACAATTGTGGGCGTGGATTTAGTTGCTTTGGCGGTTTTAGTTGAAGAGGAGGAGGAGGAGGAAGAAGAAGAAGAAGAAGAAGAAGGAGCAGGAGCAGGCGGCTCTGAAGGTGATGGCGAAGCAGATGACATGGTTGATCTAGAGCTTGTTGGATCAGACGAAGGCGACGGAATCTGAGATTCTGAGGTTCCTTCAGTCGCTTCTTCGTCTTCGACGACCTTTTGATCACCGTCCTTCTTCGAGCCGAAGCCAAACAAACCTTTGACGTTGTCAATGACGGTCCCGCCTTTGGTGCTCTCGGTTTCGCAGCTAACAGACCCCGAAACAACTTCTGGCAACCCATCCACATGACTCAACCGCATTGTGAAAATGGTGCTTATATTCGCCGCCGCACATCCATGCTTTTCTTTCAGCTCACCCACAGATTTCGTCAAGTTTAATGCTCCAACCTCCGTGACAGGAAGTTCCAGCTCCTTGACTGTTTGAGTGAACCCAAACGTGACATCTTCCAGCGTCCTGATAGGCACTTGCTTCTCAGCTCCAACTTGGGAGGACGGATGGAATAGTTTCTGTGCCTTTTCTTTGTTCTCGACACTCCATTTCAAGAAAAAAGTGAATCCCGAAATATCTGCGCCACGAATGTCTTTGACCCTAAAGCTGGGGCTTAGAGAGGCAGCTTTGAAAGCTGCTCCCATGACGGCAGCCTCGTCGGCGTTGACGTTGGTCTTGAGCTTGGATGATCCACTAGCGACTTTTTCAAGCTGCTTCTGCACAAATGGGGTTCTCACTGCTCCTCCGTGCAGAATGATCGAGTCGAGGTCGTCCAGTTGCAGCCCGGCCGACTGCAGAGCAGCTTCAATGGGAGACCCTACACGAGAAGCATGATCTGCAGCGAGCTCTTCAAATTTGTCTCGGGTGAGGCTGTACTTGAAAGAGATATCATCATCATAGAGGCCTTCGAGAGTCGCGGTTGATACCGCATTGGCACTGAGAAGCTGTCGCACTCGTTCCGCCTCTTTCCAAATTCTCGCCATTGATTTCCCGTGAGATCGAACTTGCTCACGATCCAATCCCAATTTCTTAGCGCCCGGAGTGTCAAGGAACCTGGAGATGATATCTTCGACAATAACATCATTTAAAGAATCCCCTCCTAGCGAGGCGTCGAATCCCATTCCGAGAGCGATGACCTCCTGAATGGTGGAATTTCGCTTGCCTGGCCCCTTGATCGTCCTGCCTTGAAACTTGAGCACCGTTGCGGTCGTTGATCCGGCACCTATATCATAGACAAGATGGTACTCGGGCTTAGCGCCATCCGTCACACTGTCGAAAGTCCGATGGGTTGCATAGTTAAGCCCAACAGCAAGTCCATCGCTGACAAGACCTAGGACTTTCAATCCCGCCAGGTCCGCGGCCAGTTGAATGGCTCGCTTCTCCTCAGCGGTATAGAACGCAGGGTATGTGATGACAACATCCGTGACAGATACACCCTTGGCGACCATCGCTTCCGCATTGCTCTTGACGTTCTTCAACTGCATGGCTAGTAGCTCTTCCACCATGAATATTTCGTCCTTCTTGATCCCGAAGCTCTGGCTCTTTAATCCCACCGTACCAGCATCCTTGTCCGTTCCGTTGCCTCTTGCCACAGGTACAAGGTTCAACTCGGGGTATCGTGTGGCATAGGCCTTGACAGCCTCCGCAGAGTATTCCAGGCCCAGCAAACTCTTCAGGTTGGGATAGACATCGCTCGGAAATCTTGCGGAGAGCGCTACGGCATCGCCTCCATAGAGGCGTTCGGGAAAAGTGTCGCCATCTTTTGTCTGGGCTCTGGAGGGTTTGAACGCAAGCGTTGCTGCCTCTCTTCTCTTCGAGTCTTTAGACAGGACAATTTCTATGGGTGACCCGGGCCTGGCGATGGCACCCTTTAGGTACTCTGTACCCAGATCTATACCCAGGACTGCAGCAGCAGCATGGGCAGTCGTAGAGAGGAATAGGAGGAGAGATAGTGCTAGGAGGCTAAATGTCGAAAGCTTCCGTCGGCCGGGCGGTGCCATTGTGCATATATCGGCGAAGCTCAGAAGTTGAATGGGATAGTACTCGTCAGGCGACTCAAAGAGAGGATAGTTTGTTGATTCGGTTTGGCGAGCACATTTCTAGAATGGTGCTCGAGTAGTAGAAATCTGAGGGTAAAATGAACATTGAACAGAGAAATGGCAAAATACCGTCTATGACACCGTTTTCATTTCTGATGCTCGCACGTTGCTCTCGCAGGCTTGTGAACAAGTTGTCCAAAAACTCCGAATTTCGAGTCATGCAACTTGACGTGCGCGAGTCACGGAAGAAGCTTTGCGTCACGTTGATCACTCCACGTTCTTCAGCCTCGACAATCTACAGCTTTCATCTTTCTTCTCCCATCGTATGATTATGATGTTTTGAATACAATTCTCGTCGACCTCTGCATTCTAAATCTCTTGCGAAGTGCACTGCGGAAGGTTTGTTCAATTCCAGCATGATCTTCTTCATGAAAAATGCATGAAATCATCACTCTTCAGCTTGGAACCAAGAGTAACTATCTGGCGACCCATTTCTGGAACGCTCAGGTATACGCTATACGACTGTACTAAAGCTCCGTCTAACTTACATCAAAAGGAATCATACTTCACCTACTCTGACGATGAAGAACCCCTTGTTAACCCAGACATTCACTTCCGGCCAGGTCTTGGATCCGATGGCTCGGAGACATTCACTCCTCGAACCATAATATATGACCTGAAGGGCGGGTTTGGCACTCTTCGTAAATTCAATGCCCTTTACGACATCCAGGGTGACTCACATCCTGTTCCCGGTCTTTGGTATGTCGCTGTTTGAGGACTCTCTCGACTGGATGAGATTCTGAATACCCCCAGGGACGGCAACACCTCCAGACATCAAGAGCGGCAGATTGAGCCATCCGAATACCAAAGAAGTCTAGACCTTGGTCTCCCAACTACACAACTCCACACCTCGGACGTGAGGTATTGGTCCGACTTCAACCGTGTCTTCTATCATCCTAGATCCATCGTTCAGCTCCACGAGTACGAGCTGAACTCGCAACTCATGCCCTTTGAAAACTGGTCGGCTGGCGAAGACCTGTTCGAAAGCCTGGACAAAGAAATTGATCTGCTTGATCGCGATGTCAGACCGTTCGTAGAGGAGTGCGATCAAGTGCAAGGTTTTCAATTCTTCACCGGCGCGGATGACGCATGGGGAGGCTTTGCTGCGAAGTACGTGGACAATGTGAGAGATGAGTATGGAAAGACAAGTATCTGGGTTTGGGGCATTGAAGACGGTTCCAGAGTAACTAGGGTACGTCCTCGCAAATTCCTCTGCTGACAAGTAGCTCAACAGGAATAGGAAAAGCAGTCAGCAAGAGCGTGCAATGCTGCCAGAACGCTCCGGTCAATTGGGCAGCAAGCATCAGCATACATACGGCTTGCTGCCCCTCCCTCAATCCTTCCTCGATACGTAAAGCTCGACAGTGGCTCTGATTGGATGAGCAGCGCGCTCCTCTGCGCGGGCATTGAATCTGTCACGCTCCCGACAAGGCTCCATGCCGAGGCAGGGAAACGAGGATCGTTGGGCCTATTAGAGGATACTTTGAATACCAATGGGGTTCAAAACATCTTCGAGCTTCATGCAAGCGTCATGAGCTCGAAAATTGGAGCCAAGGGCTCCTCCAACGGGACTGCGATGGAGCAAGGCAATGGGTATGAAAATGATCAAAGCGCTAATTTGCCAGAGCCATCACATTTAGACCTGGATTACAGCCCCAGTCTGCTCAGTCCGTCGGTCGCGAGGTCCCGTCACGTTTTCGCCCAAGTCGAATGTGAGCGAGACCACCTCGAGTCAGATACTCGGCCGTTAACTCTGACTCACGAGGAGCGGCTGCGACGAAGACTGAACGAAGAAAGCGTAGTCGAGATGTGAGTTGACACCTTTGCCTTTCGTGCCTCATTTCTGAAAGCGAACCAGCTCCCTTGGAAAAGATGAATCGATGGAAAAGGCTGACGCACGCTCAGATTTCAGACCAGTCTACAATTTCCTGTGCTGGACACGTTTCCAGACACACTCTTCGAGACAAGCCGCCAGCCGAGCGGGTTGGACGTATCGGCAGCCCTCGAATGCAACTCGAGAATGAAGGATCGACTTTTGGACCTCAGGGATGCGACATTTCGTCTGACACCATTGGAAGAACGAGAGGCGCATTACAACGATTTCACGCAAATGGCCCAAAATTATGGCATTGGATGGGAGTCAGGATCAGACCCTGGGATCGACGATGAGTGAAGCTATGCTGTCACACAAGAGACATTCATTCGATACGAGGGAGGTGGTGACTCGGGGGACCCGGGGGGGGGGGGGGCAAAGAGACCCATGCGATAGCTCAGCCTTGTACATTTTTGCCGAATGTCGTCGAAGCTTCCGGATCGAAAACAAAAAGTTGGATTTGTTTAACATGCACCAATCAAGCGACTCAAGGAGATGGCAGGTCAACGGCCCAATGTGGCATCACTGGAATATTTGGGGCGCATGATGTGATTCCGCCATCGATGAGCAAGCAAGCCTGTCCGGAACCGTGTGGAATTTCTGTGGAGCAGCTCAAGCACAGACCAGGGCGAGCTGGTAGCAAGTCAATGCCGTCATTCCAATACCTAAGTTTTTCATCATCGACCCTGCGTGAGGTGTGTACCCAGTAAAGATCTGCTAGGCTCCAACGCATATCTCCAAGCATTTGTCTACTGTTACGTAGCCATGAGCGCCCATCAATGTCCAATCAGCCGCCAGTCGATCCGAGTCCGACTCGTGCTCTAACCACGACTGGCGTCAGTGCCGAAAGGCAGCTCCAGAGCATGGTAACATGCTTGGGCCAAGGGCACAAAAATCAACCTGTCACGGTAGCCACCCGTAGCCACCCGTGATCTGACGGGAAGTACTCGGTATTCTCAGATGCAGAAGGACGATACAGTGGACACTGAAGCAGGAACAGAGGCAGGAACATGGAGTCAAACGGGAAGGGAGAGTCTTTGCACAGCTGTGCCTCCTGGGCTTCGAGAGGGTGAGAAATTCGCCGAGCGAGGTCAAGGCAACGTGGAAAACAGGGATGGCCCTGTCACTCAAGCAGCAAAACACCAATCGTCACGCCGTTCCTGAACCCGCTCAGCCACCTAAAGTGAAACCGCAGCTTTGGCGTCTTTAAGTGTTGACTCCCTGTTTGTTCCCTGCCAACCTCATCCGTTTCCTCTTACCTACCAAGTACAGTAGTAACCAAGGTAACTGGATCCAGCACTGGCTTCGATTGACATCAACCGTCTTCTGGTCTCGCCAAGTTCGCCAGAAATGCCATTGTCATGCGATCACACTACTTGTTACTTGTACGAGAATCAAAGCCGACAAGAGCTCCTAATGGGTCGCTGTAACAGGACTTGGTGTGTCGCATGACGAGCAGAATTGTCCTGAATCGAGATGGATTCTGACCTCATACGAGCAGGCCTTCTACCTTGGTACAACCCTACTTGTCACAAGTACATCTTGTCCGTGGCTTGCTAGCTGACCTTGGTTCTCGAAGTCCCACAATTTCATTCTGTTCCCTGGTTCCGAGGTAAGTACTGTACACACAGCCTACGGAGTCCCCAGTAGTCGGACGGACTGCCGAGTACCCAGTACCCAGTACGGTCTTGTCGGATAGCAAAATATGTTGGAAGAGGTTGTGTGAGGCTGAAGAACACTACTAATCCAAACCTAGCCAACAGTAAGTTGTATTGCTGCCAACCTCTCGATTTCAGCATGGCTGGCTCTTCCTCTGTCTCTTCCTTTGGCGCCTAGCTACGAGGTAAAAGGTGCATGCAGCTATTACGGAGGATTCTGCAGCCATCTGGAGAAGTCGGCAGAGAGGCGCCCCCCTCGTTCGTCTTTGCACCCAGCCAATTGGTCAATGAGACAGAATATCTGCGATGAGACCTCCAGACTGCCAGGCCAACAACTTGCTCGCTTTTTTGGCTAGCCTTGTTCCATTGAGGGAGCTAAGTATTCGGTACTGGGTATTCTCAGGATGACCCCGCCGGCCTAGCTTTGAAAGCTCCACTCGGGTTGACTCTACATACCGAGTACGGGGGCTGGAAAAGTCGATTGCTACCCTCCTCGCCTAGCCATCGTCCACTATGACATGATTCCGAGAGGAACAGGCTTGGTGGCATGGAACAATCCTGCATGCTCGTTCGTCTCGCCACATCCCCAGCACTTTGATTTCTCCCTCCATCTTTACGAGTACCTATGATGTTCGCATGGCAGAATCCACAGCTGAAGAAGCTCGAGAGGGGTGCCTCCCCAGCAGGGAATGTACTACCCAGTACTGGGTACAAAACCACCCGTCTCTCTCATCAGAAGACGTTTCTTTCTTCTTCCCATCATTACACTCTCGTCGTTTGACAGCCTCATCCCTCGCTTGTACTCGGTACACTAGAGCTCGTTCGCTAAGGCTCTAGTACACTCGCTCTCTGTATTCTCATCACCCCGGAAACCATATCCTCTCTCAACATGAGATCATCTCTCGTTCTGCTGGCAGTTGCCAGCTTAGCAAGTGCCGAAAAGGTATACGGAAGAGGAGAGACAATGACCGAAACATGGAGCGACTGGGCAAGTTCAAGCCCTACGAGCACGACGCCTTACACAAGCAGCTCTTCAACCACGACTACACCTTACACAAGCTCAATTCTCTCTTCAACTTGGGCCGATTGGACGACAGCCACCACCACCACTACTACTACTACTACTACTACTACTACTACTACTACTACTACTACTACTACTACTACCACCACCACCAAAACTACCACTACCAGCACGACGACTCCGGTACTTTCATCGACCTGGATCGATTGGTCAAGCACAGCTTCCCCTACAACTACGAGTTCACCTTCAGCTCAATGGCTCGATTGGTCAAGCACAACTTCCTTTATAACGACGAGTTCACCTTCAACCCAATGGATCGAATGGACAACCACTTCTTCCACGACTACGCCTTACACAAGCTCAAGCACTAAAGGATGGGAAGAATGGTCCTCGTCATCCCCAGCTCCTGTTGAGACAACGTCCTGGGCCGATTGGACCCCTTCGACTCCTCCGGCGCCGATAGTGACTTCATCATCTCACTGGCAAGATTGGACGTCTTCCGTCGTGGTTTCTGTACCGACCTCCTCCTGGCAAGATTGGTCCTCATCCCCAGCTCCTGTCAAGACCTGGACCTCTTCCATTGCGCCTGTTCCAGTTCCAACGACAACGTGGCAAGATTGGACAACGTCTACGCCCGCGGCACCTGTTCCCGCGACAAGCACATGGGCCGATTGGTCATCCAGCATCCCCGCGGCCCCGGCTCCAGCGCCCTCGAGCAGTGAGTGGAACGACTGGGTGTCGACAGTTGTGTATAGCAGCTACTCTGTCCCTCACGCAAGCACTTGGGCCTCTGTTGCAGTTACGAGCAGTGTCTGGTCTTCGTCTCCAGCTCCTGTGGTCAGCAGCAGCGTCTGGACAAGCGTTGCGCCGGTCCCGACCACCACGGCACCCGCCCCAGTTGCGACATATACTGGCGCCGCCAGCAGCAATAACAAGCCCGTCATGGCGCTCCTTGCCGGTGTTATCGGCCTTGTTGCCCTAGTGTAAATGAAAATTACCTAGGCCAGTCATGAATCAAGGGAGGAAGTTGATTCAGGGTTGGCGAGAGAGAAAAAAAAAGCATATCTTTCATTCTCTGGCAACGTCGTCCGTCCTCTATCCCACTCCATGCAGCATATGCATGTTCAGAAAGATGGCAAATGTCGACGACTGACGCTGATCCTTGTTTTGGCACGATACGAATGGTTTGTTTTAATAGCGGCTCACCCCACGGAACCAGACCGCGGGCGCGAGCGTACGATCCTTACGACTGAAAAAGATACGAATACCGAATAGACACTCCTTACGGCACGGAAAGAGATGAGACACATCGTTCCCTTGCGACTCACCTTGAAACTATGCACAGCTTACCCAGCATAAATCCTGTTGAAAACTACTTATTGCTATTGCTTTGGATTAATATCACCCTGGGATGGGGAAGTTTGGACTATTACCACGGGAAGCGAGCTCCTTGCTGGTGTGCGCCTGAAGGGACGCGGAGGATATTGGGGCCGACTATACTGCGATAGTAGCCGATGATGATGCTTGGAGAGATACAGTCGTAGTTGACTGAACTACTTGAGAAGGCAAATAATATGGCATCTATCTCCTTCCAACTTGGTCAAAGTCATACTCGATGGACTAGTGGTTAATATGTAGCTTGGGAAAGAAACGGAGAGACAGTCCGTCATTTCCCAATTCTTCAATCCAAAAAATTCAAGTCATTTGTCTCCAGCTAAATCCCGTTCGTATCAAATGGTCAGATTTGGGAGAAGTTCTCCCGCAATAGGTCGTCCTTGGTTGTAATATTCGGCGGCTGCAGTCAAGACAATCTCCGCGACAGACTGCAGGCTTACTACGAAGCTGTCCTCGTCGGCGATAGCATATAATTTGTTGATAGTGACAGCGGCTCCAGACGTGCTTAACAAAGCGTAAAATTATGGCCATACATAATGTCTAGGTGGCTCCCATCAACGGGCGCCCTTCGCATAATTAAGCGATAGGGAAGACTTCCAGCCTAATTAAGCAAGACGGTGTACTCTTGGCACTAGCCAACTTGCGAGGCTGCGAGGCTGCGAGGCTGCGAGGCTGCGGAGGCTGCTGTTATTTAAGCCTGATATATCACAACTAATACAATTTCTCTTCCTGCTCAATCTAGCAATCAATTAATTTATGGCCCTAGATTGGCTCAACATTTCCTGTCTCCTTTGTACTTGAGGAAGAATGCCATATCAATCCTCAGCACAATCAATCTGTGCGCTGTCTGGATTACTATGACGCAACGTGTTATACCGCCGTTTGGGGGGCCAGCCAAATTCAAATTCGCCGATTCCATCGCACGAGGCTGCAGGATGTCATACGAATCGCGACCCGATACTCGAGGCAGGTACGAGGCAGTTCAATGATGAAAATATTCAACTTTTGAGCTCCTCCTGTGTTACATCTCTGTGGTTATTTATACGTTGGAAGCTGATAAATGTCATCAAACGTTGTTGTTTTATCCCTTTTTTTTTTTTGACTGAGGATTTCCCTCTCCGGCACAGAGTATGGGGCAGCTACACACAGCCTCACAAGTGCAATCAATGGCTCCCCTAAGCCTTGAAGGGGCCGAAACTTTACGACATGCATCCACATCTACATCCGGCATGCTCACGCCCAACATCAAGTCAAAGACAGTCGTCACCTTCCCACCTGGCGACCCGGTCAACCCACGGCACCGGCCCGTCTGGCGAAAATGGACCATCATCACCAGCATCACTCTCATTGGCTTGACCGTCTCGTGGGGGCGCTTCAGGCTATTCGCCCGTCAGCGAGAAATTCACCAAGTACTTCCATGTTAGCACCGAGGTCGGTGTCTGGGGCCTCTCGCTGTATGTGTTAAGGCTGGCATTTCGGCCGATGAGTTTGGCGCCCTTGTCCGAGTATCATGGATGGACGGCTCTCTATATCCTGCCGTACGGGACATTCTTACTGTTTCTTTTGGGTATGGCGTTGGTTGATGACCTCGGCGGCTTCCTCGTCCTTCGCTTCCTCTCAAGGCTCTGCGCCAGTCCAACGATAGCGAATTTCAGCGGCACCATTGCGGACCTATGACCGCGGCATCAGGTGGGACCGGCCATGAGCGTGTTCCTCTGGGCCGCCGTGTGTGGTTCGCCATCGGGGTATTTTTTGCTCTCATTCGTCGCACAAACAAGAGGATGGAGAGACGTCTTCTGGGCACTGTTGGGTATATGTGGCGGCCTATGGGTGATCATGGTTGTCGTCCTCGCCGGCTTTCGGAGCGAGACGAGACATTCCATGTTGTTGAGGCAGAGGGCGAGTCGACTGAGACGAGAGAGTTCGAGCAACGCCACCGTCCCGGAGGAGATGGGGCGCAAATCTTTGACACAGTTGTTTCGTGTCACACTGTCTCGTCCCTTCCAGTTCCTGGCCACAGAGGCAATCATCATCTTCGCTGCACTTTACAACGGTTACCTCTATGGCTTGTCGTTCCTCTTCAACGGTGCACTCAACTTGGTTTTCGGTAAGCACGGCTATGGCTTCAAAACTATTGGCGTGGGCTTGTGCTTCCTCGGACTCGTTGTGGGCATAACGCTAGGTCCTATCGTAAATGTCTGGTAAGAGCATCATTACTAAAAAGCCATCTATTTCCGCCCTAGACGTGCAGAGAAGCCCAAATCGTGACGGCGCCGATATTAGCAAAGACGATAAGCACTTCAAGAACGTCCCTGGGGCACGCCTTCAACAGGCCAAAATCGCCGTGATCTCATTCCCCATCTCCATTTTCTGGTTTGGTTGGACCTCTGTGCCAACATACAACATTCTCTGGATGTTCCCCATGCTTGCTACTGTCATGTTCGCATGGTCCTTTTACACCTTGATCCTCATGACGTATATGTATATCGAGCACAGCTACATGGTCTTCTCCGCTTCTGCGCTGGCTGGCGTGGGACTCTTCGGAAACATGGCGTGTGCCGGTTTTCCACTGTTTGGCACACCGTTGTTGAGAATGAAGGGTACAACTGTGCAGGAACAATCCTGGGTTGCCTGGCGATATTGCTGGTGCCCATTCCCTTTGTGCTGGAGAGGTTTCGCACGAGGCTGAGAATGAAGAGTCCGTATGCGAAACAGCATCTGGATGATGATGATGATGATGATGATATGGAGGTGAATGCCTCCGAAAGTGACGCCTTTGGGCCATGATGCCTTTTTATTTGCCGTTGCAGAGGGCAATTCTAGGAGATAATTGTCTGGTTCTGTGAAACTGCGGGAAGGATAGCGGTCCATTCATCCACGCGCAGCTGTTACCTTGAAAACTTCATGAGCAGGGAGTTGAAGCGTTACGACATTAAAGACCCTTGCAGCAGTGAATTGTTGGTCCTGTTACCTTGCCTTTGGCGCAGGAGACCAATCCACTTTGTTTCGATCATATTCTTGTTTGCGGGCATGTCTGCCTGGGGGGCTTGTTGTCACAAACGAGCGCCTCTGTTGTGGAAATGTAGCCCGTCCATTACAGTGATCTAGAGAGGAAGTCCAGGTCTGCTTCAGGCATCCAATCAGCCCACCACCAGCGACCAACACTGTCGAGGCCCAGATGATCAGAGAACAGATTTTGATCGTCGATGCTGAACGAGAATGGAGTGCTGCTGTTCCATGCCGACTCGGCGCTGATTATGGCCTGCACTTCTTGCGGCGGATCCGTACTCGCCTGCAGGTGATGGTTTGTTGGCGGCCCTGTATTGATCACCCCATTGTCAGACTGGTTCACGCCGGCGAAATCTTCAATCCTCTCCAAGGGACCCGTTGCTGGACTCTCAAATACCAGACGCCATTTCCGACACAGCTCGGGACCAAAGGGTGCAAAGAATTCTTCCTGCTCAGGCGTAAGAGCTATCCGGGTAGACAGCACCGTTTCCGGCAGAGTAGTGGAATGCTTCATCATCTGGTTGACCACTCTCTCAGCACCGATGGCGGACGGGAATCTCTTCTTCAATTCATTCAATGATGATCTGATGATTTCGATCTCTTCGACCCGATGTGTGGCCAGCGAGGGAAATCGCTGATAAGACAGTTGTAAGAGGGCTGCGACCATGAGGTAGAATATCGAGGTCACTGGGAGATGCGAGATATCCTCCCACGTAAGGTACTCCTCGAAGATCCCGGAGATGAAGGACGAGGCCAGCAACGAGACGGGGGAAGGGGGCTGGTTTCTGTTTTCATGTCGGAACAGGATTATCAGAGAGGTGAAGTAGAGCGTGTGAAGCTGCCGGGACTTGAAGTTGTACTCATTCAATTTCTTCGTCTCGGGACTGTAGAGCCGCAAGCTCGGTGGCACGGCTTTCAGCCACCGGCGAAGGGTGTCTTCGAAATCGATCTTTTTGCGGTCCGAGAGCGTGCCGCGACAGTAATGCTCGGTCATGTCTCCTAGAATTGAAGTTATCTGCACAAAGTGCATGAACAGGAGTGCGTCCTCGTCGTCGCCTTCAAAGTCATCCATGCGTAGCGGTCGAACGTTTGAGTCTTCTGCATTAACGGCCCTTGGACGTCCATGGCTTGCGGCTATCTGATTGTCCCTGGACTTTCGTATTGTTAGTTTGTGGGCGTGTGGTGAACAAAATGGATCATCTTCATCTTACGAGCAGTGCCCACCAAATCCTCCGCCTCAACTTGGCATCTCCCATTCGTGGGTCGGGTTCACGATGAAGGCCCAACTGGTGTGCAAGAGCGACGCTGATCCGGAGCCAGAAGCTGCTGTTGTCAATCGACACATGCTCTGGGCCGGACGGATTCAGCCACTGCAGGAAAATCGTGGCCATAATGGCATGAAGGTGGTTTTGCTCGGCATTGGTGTAGAAGAGCACTTTTGCTCGCTGGTAGCATTTCTGTCCCTGTTCTGCAGCCTGTGGCGTGGACGAGACTATGCTTCCTGCCACCAGCATGGACGTCACGAGCAGCGTGTCTTTGTTCTTCGCATCGAACTTGTCGAGGTCTGATTCGTTCACCAGTGGCATCCATGGACGACATCTTTGCAGAAAGTTTCTCAACAAAGTCTGTCGCAGCGTCCCTTGGGGCAGTTCGAGCACGGACAGGTTGCGCCGCATCCTCACCTCGAAGCTGTGCCATGAGCCCGCGCGAGGGGCGGGACTCTGGTAGTGAGTGGCATCGTCCTCATCGATTTCGGCATGGGCGGAGATATAGTCGGCACGACCGAGATAGCTGGGTTGCTGGGATGGAGTCAAGGTCCTCTCGCCCTCTGCCGGACGTCTGGCCTTTTTGGGTTCAACGGAATGGGGGCTTTCACCGTTATCCAACTGTTGGCGTCTGCGTTTCCTGACATGCGGTCTTTTCCCTCGAACGTCAATGGATTGTCCTCCAAATCTCGAGATATGACCTTACAGACAGGCTCTCCCTGCATCGCGGCAATTTGAGCAAGCTTCGCGTGTGCTCTCATGCAGGTTCTTGTCACATCTGACTTTTCTGCTATGACAAGCCTCGCAGGCGCTGCTTTTCCTGACATGCGGCCTTTTTCCTCAAACATCAATGAAGAGGCCTTTCAAGTCTCGGGGCATGACCTTACAGACAGACTCTTCCTGCATCGCGGCACTGGGAGCAGGTTTCGCGTGTGCTCTCATACAGGTTCTTATCACATCTGACTTTTCTGCCATAACAAGCTTCGCAGGCACTGTTTTGTTCGGAACTTCCTAGAGCAGATGGCTCCGATGTTGTCGAGGGTATCCAGCTGGGATCCTCACTCTCATCGAGAGACATTTCGCCGCGGCGTTCACCACAACGCCGTCAACCAGCATAAATGGCGGCAAATTCGATAATTGAAGTGGGTGAAAAATATCAAGATGACGGAGGATAAAAAGCGCCGCGGCAAATTGCAGCGTTCAGGCTTCCTTGAAATCGCCGAATCCTCCCGAAAATAGCTCCATACAGGGCCAAGTTTTACAGGGGAGATGTGTAGACATCCGAGGAAGATAAACAGGCCTTAGGGATTGGGAAACTTAAAGCTGAGTTGATCTTGTGACAAGGGATCACAGAAAAAAAGAATCTATTTCGTCTATATCATCCCTGTCTAGCCAGCTCTATGCCCCAAGTGCCTTCAGGGACTTGGCCGCATCAACGATTGTCTCCTTGAGCGGCCGATATGTGATGCCCAAGACCTTGATGGATTTAGTGTTGTCGATACCATATGGTGGAAGCTTGTCAACCAACTCATCTCGGAGATTTCTTTTGATTTCTGGGAAGGCGTCTTCCATAATCTCCCGGAGCTGCCTCTCGGTGGCCATCTGAGCGGCAACAAAGAATCTCTGATTGGCAGCTTGAGGTCTTTCAATGGCCAGCACATGGGCCAGTGCCAAGTCTCGAACATCAACATGAATAGGCGACCCAACTGGTCCAGATCGTGGGGTGCCACGGTAGAGATTCAATATCCGCAGGCTGGAAGTGTTCAGTTCCTCCAATGATGTGACTTGATGAAGCACCGGTCCGTATATCATGGGTGGATTGAGGGAGGTGAGAGTGAAGTTCGGATTCTCTATCTTCACAAAGTCCCAAGCGGCCTTTTCGGCGAACTTTTTGCTCGCTCTATAAGCCGCCTGTGGATCAGGTGCCGCCAGAGCTTCTTCCATGGTCATATCATTCCAGATCTCTTCGTTGTATACAGCAGGCGGGTTGCGGTAATTCGACAAGGCAGCGAAAGATGACGTGATCACCACATGTTTGACAGATTTTGCTGACTTGTGGATAGCCTTCAGGATCCCTGTCGTCCCGTTGATCGCGGGATCAAGTAAGTCTTTCTTGTTGTCTATGACTTTGAAATGGAAAGGACTGGCAGTGTGCACAACGGCTTCAAACGGAGGGTCGGCCTTGACGGCCTCATCGAACGCCCCTTCTACCGCAATGTCTTTGACAATCGTATACGAGACTGGCTTGCCCTTGAACAATTCTTGCAGGTAGTGCCCCTTCTCATCGGATCGGACAGTGACGACCACATCGTGCCTCAAAGAATGGTCAGTACTCGACAACTTCCAAAGCAGATTTCGATCCAAAATACCCGCGTTTGAGTAACTCATTTAAGCAATGCGCAGCGAGAAATCCGCTACCGCCGGTCAACAAGACCTTCATGATGAGAATGAATTGGGACCCTGAGCTTTAGCTGTCCTCGGTGACCAACACTTCAATGATTTTTCCTCCGATTGAAAGGTTGGTCATCACAGGAAAAACATTTGGGGGGGGACATCTTTATATAATATTTTGTACCATGGTCGTTGTATTATGACCGCCCCACGGCAATTCGCCATTTGTTCCGTATATTCCCACCTAGGTCTGTGCAATCCAATCCTGCGGTGATCGGCGACGACGACCAGACAGTACGTCCTTCGCCTCTTCTATAGAATGCGACCAAGAGCCGTGGCTTGATAATTTCCATTGAGCATTAAATACTTCATACCAGGACGAAGCTGGATCTTTGGGTCGCAGATCTGCAATCAAAGCCCTTCGGAGGGCTGATGAAGGTGAGGTTGATTGGCCTTCGTAGTTGACCGGAGTTTGACGGGGCGTCTGCCGTTAACCTAAGCATTTGGGTGCCACCAGCGCTTGTCCAGCAGTTTGTCAGCTTAGCTGGCCTGGCTGTGGAGGACGAGGCCAGCCGAAGAGACAGCTGGCAGCCGAAGAGACAGCTGGCATTAATTATTACGAGATTAGTAGCTGACCAATACTGGGTATGTAGACCACAGCCAAGAAATGTTATTGTCTGACGAAAAGATGGCGGCCCTCTGCCGCCCTCTGCAGCCCTCTGCCTGCATCTGTCCTGATATGTTACTGTCAGACAGTGCCAAATTTCCAAGATGATGAGAACACCAAATCGTAACCGCACACGCCATGTACTTGGTACACTTCGCATGCGACCCATTTGATATGCGCTCTGTGGCACCATCACCCGCGAGTGTGCCATGCGCATGATTTGTCGCCATGTGACGCCTCCAGCTGTATCATTGTCTACATTACTCGCGTCCGTACGGCTTTGGCAGTGGCTGAGAGGCGTTTGTCTGGTCGTGCTTCTTGCCGGTCTGGCCTCGATAGCCACCGTCCACGCACAGACACCTGGCCAAATCAAGACCCTCAGGAAGGAGGCCGAGGATCTCTTTTATCATGGCTTCGAGAACTACATGTCCTATGCCTTCCCCGAAGATGAGCTGCGTCCGATTTCCTGCAAACCCTTGACACGCGACCGCGACAACCCGGCGCATATCGAAGTGAATGACCCCCTGGGAAACTACTCCTTGACCCTCATCGACAGTCTATCCACTCTTGCGATATTGGCTTCCAACCCGTCGAGTTCAAAACATAATAAACCTCTGCGACTCTTTCAGGACAGCGTCCGGGATTTGGTTGAGCAGTATGGGGATGGCTCCGACGGCCCGTCCGGGCAAGGGCTACGAGCAAGAGGGTTTGATCTCGATAGCAAGGTTCAAGTCTTCGAGACAGCGATACGAGGTCTTGGTGGTCTGCTGAGTGCCCATCTATTTGCGGTCGGTGAGCTACCGATCCGCGGCTACACTCCTCCTCAAAAGCAGGTTGCATATGCTGAAGTATGGCAGAAGGATCAGTTCGATGGCAAGAAGCAGGGCATTTTTTGGCCTAATGCGTTTGAATATGACGGGCAACTTCTCAGGCTGGCTTATGACCTTGGCAACCGTCTAATTCCTGCCTTCTGGTCCTCAACTGGTATACCGTATCCTCGTGTCAATCTTCGGCACGGAATCCCGTTCTATGTCAATTCTCCGTTGAATTCTGCTATTAGAGATGGGCAATGTGAAGCCCGCGCAGGAACACCCGAAATTACCGAGACATGCAGTGCGGGCGCCGGAAGTTTGGTGCTTGAGTTTACAGTCTTGAGCCGACTAACTGGGGACCCGCGGTTTGAGGAACTCGCAAAAAGAGCATTCTGGGCGATCTGGCAGAGGCGCAGTGTCATCGACTTGATTGGGGGTGGGATTGACGCGGAAAGTGGAAACTGGATCGGCACTTGGACTGGTATCGGTGCTGGCATTGACAGTTTTTTCGAATATGCTCTGAAGTCGCATATCCTTCTGTCGCGGGAAGCCCATCCAGTCTACAACAGCGTCGATGCCTCTCAAGACCCAAGAATTCTTCATGAATCCCTATCGGCAGAAGAGTCGACTTCTGAGGCTTTTCTCAATGCTTGGAACACTGCTCATGCTGCAATTAAAAGGCACCTCTACCGTGGATCAACTTATCAGCACCCACACTATATTCAAGCTGATTTCTCTACCGGTGCCGCCAGAGGGTTTTGGATTGACGCATTGAGTGCATATTATCCTGGCCTTCTCACGCTTGCCGGGCACGTTGACGAGGCCGTGGAGACTCATCTGCTACAGACGGCCCTGTGGACAAGGTTCTCTGCTCTGCCTGAGCGGTGGAATCTCGTGACTGGAGGCATTGAAGGCGGTCTTGGTTGGTGGATAGGTCGACCAGAGTTCATCGAGTCTACTTATTATCTCTATCGCGCCACAGAAGATCCTTGGTACTTCCACGTCGGAGAAATGGTTCTTCGGGATATTAAACGACGGTGTTGGACCCGGTGTGGCTGGGCTAGCATCCAGAACGTGCTGACCGGAGAGCAGACGGACAGGATGGAGAGCTTCTTCCTGGGAGAAACTGCAAAATACCTGTTTCTCCTTTTCGATCCCACTCACCCTCTCAATCACCTAGATGAGCCTTTCGTCTTCACGACTGAAGGCCATCCATTGCTCATCCCTCGAAGTGTTGACAATGGCTCCGACCGAGTGGCTCTTGGGCACCCAGTCCATGGAGAAGAGTTAATTTGTCCCGTCAAGCCATCACCCCTGCCACTGACCATTTCCAGTATTGCCTCAAGAGGCGATGTCTACCATGCCGCTAGCCTAGCCAGACTTCATCTAATGCCTCACAGGGACAACGTCGAGTCTGTACTTGGCGAATACGCAGCGGACCACCCGAGCATTACACTATTGGACATCAGCTCTCCTTCCAATCATACGTATTATCCATGGACGCTTCCGCCAGAGCTAGTCCCCTGGAATGCTTCGAGCTCACTCATACCAACGAGACCGACACTTGACATTTCGTTTCCAGCGATATCTCCCGCGGGCCAACCTGTTCCTCCCCTCCAACGCGTAAAAGATGGCATCTTGATCAATTCCATCGGCGGCTTACGGCTCGGAATGATTCAGGATTACCCCATCCTTTTCGACGATGGGTTCCACGATACATTTCGCATCCAAACAATTAACAATATCCCCCTTGGTAAAGATGAAAAGGTATACCTGGCGCGTGACACGGGCAGAGATATTCTTAGCCCTGCGGATCCCAATTTCACTCGCATTCGCGATCACGTTATGTTGGACCTGGTGATTGATTTGAATCGATTGATCGAAGATTCCGAAGCTGGGAAATCTAATGAACCAGCGACGACCGCAGCAGGGCAGGAATCTGAAAATGGTGGGGATGCTTCATTTATAATCGATCTTCCGAATTTCGAAGATGGCGCAAACGACGGCGCAATGCGAGCAGCATGGAACGCCATCGTCTCGCAGATCTCAAACCTCATCAGAGAAAGCCGTGCTCCGTCTCCCTGGCCATTCTCAACAGCACTTTCGCTCACTTCAACTTCAGCAACCAGGCGTGTCTCTTCATCTACGACGTCATCCTCCTCCCCAAAAGTTGGAGCAGGCAACTTGCTACGGTACCACCTTGCTGCGGTAACACCAACCGGCCCCGGCGCCGCGCCCCTGCCAGACTGGCCTGAAGTCTCCACCCTGTTATCGCCTGGGGCTTCCCTGCCTGCGCTATCGTGGACGAAGATCTACGTGACGGATGAACTTTGCAACCACAGATTGCCTGTCAGCGTGGTGAAGCAGCATCAGATCCTCGTGGTCAAGAGGGGAAAATGCGACTTCAGTGCGAAGCTGGAGAACATCCCCGCATACAAACCGAGTGCGCAGGCATTGCAGTTGGTGGTTATCGTATCGTTCGGACAGAATGAAGTTTTGGAGCACGGCGGCGCCGGAGAAGAAGACAGACCCAGCGCCCAGGGTGTCCCGAACGATGATGAAGGCGCACATCCTGATGATGCCTACGACGAAGCCAACCTAATCCGCCCATACCTGCACCAACGGCAAACCACGCCAGCGGGATTACCGCGACGAAATCCCATCCCGATGGTCCTTGTGGGCGGTGGTCGGAGAGTGTACGATGTCTTCAAGAACGGTGCTGTTGCCGTGGGGGTCAAGAGACGGTATCACGTGGAGACCCAGGGAGTGAGGATTGCGAATCTGGACATTGTGTAGATGGATAGATCGGGAGGAGCAATGAGTGAATGAGTCAGCCGTGTTCGTTTCTATACATGAATGCTGGAGATTACATGTAGATACAGATCCGGGCACTCATCCGGGATTGCTAACACATCGAGACAATTGACGATCTTTGTTCGTACATGAAGACGAGTAGAGAATGAATATTCATGCTTTCCTTCTTCAATTACTGTGTGTATGTACAATCTTGAGACGAACAAGAAAGGAGTCGACGCAACAGATGAACTATAGAGCAGAGGCAACTTTCTTTATGGGCGACCAACGTGTCAAAACCTCCGTCATCTAGCGAACGATGAAGTCTTCGTATTTGGGCCTCTTTGTAGGTGCCAATGAACCAAATGTCAATCTTACCACCGGCCCCTCCAGCTCTTCTCATACGAGCGCGCCTCTTCCTCTGCGCGCTCAAGCGCCCGCCTCCACTCCCTCCCCATCCGTCTCGCCAGCTCGTCTGGCGTTTCGGCTCTCTGTTCTTCGCCACCCCCTCCATTCAGAACGTTCCCGGACTCGTCCGTTGGGCTCTCGCATCCTCTCAGGCCAATAAACCGGCCCCATCTCCTTCTTTTCGTCTCAAGATCTACGTTCTTCTGGTCGGCAGCAGTGTTGGGGTTCTGCTGTCGGTTCCGGGGTAGACTTGTCCAAGCAGGAATCCACGCCGGATATTGGAACGTCTCTTCCACAGGCGGCGTCACCTGGTGATACCATCTCGCAAGGGAATCCAATTGCTCATGTGTGAGCAAGTGATACTGCAGTAGACTGGTGGGGAATTCCGGATGCGGGAGGCCTGTCGTCACGGAGATCAGGGGAACCAGTGGGGCACGCAGGTGCTCTACGCTGGACTGGTAATGTTCTCTGTTTCGCCGGCTTGTAGGTGAGAGGATGACCTCAACGTGGTATTGTGGCAGTGGGGGAAGGCGCAGCTTCGGTGGAAGACGGCTGTGTTTCTGCGATTGTTTGCGGATCGGAGAGCGAGTCTGAGTTCTAATAGGGGCCGGAGTGTGAGAGCGGATGAGGCGTCTACCGTTGCTTGCGGTGGTCGTTGTCCGTGATGCAGATGCAGTCGCGTTAGCTGGTTCCCAGTCGAAGAGCGTTGATGTATCAGAGGACGGCGTGGATGCGTATTCTGACTGATCTGTTTCTTCGTGAATAGTCTCGCTGGCAAAAATTGTATTGACACGCAGAGGCAGAGTAAAGACTCTCTCATACGTTGGACTGCGCATGGCCATGCGGCTCTGCCGGCCGTCCTCGCGAGGGAAGGTGGCTGTCATCGGTGTATGGGTCATCTGAAAATGTGCTCTCTCCGGCGTGCTCATCTGGTGGCGTGCTCGTGCCGGAGATATTGGCACAAAAGCTGCTTGTGCAGGGGACATCATCACTGGAGACGCGAGGCTGTTTCGTCGGCAAATTGTGCCATTGGTATTGCTGCAAGCCCAAGGATTTGGGCTGGTGATCGATGTTTGAGTAGAGGTTAGACCAGAGAATGTAGTCAGCAGCTGACGAAGCGGCTGGACCAACTCATTTTCAACAACTATGGGCGATTGCGGCGACAGTGGCGACAGGGTGGGAAGGATTGGAGACGTCGGATTCGATGAAGTCATGGCTGTTCTATTTGATAACTAGGAGTTGGTAGAGACTGTATAGAAATGAAGATATTGTAACAACCGGACAATGTGGATGCTGGAAAAGAGTGTGCAGCAGGAGAAGAAACAGGTATGAGAGCGGTCCACGATCACAAATGGCCAGGCCAGATGCAGGCCACATCTTGAGAACAATGAACAGGATTCGCCTAGAATAGGTCATGCACCTACGCTTTTCCTTGATCATGATAAAATTGGCAGTTTCAGGCTCATTGTGATCAGGAACAGACTCGACACCTTCTCTTTGTTCGAAACTTGCCGTTGTATAGACCGAAACAAGGGAAGACGACAAGCAGGGTTGGACAGATGGGCAGAATCAACAAAGAAATCCGCAGATACGCTCTTTCCAGGGGCTTGGTGTTTGGTCGTTAAAAGATGCTGATGGTAGCAGCAGATGGACAAACATGTCTCCCTCTACTTGAGCTGTTGAATTCGCCGTGATGGACCAGAAGGGTGAGAGACTCACCAGTCCTTTGTTGAATGCTGGCTCGAGACGTACCGTGCCCTCAACAGTGTCCGTGATCTGTATGGTCTCATATCATTGTCACCAAGTCACATGGAGCACGAGATGATGCCCATATCACGGATCATTTCAGAATGGCCAGCTCAGTGGATCCTTCGTTGTGCTTTGCTTGACTGTACTCCGTATCTGGGGTGGAATTGCGTTTGATTGACCACTTGGCAGATGACCTCTTCTTTGTTCAAGGTGAAGAGGGAGATGGATGTCTTTCAGATGAATGGACATTTGTCGTTGATCAGAGGGCAAAACACGCGTCCCACTTACTCTTTACTGTGTAGTTTGGTCAGCGGCGGCCATAGCCAAGGTTAAGGCTAGTGGCTCAATTCTTGGTTGGTACCTTGGTAGACACCCACCCCCCCAAAAGAGGAGCGGAATCAATATCCCCAACCGCCTTGCATACGTATGTACCTCGTAGTGGCTGAAGGGCCTGAGGGGGAGTTGGTGTAGCCTTTTAATCCCCGGCCGATCTAACGCATTCCTTGGAGATGCAACCTCGGGAGTCAGGAACGAAGCTTGATTGGGGCGAGGCTCGAGAGAAGAGTGAGAGGAAGATAACGGGTACTCCGTACCGGGAGACCAAACGAGATGGATGGATGGGAAGCTGCAGGTGAAATCGAGGTTCTCTTTTAGCCTCATTTTCATCTGATTTGCTCAGCTGATGGGATGGATTGATGGGATGAAGGATGGATGCGTTCAGGTACCGAGTGAGGAGCAGCAGGGAGGAGCGAGAGAGGGAGGAGCGAGCAGATGGAGATGGGGATGGTGACAGATTGGGGACGCCGACGGCAGATGCCCAGGCTTGGGGGCGCAGTATCGAGTTGACTATCGGGGATTAAGCACTGCTAACTACTCCGTACAAACTCTTGTCTCCCCCCCAGCTTCCGGGCTTGGTGCTCTGTGTTCGGTGCCCTGTGCGCTCTGCCCGGTTCCTGTCTGGTCGACTGTCCCTCTTTCTCATCCCGCCTCCGACATGTATTCGTCCTCGTCTTCATCCTCGCCTTCGCCTTGGTACTTCTTGTCAATGGGCTCAACCAACTACTGGTAGGGGAAGGCCAGTCCTTCCATCGACCTATCTACCTATCTCCTCTACCTACCTACCGACCCATCTTCATCCTCACATCGTCTCTTTGACCTCTTTTCTCCCCCTCCCCGCCATCACCGTTCATCCTCCGTGTCCTCTAGATGTCCATCGTACAGACATGAATCCAAACGTGAGCTCACCGCTATCTCGAAGCCACACTGCTTTTCCTTGTCTCCTACCAGATCCACGTCAAAGGTCACACTTCGAGTCTCAGCGCACATAAGCCACCCTCCACCACGCACCTGCTGTTCTCATGATCGCTCGACCTGCACCCGGATAATCTGCACCGAAAGTTCAATGCAACTGACTGCCATCCTGCACCGCGTTTGATTCCAGCCTGTGAACCGCCCTCCACTGGCCTAGTGTGTTCTTGCAGTCATGCCATTTTGTTTTGGAAGTAAGGACGAAGAGCCAAAAGACGAATACGACCAGATCCCCTTTGGTCTGAAATGGCGCATGCATTGGGCAAAGAAAGAGACCGACGCTCGCACCGGCGAATCGGTGCTGCGCCTCAGCAACAACCGAATCCTCAAAACACATTGTGTCAATACCGAGTATCAGGCCCTGATGCTGATCGACCGACACACTTCGGTGCCTTCATACAAAGTCCTGGCGGTATACAACAGACCGGAGGGAAAAGTAGTCGAATACGAAGCATACCCTGGGAAGCCCTTGCAGGAACTATGGCCGTCCATGTCAGCACATAAACAGAACAAGATTGTGGCCGATCTAGGGCGCTTTGTGGAGCAACTCAGGAAGATGCAACCACCAAAACAGTGCGTCGTGGGGGATGCCACACTGGGCGCTGCGTTGGATCACCGCTTTGGCTCTGGTCGCATAGGACCCTTCTTTTCCATCGAGGCTTTTCAAGAGTTTGAGCGGAGGGGTCACCCGACAGACGATTTCCCGGAAAAGGAGATCCAAATGGTTCATGCACCCAAGAAACCATATCAACTCAAATTTGCCCACGCAAGCCTTTGTCCCCAAAACATCCTCGTGGACGATGCGGGTCGGATATGTGCCTTGATAGGCTGGGAGTCAGCTGGATGGTATCCCGAGTACTGGGAGTATACTCAAATGTGCCATTTGACGCCCAAGACCATGGGCGACTGGCTTGAAGCAATGCGCAGAGTCATGCCACAATACGACCAAGAGTTGGCATGCGAAGAAGCATTACGTGCCAGATACACCAGCTCGATATATGATGCACCTAGGAGCGTGAGAGCTCCGAGTCCTTCCCCGAGCCAACTACAGGCAGAGCAACAAGAAATCAATGATAAGAATACCGAGGATACTAGTGGCTAGGGTCCCCCAAGAGCCTATTCGAGTCTTGAAATTTCCAAAACTATATTTGTTCTCCTCGAGAATCTCGATCCGATCAGGGCTTTCGTGACAATTGGTTAAGTATCACCATTCATGCAAAGATGTCCTAGATTGAAGCCATGCAAGGGCACAGCTTGATGGCTGGCGCACATCGAGGAGTCAGAGCTGAGATTCTAATCAAAGTTGAAGAGGGAGAGAGGAGGATAAAGGTACAAGTGCAGGATTCTGTACCGTGTTGCTGAGTTCCGTGCAACGGGACGAAGAGGCACCAATCTTTTTGCAACTGGACAAGCCGCGGCTATTTGCTCTCATTGTGCTGGGTCGGACACTTGTCAGTAGTTTGCTTTATCGAAACGCGGTTGGAATCGTGATGGTGTGAGTCTTTTCTTTCTTTCTTTCTTTCTTTTTCACAACTTTTGCATGGCGATGGCGTCGGTCTATAAAGCATGGGAGATGGGAATACAGGTACCAAGTGCAGCGATTGGGATATGAATTGCTTAATTAATATGGCTGCGGCGACTCGTATGCCACAGCAAGGAAGGCAGGGCGACAAACAAGCCGTAACTGGAATTGTAAGAAGGCGGAAGGGATGGATTCCGTCATACTAGACGGACTCTTAAGTCGAATGGATTGCAAATACACATATATATGTGGACAGACCGAGCCAGAGTCTGTCACTCGAATGAATCGTGTTAATATCCTCCCATCTTCTCTAGAGATGTAGCTGGATGCAAGACAGCGATGCGATTTAAACTGGTAACAAACACGCCCGTGGGGTGAACCCTGAATTCCCTTCCGGAATCAATCATGAATGTATCAATCCCTTGGCGCCCTGCCCGTTCAATACATGGGAGTCAGGAACAACTAAATTTGTGTGGTGCTGTGTGGGTATGAATACTGGATGGAGGACTTCCCCCAGCCCCTTCTCATCATCTCCATCGTCAATCGTCATCTTCATTTACGCCATGTCCATTACAGCTTCATCTTGATCTTCGTCCCGCCCTCGCCCTTCTCCTTGGGCCCAAATGCGCGCGAGACGCGGTCCAGCACGTCCTCTCGCGCGGGATGATCGCGCCCCTCGAGCCATCGGCGCACCGTCGCCGGGGCGTCTGATTCTTTCCTGGGCCCATGCTGTTGTTGTTGTTGTTGTTGCTGGCCGCTGGTACTCCCGCTCTTGACGCTGGTAGTGCTCCAGGCGTGGTGACGGGTGCATTGGGGCGCGTTGGAGGATGTTGGCGGCGGCATGATTGTCGAACTTTGTTCTTCCCTTTGGAGTCCTGTTCTTCCTGTGGAATACTTGTCCTTCGACCTTTCGTGGTGGTCTTGAGGTTTTCTTTGCGGTCCTCGAACTTTTCCGAGCTGTACCAACAGTGAACGGATCGAGTTGCCTTCAGTCGTGCGGTAGAAGACTATTGCCGTCGACGGGCTCTCTGTCACGGCAAGGTGGAGATGACGAGGATGGAAGTACTTTCTTTCTCTTTTCCTTGGTGTCGAGGACTCCTGGGACGGCAAGAGTGCGAAGTAGGGAGCTGTTTGGGATTAATAGAGAGGACAAGACAGGACAATACTGAGCAGCGACGTTCCGTGGTCCGTCGCCAACTGACCGATGCTGTTTTGCTCAGAGGCTTCGGTCGATGAATAGCAGCATCTTCTGCCACTATATATTGACACCGAGAGAGTGACACGGGTTGGTCAGTGGGCCGGGATGTGGTTTATCATTAGAACATATCTCCTTTGTGGCCATCAAGCCCAGTCCTGCGGCAGTGTAGTTATGTAGCGGGGGGAGATTGTCAAAACGGTACTTCGGTTCCTGATGTGGCCGCAAAGGTTCTTCTTGACTTGCTGGTGTGGCCGCGAAGTGCCATCCATGTGCGATCACGGCCTCATCAAACCTTTGGTACAACCGTTATGGCCCAGGGAAGCACCCTGGCCAAATGTGTGATGGCAGATAATTAAGAATTCCACGGTGTTAGTTCTGCTCTTTGAGTTGGATCCATGGCACCGAGCGCATCGGACAAGCTGATACATGGGCATGCAAAAGTCCCCGTTGAGCGTCAACTGCAAACGATGGTGGATACCTCTCAATCAACGAAGGCCCATCATTTGAGCAAGTAAGCAGGTAGGTAGGTAGGTAAGTAAGTAGGTAAGTAAGTAGGTAAGCAAGCATGCAAGCAAGCAAGCGAAGATACCCGGACATCGATCCCAGAGTCGAGGTCCATCATGCAAAACTCGAAAAATAGCGTCCCAGATGGATGCCAGTGGCCAGAACAGTACCTCGTAATGAGTAAGCAGACCGAAGAGCCCCCTGGTCGGCGCCCTTTTTGCGTCGCAATGTGGATGCCTGAGGCCACAAAAATTTCACAGCCTGATGTCTCAGGAGCGATGCCGTCAACAGGACTTTCGAAGGACTTTTTCTCACCGGTGATCGGCGCAGGCGGATCCCCGAACGGGTTGACATTGGCATGATCAACTTCGGGGGAATCGGCATCAAGGCATATTTTCTAATGATAACGGAGTCATGCTCTGTGTCATGGCAGCGGGGGAGCTCGGCAAAGGGGAAGAGGGTGAGCTGATGGAAGCTCCCTGTGCTGCCGAGAGCATATTGATTGAAACAATACTCGGTAAGCTCCGCAACAACAAGGTAAGCTGCCAAGGGGTTGGTTGCTGACGAGTGGACAACAGGTCGGAAGATCCATTCTTTGCTTCTGCCGCCCCTGGACATCGGGTCTCTAGGGGATCTCTACAAAGCCAGCGAGCCAGCGAGCCAGCAATGCAGCAATGGGCGCTTAAAATGGATCCTCTCTGGGGGGGAGGCAAAAATCCCCTTCTTGGTACGGACGGAAGAGAGCAGACGACCCCAAACAAAAGTCCTTTCCTCTGACACGTTGTTGTTCTGTTTTGAGCAAACGAGGAACTTCTTCGTGCTCCCGTCTGCTCTTCCTCACGAGCACAGAGAAGATCCTCAACGGCAATGGGACTGACTGTCGAGGGAACCACGCGGCATTTCTAACTCCCAAGTCGGGAGTTTTGCGCTGAGGGACTCATGAAATGATGGGATCGGCTTCTGCAAGGGCATGCTTCAGCTGACCATGGGCCACACTTGGGGGCCAAACACGACACACCCGATGGTTGAACGAACAGGAAAAGAAAGCAGGCGGTTGCCTTGAAGTGCTAGTTCAGGGCCGCCTTTCTGGAACTTCTGAGCCACTTGGCTGGAACCTTTGTAGCGAACCGCCATGCGAACCATGCATTTACTGCTGCGCGTGTTCTCTCCGTGTGAGGTAAATCATCAGGACCAGGAGGACAAGAACAAAAGAAGCAGAAGGGGCCGGCGATGAAGAAAGCTCCTTTCTCATCTTCTGCTTGCTTTTCCCCCTCCGTTCCGTATTAAGTCGAGGTAATATGTATTAGGTGCGCTGTTTTCGTACGTGAGAGGAATCATATCAATCATTGCCTGGCCGGCTCAGGCACAAGTGCATTTTGCTTGTGACCCAGGAGAAAGGGATGGACCGTGCCTGGTCCGGTCCAGGATCTTACAAGATGCTGATGAATGGGTTTGCCACCATTCTAGTGCTTTGATTGATGACTCGCGGAACTTTTGAGAGAGGTTAGTTGGTCAGGCTTTGAGAGTATCATCCCATTCAAGCCCATTCAGGATCCGATCATGCGACGGTTCTCTCCTCCTCTGCCAAATTTCGGACGATAGGGTGCGAAGTGGTGGAATCTTTGTGCAGGATACTACCTGGCACGCACCACTCTACCAAACCCACTCCTGCCCAGAACCAGGATCATGGGCCATGGTAGGTGCCTGGAGAGAAGGGGCCTTTGGGGAACCTTTGCGGGTGGGCTACGAGCTCCTCTAGCTAAACCATTAACTGCTAGCTAGGCTTATGCCTCCTTGATGTCTCCCTCCCCTGGCCCCCCGGCCTCGTTCCCATCCTCCCGAGCGTTATCTCCCAGAGGAGAGAGGGCGTGAGGCACACACCAGGCAGCCGCTCTGCCTTGTTCACGAGGCTTTCCAAGGCTAATGATGCCGGATGATGTCCTCTTTTGCCACCTCGACGAACAAAATGACGGGCTCTCTCGCTACAAAGAGTCCAAGTGGCCTGGCTTGCAGCATCTGGCGCTGTAGCTCTCCTTTAGATTGGGTGTGATCCTTCTTCTCCATGCATCCCGTCTTGTCTCCTGCTTGACAAGTGTACAACCTTCCCGGCAAGCCTTAAGGGCTGGCGTTTTGCATACTTTCTATCCCAGATTCAGGTGTGTGGCTTAAGGCTGTGGCCTGTGGGTAACCATGAGGCCGTCGAACCTGCCACGACCTCGCTCCCAGCCTAAGTCGGGGTTCAAACGAGTCCAATCAAAGCAGACTCGCGATGTCGCTTTCGGCCCTCATAAGGACCGCATTGAAAAGTTCTATATCCACGATGAGCGACCCCTGAACTGGATCATGGACCATATGAAAAGAGAGTATGGTATCAATCTTTCGTAAGAGAAGAACCCCAGTGACCACCCGGCCGGCCTCGCCCACATGTGCTAACCAACATGCCAGAGTTAAACAATACAAGAGTCAGTTGAAGACCTGGGGCCTCAGACACAAGCTCACCAAGCGTGATGCTGCCTACATCTTGAGATTGTTGGATCAAGCCAAGAGAGAGGGCCTCGAAGAGGTTGTCATCTTCTCGGGACACCCTCGACGGCGAGAGGATATCACCAAGTACATCCAGAGAAATGAAAAGGTTGCCGATGAAGAAGACCTGCTCTCCTGCATCACGGACGACGACAAGCCCCCCCCCTACATCCACTTACAAGCATTCCCAATTGAGCCCCAGGAGCCAACCCCCTCCCACCTGCCACCGACACCTCCATCAGCAAGTTCATTTGGCTCTCTCGAGTCTCACGCCTCTTTCAGGCCCATCTCCCCAATGAGGGTCCCAATACCATCGCCAGAATCCAGCCCTCGACATTCGGGAGAATTTTCGTACAATCTGAATAATACAGCAGCACTATCAGGACCAATATATGGCGGTGAAGCAGTCTCGATCGATTTGGGCATTATCCGTGATCATATTATGCCAATGCAGGGGGCAATTTTGACCCGCAATCAGCCCGCTATCCCCAATATCATGGGGCCTTTCTGGCGTGCTCAGAGAGAGCCTGCTCCGTCCAGCTGGTGCCAGCTGTGGGACAACAATGACCCAAGCAAGCAATGGCCTGCTGACTTCACACATGCGGCCCTGTCCGTGACACCGGCCGTCGTGGACGAGCTTGCCGACCTCGAAGTTGACATCTACCGGTTCGGCGACCATACCCACAGCCGGCAACTCAATGACAGGAGTCTCTCGGCGTATTTTGTTATGTACTGTCTGTACTGGTTGATTTGTGCCGGACAGAACGGTGAAAGGTTCCAGTCGAAAACCGAATATTACTTGAACAGTGCCCTGTTTAACTTCTTATGCATGCTCAGAAATGAGAGTTCCCCCGCAGAAGAATGCTTGGGAGCGCTGAGCATTGTGTCGGTACTGTTCGACTGCTACGGCCAGTGGGATAGGCTCTCCGAGCTCCTGACTAGCTGCGACGAGTTGACCAAGAACCACTTCGGATTCGACAATCCGCTGACCATGACCATCGAGTTCAAAAAGAACATGCTCCAACGCGGCGGAACGGGCTGCCGGCCGCATGATATTGCTCGCCTCTCGCACATTCTAACGCAAATGGAGATTTGCTTTTCTAAATCTTCCGGGCCCGCTCTGACTGCCAGGTATAACTTGGCATGGGCGATGCTGGAGAATGAACTGAAAAAGGAAGTGAGAGCGCCTGAGAACTTCGAGCCTGCTCGAAGAGAGCTGCTCGACCTCACCCATCAGTGGGAGCAACATTTTGGGGACGATCGCATTGAGACCATCATGGCCGCCGCCACACTGGCCAGGGCCACCTTCTATTGCGGAGATGCTGAAGGGGCCGAAAATATCATTGTTCAATCGGTCTTGCCCCGGGTGCGGAAGAACTTCCCTGAGCAGCATCCGTATAGTTGGGAAGCGAAGCATCGGCACGCATTCTTCCTCTTCCAGCTGGCGAAGAAGGAGACGGGGACGAGGAAAAGCAGTCATCTGTTGCTGGGCGAGCAGCTGCTGCGAGAAGTCGTGCGCAACCGACATCGCATTCTGGGCGAATCCAACCCGAAATCGACTTATTCTTTCCAACTCCTCAGAGACATCCTAAAAGCACAAGGCAGGATGCTCGAGGCAGACACACTGTCCGAATGGTGTGAGCGACAACTGTCACCATATGGGGTATATTGAGAAAAGGTACACATACAACTAAGTTCCGATCGTCTCTCACGAGCAAGGAATCAACTCGATCAGCCCTTTCGCTGTGCGCTGGTCTACGAGCGGCCGAAGTACGCAGGGTTTCCTCGGTCACCGCTGGCGAACCCGTCTTTGTGTTTGCGGCCAGTTAGCATCGCTGTTCAAAATTGTTGCGGAACAGAAACACTCAGTCTCGGAGCGTCTGCCATGAGACAAATGGCCCCCAACTTTCAGTCATCAACTCCTTGGGACTTGGCGAGCCTTACATTCACCATTGCGGCCACCTGGCGCGTCCTTGTTGAAGCCGTACGTCCCATTCGTCCCATAGCTGCTGGAGACGCTTGACGCCGACATTGTCCGACTGATCATGCCGCCATCCAGGGACGACATGGCATCTGATTCCCGCCTCGACTGGCACCGAGAAATGCTTTCAAAGTTGGAACCCGGCGAAACTTGCATTGACCCATAGACCGAGCCATTGCTTGAGCTATAACGTTGTGCCAGAGGGGGTCTTGGAGGCACAGGAATTGGAGATATACCGGTAGGACCATTCCCTGGGGTCGCGTCACGGGAGTTGTGCCTTGTCAGTTGGGGTTGAGGATCGGCCTGCCCACGACAAGCCCGCTTTCGATCTTGATGGATTCGACTTTCCGAGTAACCTGTTGTCGTGAGAACCATCTCAGAGAGAGTGGCGGAAAACACTCACGCAATCGTCTCCGACGGTCGTCGCTCCTATGCCATCTTGCCGTGTCATCTCGCAGAGATGTGATCATGTGCTGCAGCAAGCCATTGAGTGGTTGCGACCGGATAGGGTCGTGGCAATACTTACCCTCGGCGGTTCGGAAAATGCCTGAATGACATATCGGTCGCCTTTCTGTCGCAGGGTCAGCCTCTTGCTCAAGGCTGTGCTATGTACCGGCCGCGACCTACATTATTCTCCATTACCTTGGCATCCCGGCCAAGGTAGTATGGCAAATCCGCCTCGACCACCTCTCGCGATATCCCTTCTTTGGGAATGGTGAAAGAGCTATACTGAGGCATTGTCACCCAGAACGGGTGTTTGTGGGCACTATTGCCTAGCGGGGTTAACAGGATCTGGGTTCAGGAACCAAGCGGAAGCATTCATGCAAGAAAGCTTTGGGACGGAGTGATCATCGGTGGCGAAAAAGAAAGATGAAAACCTGGATCGTGGGGATTGCTGCTGAAATAACGGAGCGGGAAAAGCTGGTGGGAGGGAGCTGGCCGGGTTGCGAATTGCCAATCGACGCCATGTGGGAGCGTCGAGACCTCTAGCAAGCAAGAGCGGGGTACTGATTGCCTGTTGAATTTGTCTCTCCAAACCAAAGAGCCTCAGGTCGACGACGTCCAACTCGAACCGGTGAGGGTCGCGGCCCTACCGTTGTGGTGGTTTCAGCGGCCACGTAGGCTGTGAATGCAAGCCATCAATCCTTATCAACCAATATGACGACCCGAGAGAGCTCGCCGAGGGAGACAGGAGCTGCTTGTCCATCGAGTTGGACAGCTCTGAACACGGGTGAGTGGGCCGAGAGCTTGTGGCTTGCAGGTCGCTTGCTGCAGGGCTCGTTGATAGCCGAAGCACCTGACCAAGAAGACAATTTCCAGCCCGCGACGATTCTTGGACCGGAGAGAATATATACAAGGACAGGCAGACAGGTGACGGTGATCGGTGTTTGAGGGAAGATGAAAAACCAAACAACACAAAGGAGAGAGAGACAATAAGCCCCAGCAAGTCAGCAGTGGCCAGCAAGGAGCCAACGTATTCCGACACGGATGCAGGCTCGGCTAGACCAGACCAGCACCGTCTCCCTCGTGAACCATTTACGAACAAGCAAATCATCGCAATCTCATTCAGCATGAATAAGCGGTGAAATCGGGATCCCCTCCTGCTTGAGAATCGGGGAAAAATCAGCGTCTGCGTGGCGCGTCTGTTGCACAACCATCAATTTCCAGCTTGGAGGTTTCCAATTCTATGTGAAAAGCAATTGTACCCATGCTAGTAACTCCCAAGGTTTCGCGGACGTCCCTGTGGCAGAGTCGGCCCCTGGTTCTGATTTCCAACTGCCAGCAGGGAATCCCACGATAATGGTTGTACGATTTTCCAAATATACAAAATATAGAATGGGGTAGAGATTGGGAGGACGTCGTTGGAGACAAGGCAAACTCACGTGCCCCTGAGTAAACCAGCCCTACGACGAGGCTGTGGTGGCGAAACTGCCGAATATAAGGGCTTTACCTGATAGATTGCCCTGTTGCTGCGTGGACGCTTCCACAGCCAGCATCAGGTGAGTCGTTCGCACCACGAGCTCTGCATGAACGGTCAGCGGTTGGCTTGGGTCCAAAGCGTGGCGAGAACTCACCTTGAATCTCTATTGTAAAGCTCATGGGCAAGTCGTCGAACTCGGCAGCATGATTTCCATAGCATCTTCCACTCCGATCACGCACTGCAACCCGCAGGCCGACATTCTTTCTATAGTCCGTCCACATAATATTTTTATCCGCGCCAATCGTGGGACAACTCGTAGTGGACATCGAACCCAATGGCACAGCCTCAGTCTCTCGCTCGTGTTGCCACAACTCCTGGGCGCGATCCTGGAGCCATTGTTTCCACACTCGCATGACGCCCTGGCCTGATCGGACAATGTGGACATTGCTGAGAAAGACCCCTCTACGTGGACCCAGCCTCACAAGACTCGCATAGGCACAGAACTGGCCAAACAACTCGTCGGCATCGAGATTCAACGTGTGTGCCACTTTGGTGAAGCCCCCGTCGCCTCCGTCGGCATAGATCGGTGTTGTTCCACTCGGTGAGGATGACGCGGTGTTGAGCATAGCACCGGCAATCCGTCGTGCGGGCATTGAGCCCTGTACTCCCGGGCGCTCGGGTCTGAACCGACTGTAAAGCCCACCTAGTTTCGCGAGCCTTCCTTCTTCTCCATCACAGTCCTCATAGAGGCTCCCTTCACCTTCATGTTTCGAACTGAGACCATCGGTACCCAGGTATGTGCAGAATAAATAGGGGTCGCTGTACCGCTTGCTTGGATGGTACGCCTCCAGGATTAATTTATAGTCCGGGAGAGCCGCGGCGAGGAGGAGTCGGAAATGTAGGATTCTGAGGATGATGGAATGAAACCGTCGCGAGACCACGACTAGGGGCAAGAGTTCCTGAGTCGCAAAGCCCGAGAGAATAGACACCAGTATCTGCAACAGTCAGCATGATAATCTGCTCCCGACAGCTGATCAACATACTTCGTTCGGGAGATCGTACAGACATCGAGGATCGCAAGCCATATTCACCAGACGGACACGACTGCGCCCATTGACGTCGGTTCAATCAACGAGGTGATCAATTCGAAGAGAAGGTCGTCTGGCTACATCTAGCAGGCCACGGCCCAGAGAGAATGGTAGCTGGCTCGCAGCAAAGCTTGGATGCAGTTCATCATAATAAGAGGAAGGATTGCTCAGACACGACAAGACGGAGTGTATAGTAATAATGTTGTCAGGAGATGCCGTGATTTGACCCGAGATCGGAAACATGGTCGCGAAACGACAAACGACAGATACGCTTTTGCCGGGCGCCCGATAAGCCTGGTGAGCCTGGTCAGGCTTGGTGAGCTCATTGACGTAATTGAGCTGCAGGCAAGACGCGGGGCTGCTGGAGGAGGGCATTCTGTGTAGCACCAGGACCACAGCCGGCGTGCCTTGACGCTGTCCACAGTGATTGATGGAGGTGGAGCTCCACGAGGTCTCCCATATGGCTGGGTCCAGGCTCAATTTGCATGGTGACATTGGACGCTGAATGAGGTTCACTAGGTCCACTCCTCCAGACATTACAAGGGCGAAGCAGAGCCTACATCGTCAACGAACCCCCAATACAAGGCCAACCTCAACATGCCAGACAAGATCCTGGACGACATTTCCCACCGCCGATACAATCCCCTCCGTGGCAGCTGGATCTTGGTGTCTCCTCACCGCACCAAGAGACCATGGCAAGGCCAGCAGGAGAGCCCTGGAATCATCGACCTCCCTGTGTACGATCCCAAATGCTACCTGTGTCCGGGAAACACGAGAGCTTCGGGGGATACCAACCCCAAGTACGAGAGCGCTTACGTCTTTGTGAATGACTTCAGCGCCGTGAAAGATTCACAGGAAGACTACAAGTCTCCGGATGAACCAGGAAGCCTGTCGAGTCTTCTGTTGCAAGCCGAACCAGTCAAGGGCAAATGCTATGTCTTGACCTTCAGTGCCGCTCATAATATCACATTGGCGGACATGTCCCCAGCCGAGATCGTTCCAATAGTGCAAACATGGACAGACATCTACACAGCACACATATCTCCCCAGTCACCTCTGGCTGCGCAGGCTAAGCCGTCTCATCTACCGCCCTCTAACCCACACGCAAATGTTGGGAGACCCAAGGACCAGTACCGGTGGATGCAGATATTCGAAAACAAAGGTGCCGCCATGGGTTGCTCTAACCCTCACCCCCACGGCCAGATCTGGACAACTACCTCATTGCCCGAAGAGGCCGCCATAGAGTTGGAGCAATTGCGGAAATACAACCGTCAACAAGGCGGTGGACATATGTTGGTGGACTATGCCCGCCTGGAACGAGAAAAGGACGAGCGAGTCGTCTTTCAAAACGAGACTTTCCTGGTGGTCTGTCCATGGTGGGCGACCTGGCCGTTCGAAACAATGATCTTACCTGTCAAACACATCCGCTCTCTGATTGACATGAGTGTGAAGGAACAGATGGACCTGTCAGAGGCCATTGCAGAGATCACGAGGCGATATGACAACCTCTTCGAAACAAGTTTCCCCTACAGTATGGGCATTCACCAAGCACCGCTGGACGGGAACGATGAGGAGATTGAGTGCTCCAGTCTCCATCTGCATTTCTATCCTCCGCTTCTGAGGAGCGCAGCTGTCAGGAAATTCCTGGTCGGATATGAAATGCTCGGAGAACCCCAAAGAGATATCACGCCGGAACAGGCTACAGTCAAGCTGCAGAATTGCGGGGGAAAGTTGTACAGGGAGAAGCTGGGGGACAAGCAACGAGAACGAGTAGAGAAGCCGCCTGCGCCCGACAAGCCCACGATCGAGCCCATGCCCACCTCATGACACCTATGTAGTGATGATATCGTGAGGAACCTCTTATCTGACATAGAAGCCATATTGTGCCATGCTCCAAACCAATCCAATCAGGGCAACACTGATAGGAGCGAGCCACGGCCCTGACGGTGAACAAGTCTTGTACACAAACGCCTCCAGACTGAAGTGCACAAGCCCGACGACATAGGTCAACATCTGCATCTGAAACCATGACGGTTCGTGGATGTGATACGCAGCAAATATTCTAACAATCCCGACTGCCAGCGTCCAAGTCCCAAATGTCCTTGACGAGAGATGCGTAACCGGGGAGATCGCTTGGGGGGCGCCTTTGCCCTTGATTTGGGTTGCTGAAGGTCGGCCTGAGTAGAGACGTTGCGTGTACGAGAGGGTATTGTAGCATTGGATGGCGTTTCCAATGGCGGTGACGCCCACCTGAATATTGGGGTTAGTAGCAAGCAATGTGACTTGGAACCGCAGCTCGACTTACGAACAAAATGTAGAGGGGAAGGTATCCCTCCGCTTGTGGGAGCAGAGACGACATCTTGCAGACACAGTAATAAACGCGTGTAAAGTGTAATCACGGATCACTCAAAGTGATGGTAGAAGTCCCAAGTATACAAGAGATTGGTCAGCTGAAACTTGCAGCCTTGGGGGGTTTTGTTGCTGCGGGTGAGGGCGAGGACTGCCTGATTTCGACTGAACCCACATGCAGCTCCCAAGCAAATCCTGTCTGCGGGTAAATCATCCAACAGTTGGCGCAACGCTTGGTCCCGCACATGCCCCGTACAATGTTCCTGAATATATGATCTCCTCCACTTTCTGTCACTCAGGACTAGTTGTCTGCTTGATCTCAATCATGGTACCGACAATCGATCTGGGGCCCCTTGGCCAGCAGAATCTACTGTCAACTGTCCTCATAGGCATTGGGGTGCTCACGCTCGCCTCGGTCGCCTTTACAGTGACCAGGGTGTTTCTGAGTACTTTCATTCTGCCCGGAAAATCTGTAAGTCTGCAGGACACCTTGCAGAGCCTGCAGCTAACTTCTTCGCGCAATAGCTCTCTTCGTACGGCGGCAAAGGTTCATGGGTGGTTGTGACCGGCGCGTCCGATGGCATTGGAAAAGAATACGCTTTACAATTGGCAAAGAAAGGCTTCAGTCTCATCCTTGTCTCGCGCACTGCCTCGAAACTCGAATCCCTCTCGTCTCAGATCAAAACCTCTTCTCCCGATGTCTCGGTGGAAACGCTGGCCATGGACTTCTCGCGAAATCTGGATAAAGACTATGCTTCGCTGGCCTCGCTCGTCCAAGGCAAACGCGTTGCCATCCTGATCAACAACGTGGGCCAGAGTCACAATATCCCTGTGCCTTTCGCCGAGACACCCTTGCCTGAAATGACAAACATCATCAACATTAACTGCCTGGGCACACTTCGGGCTACCCAGACGGTGCTTCCAAGCATGCTACCACAAAAGAAGGGTCTGATCTTGACAATGGGATCTTTCGGTGGCTTGACCCCCACACCACTGTTGGCGACATACTCTGGCTCAAAAGCATTCCTTCAACAATGGTCCAATGCTCTTGCCTCCGAGCTGGCCCCGAGTGGCATTGACGTTTTCTTTGTCCATTCGTATCTCGTCACCTCCTCGATGTCCAAGATCCGCCGAGCGAACTGGCAAGTCCCGACAGAAAAGGCGTTTGTGAAATCCACATTGGCAAAGATTGGTCGAAGAGGTGGGAGCATTGGATACCCATACAGTGGCAGCCCTTACTGGAGCCACGCTCTGGTCGCCGCGCTGATCACTGGCGTCCTTGGTCCGATGAACAACATCTTACTTGGGGTTAACAAGAAGATGCATGTGGATATCCGAAGAAGAGCGTTGAAGAAGGCGGAGCGAGATGCCCAGAAGGGCAAGAAGGCTGCGTGATGGCCGAGACGTGTTTCTATGCCAGTCATCTGTTGCTCTGGCACAACCTTTCATGCGGGTCGGTCCTTCCAGGGCATTGAAATGTATTTGTATTGCGCAGATAATGAATGGCCAGGATAACAGTGTAGGCCAATGTTAGGAGTACGGAATATTACCAAGTGCGCCCATGCTTCCTCCGGTTTTGGATGTGCTTTAGCCTCGTGTGGGGAAGCTCATTAAGTACCTGACTGTCCAGGGGTTGCGACTAGGTACAACACTGGTTTCCACCCCGCGGCGCACCTTAACTTTCCTTCCCCGAGTCTTCAGTATCACCATCAGTTCGTCGTGGACCTTTGATGTAAAGAAAGTGTTTGTGTCAGCGCACACGGCCATGCTCCCCTCGGTGCCTCTGACAAGGATATTGACACTCGACCATGACCCGAGTTGACCTGTCCCTACGGCAAGCTATTCTGCTAAACGATATTGCATTGGTGCAGCGAATCCTCAAGCACAATCTTTCATATCTGCAGAATCCGGATTATGCAGACAAGAGCAACACGTCGTTGCATCTTGCTGCGAAGTATGGACTGGAAGAGATTGCAGTAAGTATGCGCCGCAACAGGAGCCACGGTTACAAACCACTGAACTGCAACCCAGGAATTTCTGATCTCCCTAGGTCACGATGGCACTCGGCCAGTTGAAGACTGGATCTACAGTGCCCACCATGACAATCGGGGCATTTCTGTCAACACAGATGGGCAAACACCGCTGCACCTGGCTGCTGCCTATTCTCAAGCCGGCGTTGTTGAGCTCCTGTGCAGGGAATTCCCACAAACGGTAAATCGAAGAGATCTCAAAGGCCAGACCCCCCTTCACCTCGCTGCGTCCTCCCAGATTATCCCTAAGCCGAATCTCAACAACTCCGCCAACATTGGCCCGTCAAGGGCGACACCGGAGGATAACAGAACGATAGAAATACTCCTAGCGCACGGTGCAGACGTGAATGCAAAGGATGAGCTCGGAAATACATGCCTTCACAACGCCAGTGCATGGGGGAACCTCAAAGCCGTTCGGGCATTGATGCAAGCGGGCGCAGATCCATTGAGTAAGAACAAGGCTGGATGGACACCCGAGTATTACAGCATCACGGTGCAGGCAGAGGTTTACTACCGCAATTTAGTGGCGGAATGGGAGAAGAGGAAGGCAGAGGATGAAATGCGAGCGAGCGAGCGAAGAGGGAAAGGAGGAAGTTCGGTCAGACTGGTGCCACCGGAGAATGAAAGCGACGGCGAAGGAGACAGCCCGTCGATGACGGAGAGAAGCCAGGAGAGGAGCACGACGAAGACTCCACTGCCTGGGGCCACTGCTGGGTCTGGCGTTGGCCCTTCGGTCGGCCAGAGTGATGCAGGCTTGGGCATCAGTGTAGGCTACGTGGATGCTTGGAAATGAACCTACTTGGTACGCCGCAGGTACCCTCAACAAACAAGAGTGTTGAACGAGGAACTGGTGGGCGTGCGCATTCGTAGTGGGGGCTGGGTAGCTGAAGCCTGACGCTGTGCTTGTGATTCCTGGGGATCTCCACCTCAATGATGAGGATGATCGATAACGAGGACCCGCCCGGGGTGAGGCGGCGAGGCGGTTCAGAGTCAACCCGTCAACCCTCAACTCGACCTGCGTTATTTGCTCCGCCAACACCACCACCGTATCTACAGTACCAGCCTTTCCTTTCCCTTACCTCCGACGCTCGCTCTCCGTCCTTCTCTTCTGCCTGTTTCCTATCGTCTCACTCGAGTTCACATTGGATTTCATCTGCGCTCTCTCCTAGTGTTCCTGTGGCCTGTGAACCGCGCATTCTAGACTCCCGTCGACTCAAGCTGCGTCTCTGTATCTCACTGCTTCTCTTCCTCCTGAGGCACCTGGCTGCATTCCTACAGAGTCACAGAACTCCTCAACTGGAGCCGGGTGAAATCTATGGCTAGTCCTGCGCACTGCCTCTACTGTTTCGAAGTTCTGTCCGCCAGCTTTGAACGGCGAGATCCCCCAACTCTACACAAAGTGCTCGAACTTTATGAGAACTACGAATCAGTCAGTCGACCTAATGGAATAGCTACGGGAGAGGAAGAACCAGAAAATGATAAAGATCATGTCAATGTGACGGAGTCTGAAGACGAGGATGAAGCTGGCGACGAAGAAGAGGAAGAGGAAGAGCAAGAGGACGACGACGAAGCTGGGGAAGAAGAGATCCAACGCTTTGATCGCCGGCAGAGCAACAGCAAGGCCGGCCCTCAACTCCCCAGCATCTCTCGATTGCAAGCTTCGAGTTCCTCCTCGCGGTCCTCGTCGGCGTCGTCCCCTTCCCTCTTATCCGCTAGTTCCTCCAATTCTCAACTTACAACCCCCTCGAGCACGACTTCCTCCAGCTCTTCTGCTCGCCCTACGTACGCATCACAACTCTCGGCTACCGAATCATTCCCGCTCTTCGTCACCTGGAACACCGTAGCCCGCTCCGGCCACAAAGCTCTAAGAGGCTGCATAGGGACATTTGAGGCCCTCCCACTCGCGTCGGGACTTACCACCTACGCGTTAACATCTGCCTTTGATGACACAAGATTCTCGCCCATCCCGGCTGCACTGTTGCCCGCACTTTCCTGCTCTCTGACATTACTTGCAGACTTCGAGCCCTGCCGGGATGCAATGGATTGGACACTGGGCCGCCACGGCTTACGGATTAGTTTTAACTACCGGAGTCGTCGACATGGTGCGACGTATCTCCCGGACGTGGCAGTTGAGCAGGGCTGGACTAAAGAGGAGACGGTGGAAAGTTTAATGAAGAAGGCAGGATGGGATGGAGGGTACGCAGGCCATGGGGTTGCTAGGAGACTCTTACGGGGTTCAATTAGAGGGTCTGCAAGCGACCAGCAACAGTCCCAATCACCAAAGCCGTGGGAAGAAGTCCAGGATTTCAGGGCAATTAGGTATACGGGGCTGAAATCGAGTGCGACGTTTTCCGAGTGGCAGGACTGGCGCGAGTGGGCTGAAAAGAACAGTGTGAAGTGAGGAAATGTGACTTTGACAAACCCCGTGGTCGAGCCCTTAGTAGTGGCGTCGAGCTTGAGAGTCCCTGTGTTCATTTGAGATGTTATGATGGCTCTTCATAGCCTGAAAGCTCGGGTACGGGCTGAGGAAGGATCTGGGCCTTTACTGAGGTTGCTGCTCCAGCCTCATTGAACTGAGATGGACGTCCCTCGCGGTCTGTGTTCTCAAGTTTGCTTGAGCGAATACGGGTATTCCAGAGGTAAGCGACGAGAGCAGTGAGAGCTTGTCGCTGTTTCGATATATGGGTTGAGTGAATCGCCACGGGCGTTGGACAGACTGCCCGGATCACTCCGCTAAATGAGCAGGGCAAAGTGAGCTGAATTCAGACCACCTATCCCATCAGATCCTCGTTCGACGCCCGGAAATCAATGCTTCCGCTCTTGACGTATCTGTAGGAGTGTGTTCACTAGAACACGGCTCACCCGTCTAGGAGAAAACCGGAGTAGGCCAAGGGAGATACGTCGAGTAAGATGGTCCGAGTCGCCTTCGGCCGCAGTGGACGTATTCGGATCTAGTGAAGCTGAAGAGTCCTCTATGATTTGCAACGAGGAGTCCCAGGCGAGACGTCGTTGAGTTTGATGAAGTTGAACTCCTGGTATCTAGGGGCCGCCCAGTGCCATCGGAGCGCCATCAGCTGGCGGCTGCTTACCTAATGCTCGACCCTTGAAATCCCCAAAAGTCAAAACAGTCAATCGCGCTGCGTCCCGATGTTCTCCCTGAGACTGGAACCTTTTCTTTCTCGACGAGAGAGCTCCCCATTCCACCTGCCGCTCTTTTCTTGTAATATTTTCTCCGGCTGTTCTGATTTCTGCCGCTTCATGGACATCCATTGCTAGCTCTTATTAATGCCAATCGCCGTCATGGGAGGACGCGGGCGTATTTCGCGGAAGTCGACGGTCATTTTGCAGCCAGCAGTCACGGCCCCAACAATAGCTTCGCCACGACTGAATCTAAATCCATCAGTTTGCCCGTGGTGTTGGACGAGATCACAGTATCCAAAATCAGCTTCACGGGCTGCCCTGTCTCACTCAAGGCGTCACTTCTCGAGCTCCTCTCCTCGATCATCATGGGCCGCCACTGTGCAAAAGATTCAAAGCACCGTCGCTGAGGTCCTCCCCTCCTCCGCCCGACAACCCTCTGGTAACATTACCATCGATCCTCTCAAGATTGTCGCGAAAGAATTGAAATTCCTAAACAAGAACATCCGGCAGCTGCTTGGCTCGGGACACCCGATCCTAGACACAGTTGCAAAGTACTATACACAGAGCGAAGGCAAGCATGTTAGGCCACTGCTCGTGCTGTTGATGTCCAGGGCGACTGCTTTTGCTGCGAAGCAGCCGCGGCCAAGATACGATGTGCAGCATACTTTGTCCAGAGGCGCTATTGACACGCCCATCACGAACCCGTCGGTGCTTCTTGACCAGAACCCAGACCAAGACCGACCTACATATTCTTCTTCCGTGTCGCCGTTGACAGCGGCCTCAACTGAGACAGAATACGCCTTCCCCAATGACGCCACCATTCTCCCTTCGCAGCGGCGGCTGGCAGAGATCACGGAACTCATTCATACCGCTTCGCTCCTCCACGACGATGTGATAGACCACTCGACCACACGCCGCTCCGCCCCCTCCGCAAACACCACATTTGGAAATAAAATGGCTGTGCTAGCAGGAGATTTCATGCTCGGTCGTGCCTCCGTTGCGCTCGCTCGATTACGAGATCCTGAGGTCACAGAGCTGCTTGCGACAGTGATCGCTAATCTTGTGGAGGGCGAATTCATGCAATTGAAGAACACGGCGAGTGATGAAAAGAATCCCAGCTGGAGCGAGCAGACGATTTCGTACTATTTACAAAAGACATACCTGAAATCCGCAAGTCTGATCAGTAAAAGTTGTCGTGCGGCCGCGTTACTCGGACAGTGTGCCCCGAATGTAGTCGAAGCAGCATATCAGTATGGAAAAAATCTGGGATTGGCGTTTCAACTTGTGGATGATATGTTGGACTATACAATATCTGGATCCGAACTGGGAAAGCCCGCAGGTGCGGACTTGGAGCTAGGTTTGGCGACGGCGCCGCTATTATTCGCATGGAGAAATAGGCCAGAGTTGGGGTTGTTGGTGGGTAGGAAGTTTTCAAAGGAAGGTGATGTTCAGAAGGTGAATCCGATCCGATATCTTTACGTCGATGTAATCAGGAGCTGACAACTATCAACAGGCAAGGGACATTGTCTCGCAGAGCGACGGACTCGAGCAAACACGGGCCCTGGCACAGGAATATGCTGACAAGGCTATCTCCTCAATCAGCGCCTTTCCGCCCGGAGAGGCCAAGGATGGCCTAGAGGAGATGTGTGTAAAGGTCATGAAGCGTCGAAAATGAGCACCGGATGTGTCGCAGCTAGCTCAACTTCCACTGTACCATACATCAGATTCAGATGATCACACAATGTACAAGCTTTACCCAACGTCATGGTTGCGTTCTGACTGTTTCTGGGTTATTGCTGGGCGATTTTCTGCTGGAGAGATTGGGGATCCGGAGAAGGTCATCGCGCATTCTGTCCACCAAAAGAAGTGGTTGACAATCCGGAAAGCCGTTGCCTTCGAGAGTTACTGCCCTACGGGAAAAATGAACAGTGACACCAGGAATCTCGCCAATGTCGTGGGGAGGCATCCATCTTTCTGATTCGTCCAGGCGCCTTTGAGCTGCTGCAGTCAAATGCGCCTTGCCCAGCATAGCAGCGCCTGCGCCTACAAACTACGCCTCAGTACACCTCAAATATATCAACCGTGCCTGTTGGGTTCTCCGTGCTTCTCTACATCTTGATCTGATCTTGCAACTCGAAAGCCGTCAACATTCGCGCAATGGATTCTGCTTCAGCGTCGGTTGCATTCATCTGCTTCGCTGCCAGCCTTGCAACGCTTGTTGGGCTTGTAGTGGACTTGATTCAAACTCTCACGGAGCTTTGCGGCAGGCTAGATCGGGCCCCCGAGGAGCTCAAGCGTTTTCTATCCGTCCTTCAGCAGCACGAGTCACTTCTCCTTGACCTTAAGGATCGCATCAGCGCGTTCACGACCGAGGAGATTCCCAATGAGTTACGGCAATTTTGGCAGGGAAACAATGCACGGAGCCGGCTGACTATGTACGGCTGAAAGAGCCTGTTGAAAAGATACAAGTCTCGTTCTAGGTAGGACGCACTAATTACGAAAATACACATGCGAACTCGAGTCCAGAGCTACTTCCTTCCTCCAGAGATCCTGGAATTGGAGACACGTCGGCAGGGAAACATCGGCAAGTTCAACATTGTGCTTTGCATGATCGCTAAGCATGTCTTGGAGAATGGCCTATTGAGCCTCCCCACTAATACAGATGCTTCAACAGACATCGACTTCGGAAGCAAAGGACATATGCTTGATCCCATTTCACAAAGTGTTGTCGCCAACTCTGCGGCTCATCAGTAGGAATTCCAAGCCGTACGCTCCTCCACGCGTAGGATCGAAACCCATCTCTTGCGACAAGCTATACAGCTTAGTGGAATACAACACCGGCTCCGATATGTCTCTACTCAATTGGAGAGGCCCCTTCATGGCAGTAGCTATTCATTTGAAGAATGCAATTTTCGAAATGCCAGCTTCAACCAGAGCTATCATCAGGCTCACAGGCCTTGGTCCCGGCTCCCGAGATCCTTTAGACATCTAGTGGCCGCGACGGAAGGAATGGCCATCATGCGTCACTATTGGTTTGGCTCTTTGAGAGTCAAGGTGGCCCGCGGTACAAGCCAGCAATTCCCATTCAGATCAGGACCCTTCCAGGACCACGCATACGTCGAATTCTTTTAGATTCCTCCGTGGTGGCTAGCGGATATGTAGGTTGCTATCTCTTCAACATCTTTGGCATCTCTGCAAATGCGGTGAATGCATGTCAACTTGGACCCGAGACTTTTCGATTGCTTATTGTCTTCCGACGTCCAAAGTCTACGTGACATGTTTGCCCGCAGGCTGATACATCCCTCGACATGATACTGCTCCCTCGGAAGTCCACGGGGAAAACCCAGCGCCGTTACTAGAGGTAAGTGTGATGCTGTGAGTCCGAGAATCATGATCTTGATTCTAAACAGACTTATAAACTTTTGAGCAACCAGGAAATCAGGGGAGAATACCATACACAAGACTCGTGGTCTAAAATTCACCGCTTCTTATTTGATCAGACAGGATCTTACGAAGCGCGTGATGTCGGCCTTGAACAGTACGTGATACTCGGGGCTCCCCCTGGCAACGTTAACACAATCAACAACACTTGCAAACCTTATGGAGAACCAAGCCTACGCAAAGAGAGAGGTCATTGATATGATCATCGAGCGAGGGGTCGATCTAGCACCGGTCTTGAATTGGCAGCCGTTCCATGGACTTACAATCCCCCTACTCCTCTACGCTGCTAACCCAAGAGCCTTTGTCCATCACTTTATACGTCGACACCTAGGTCTCTTTGAGTACTATGATATGGCCCCAGCGAACTCCTGGTTTCTTCAAACTATTGCTCGATCGGATCCGGGTTCTGCTCTAAACTAATGTCAGAACATCGAGAAATGTGCAATGCAGCTTTTGGAAATGGGGTGAAGAAATCTGAGCCAGACTTCAGTCTCCAGACACAATTGAAAGAGATGCAGCTTTCCGAGTTGGAGGAACGGGATCTCTTTCTATCAGCTGTGTGCGGGAGGAACTGCTGCGGACGTCGACGTCCTTCTCTCGCACCAAAGAGACCTTCCCGAACTTGATCCCAATCACGACAATGGCCAATCCATCCTCGGGTCCCTCGAAACACTAGACCACTTCCTACTGCTCTTTCTCCTTCAGAACACGGCTTGAAAGACTTTGTTCGATGCAAGGCAAGCATACCTTACCCGTCACACCCGTCGGTCGAGATCGATGGTGAGACTTATCAGGTGTCGCGGAAAGTGCTTCGGGCGTCTGGCTACACGAGCATCACCTTGTTCAGGCAGCGGTTGAAATGCCATTGCTAGTGGGAACAACGCTGGGACGTGGCCTAAATGATTGGTTGTTGGGTTGGTTGTGTATCATGCTGCGGGACATTAAGCGGCAGTATGCGCTCCGTACGGGCCAGATTTGAGGATGGGAGGAGTAGTGGCCTGTGTTCACAAAAGCCTGTACCTCCTAGGTAATGTCATTTCTAGGCATAGCAGACACATCTACGAGGGACGTAGGAAGCACTTCGAGAAAAGGGAGCCAGCCTTGACTGCCACATTTTCTGTAAAAGCAGGAAATAGAACATGGAAAGTTTGCCGATCTCTTCGGACGGAATATTATCTTTCCGGCTTATCCACCCGCCGAGCCGCGAACTCCCTTCCGACGCTCATGTCGTAGCTGTGATCAACGTAGACCGCTTTATCAATCTGCCACATCTGACACTGAAGCCTGCTGCTGAGCATCTTCTCAAATCAGATCATGATCGAGCCTCTCGGACCGCACGAAGTACGACAAGATCGAGGCATATAACGTCTTTCGCGAAGCAATCTGTGGTCTCACTTTTTCTGTCCCTGCAACTGTCGCACCGACGAGCCACACGGAAATGGCGTCGGGCCCTCAGACCTTCGTCACCATGGTGGTATGTCTCATTTGCACGCTCTGTCGTATATGCCAGCGTTATTGATCAGCTTTTGTTTGGCCCTTGTGCTGCGATCAAGATATGGAATACGCCGAAAGGGACTTGGGATGTGTTCTCTAATTTGGAGAGTTTATGGATATCGTTTTCTCACCTTCAGATTGGAGCCCGATCGCAAATGTCTCTCCTTCAATATCATGCCATACGTTCTTGCTGCCTGCGCGATACTTCCCAGTTTGCCAAACCCCCAACAACTATTTCTCTCCAACGCCAGGATCTCCGATATTGATGGGAACCGTCCAATTCTAGGTCTTTTCGCCCGAGAAATTCCAGGGCAATCCTTTGGCCTTGGTTTCCGTGCACGGGAATGCGCTCTCCCAGAAACGCAAGGCCCAAATCGCAAGGGAGTTCAGGTACTCCGAAACCGTGTTTTTGCATGATGCTCCAGGCCCTGGTCAGCCCCGGTTGCTGGAAATATTCTCGGAGACTGGGGAGGAGTTACCTTTTGCAGGTCATCCTGTAAGTCCAACAGCGCGAGAACCAGTGACTGATGAATATGAGATAGCGCTGACCACCTTACCAGGTCATCGGGGCAGCGTATTATGTTTGTTCGCCGTGATCGTTCACAAGTGAAAAGAGCTGACCGTGATTTGCCAGATATTCAGCTATCTTGAAAGAATGCACTACGGCGGCCCTACTGACCGAGACACCCAAAAGCAAAGTGCCGTTCTCCTGACAAAGGCCGGCCGAATACCGATCTTCTTCAACCCCTACCGTCAGGTGGCCGCTTGTGTAGTCCCCTTTAACTGCCACATTCACTCCCATCGCGTTCCGATTGAGAAGATTATCACCACACAACCCCATATTCAAATCGTCCCGACAATCGACAAGGAAAAAGACAAAACGTTCCCTCTAGTCTCAATCGTCAAGGGCATGACCTTTGCTCTCGTTGACCTCACTGACAATGCCGAGATCTTCGGCGCCTTGCAAGCGGGCAAATCCCCGGAAGTCGACCTAGACGCCGAGTGGTCACCTAGCTTCGTCGGCTGCATGTACTACAAAGTCTTAGCAAAGTCGGAACAACCTGGAGAACCGACTATTCATAATATCCAAGCAAGGATGATCTCGCATGGCATTGAGGACCCAGGATCAGGGAGTGCGTGTTGTGCTTTGGCTTGTTATTTGGCGTTGAACAGCGCCAACCCTTCGTTGGAGCCCCGGGAGCTGGCAGAGGAACGCACAGACCAAGGAAGCGCAGATGCGGAACTCACAAAGAGGACACAAGATTTGAAGTTGGGAGAGACAAAAACAGAGAGGAAAGTATTTGGCATTCAACAGGGAGCAGAGATGGGGAGACTATGCACCATCGCGGTCGAAGTGGACGTGAAGACGGATGCACAGGGTAAGGCAAGCATCACGAACGTGGTCTTGTCGGGGAGAGCCAACTTGCATCTCAGAGGGGAAATTCTTGGTTTCTAATCACGATTGAGCACATACCCAAGCATGGTCCCTGCGAATGGGGCCAAATGACCATTTGACGAAATCTAGATTCTTTTAGCCCCAAGTAGAATTCGGATAGCTTCAACACCGAAGGGTGAGCAAGCATTCCTCGAGCGGGTGTACTAGATCCGTACACGGAGCAAGATGGATCCGCCCATGTTCCGACGTTGATTGACAAGCTTTTGGCCGGTTCAAAGGATCGTGTAACGTGCGACTGAGTACTCGTACTCCGTACTTTCTTCAGCTGGACAAGATTAAGCGAGCGGTCTGGTCCTCAACGCAATCGCGAGAACGAAGTAGTGGGCGCTTCGATGCCGTTATCCGTGCTTACACGATGCAAGGACTTGGCCAGCCCCGCCGGATCGAAGCCTTTCCCTTAGGGGTGTGTTCCGTACACAGTAAGTCCTCGAACGCTGGCTGGAAACTCGAACCGCGAAGCGCTTCATATTGAGTCCGGAGACTTCGCGATTCGGTAATCGGCACAAGCAAAGCTTGACCAAAGCTTGAGTGTGGCCCACGAATCGTGACAGGGAGAGGGGGTGTTTCTATAGATCGTGGAGTAGGTACTCCGGAAAAGCTAAGAGATGGGACGGAGTGTACCCAGTGAGGGGCCAGCGTGGTACTTGTTAGGGATATTTTTAGGTGAAGGATGTGGCATATCCGACGCCCATCGTGGTTTAGGCGTTGGCGAATGTCAGAATCGGGAAGGAAAAGGAGGACATTGCAGGAGGAGGATTCTGTCTGCGCTACGTGATAGTGATAGTATGGAGGTTGGGGAGGACCTTGGAGGGATTTATGTAGGAATTGTGACGTCGACAGGAGAAGACAGGAGAAGACAGGAGTTGCGAAATTGTGGGTAGAGCACATCCAGTGATTCACCAGGGTGCGCTAAATGCGGGCTACAGCACTTTAACCAAGAATCTTGTCCAGATACAGCTAGTTCGAACCCCCTGGGTAAAGCTTAACCGGACCCCAGAGGACCAATTGGCCGAATAGCCGAGCCATTCGGCCAGCCGCCCGTTTCAGACTCGCCTGTTCTCCCTGGATTCTCCGACACTTCTCGAAACCATCTCAGCTTCATCTTGGTCCCTCTCCGTCCTCGCTCCTTGCCCATTCTGTCTCGATTCTGGGTGAGCTAATTGTCTTCTCAAAACATTGGCAATGCTTGATCGCCCTCCCAACCTCACTGCCGCGCCAGGCTGCGACCAACCTGTAACCTTCGAGGCTTGGACTATGCCTTCCCCAACCTGACGCACGGGGACGCCTGGTGAGCCTCTTCTGTGTCATCCTCCATCTTGGAAACATTTGCGGCCTCAGACGAAATCACCATGGACCACACATCCAGTTCTCCTCAGCGACGTTACGGTCCGAAGAGACCTGAGACCAGTGCCAAGCAGAATGCATAAGAGGTCAGTTTTTCCTTCGCATCAAAGCATGTTCTTCTCTCCATCGTGGCAGTGCCTCTACATTCCTTTCGCATCAATTGTATTGAAAGCATTCAAGCAATTTTTTTCACACACTCCTTTTTTTTCCTGGTTCAGACCGCGTTGACCGCGAAGTCTCTCGTTCGATTGCTATCCCGAAAACATCATCTTGATCCCGCACTCCCAAATCCAATTCCAAAGAAACATTGTTTGATATTAAAAAAACCTCCATATCGACATGATGAAGACATCTCAGCTTTTGACCTTGGCAGTCGCCACTTTGGGCCTTACAACAGGCGCCGTTGCTCAGCGGAATAACAATCGAAACGGCGGCGGAAACAATGGCGGGAACACTGGAGCCTCAACAACGAACGCTGCTGCCGCTGCTGCTTCTACCACTGCCGCTGCCGCCGGAGGCAACAATGCCAATACGGGAAACAACAACGCAGCTGGTGGGAATGGCGGTAACAACGACCTTCTCTTGCTTGCGTCCAACGTCCAAGCTGCGAGCAACTTCGCCGGTAACCCTGATTTGGCCGCTGGTCAATCGAACTCAAATACGTATGTTGTGGGCCTTTTGACTTGTGTACAGTGATCCACATACTGACAACTCTCCCAGTGACCCAGCCAACTTCATCAACTTCTGTACAGGCAAGACCTTGACCAATGGAACTCAGAACACCGCCGGATCCTGCAACGGTGTGATCATGGGTGACATTCCTTCCAACAATAACATGGTTTCTGCCATCGTTCTCTTCCCCGGCCCTGGAGACGACTTGACCCCTAACCAGTCCTTCAATATTCAAGTCCAGCTCACCAACTTGGTCGCCGGTTCCTTCACTGACCCACTCACCACATACTACTCTGCTCCTCAAGAGCTGCAAGGCGGCAACATTGTTGGCCACTGCCACGTCACTGTTCAGGATCTCGGCAATTCCCTGGCCCCTACCACACCCCCAGACCCAAAGACCTTTGCTTTCTTCAAGGGTATCAATGACGATGGCAATGGCCAAGGTCTTCTCCAGGCTACTGTCGCCAATGGTCTCCCTGCCGGCTTTTACCGTGTCTGCACAATGAACAGCGCGTCTAACCACCAGCCTGTGCTCATGCCCGTAAGTTCTACCCAGTTTGCACTTCCCCATCAGGAAAGTCTGAGACTAATCAAATGTAGGTCGCTCAACGAGGTGCTCAAGATGATTGCCAGAAGTTCACTGTCGGCCAGGGCACCGGAAACGCAGGAGGCAATGCCGGTGGCAACGCTGCTGGTGGAAACGGTGGCAACAACAACGCCGCGGCCTCTTCTACAACCGCTGCCGCTGCTGCGACCAGCGCTGCTACAGGTAACGGAAATGGTGCTGGCAACGGAAATGCCAACGGCAATGGCAACGGCGCTGCCGCCACCACCACGTCAGCCGCCGCTTCTACTCAAACCGGTGCTACTGGCTCGAACTCCACTACGGGAGGGAACACTGGCTCTGGCCGTGGAGGAAGATTCGGTGGTGGGCGAGGCCGCTTCGGCCGTGGACGTGGACGATTCGCCGCCCGAGACCTCATTGCATGATTTTCCACTCTATCAACGTGTGTGATGACGCCCAAAAAAGCACGAGACCAGAAAAAGGGACGTTAGCCGTCCCCACATGATGCAGCATTATCCCTTTTATTTTCTTTTCTATGTCATAGAGTGTATAACCAGAATCAGTCCTTCTGCTTTCGAGGGCCAGACGCCGGGAATTGGGCAAGTGTGTTTTGGCGAGAAATGACGAGCAAGGAGCGGCAAAGCTGGGGGCAGCAGAAGTCAGTGCCAAATGGAGCTCTGATTTGGAGGCGGGCGTGCGGGATCGAACACGACCTGTGAAGCAAAATTAGCCGCGGGCATGTGGATAGTCGATTAGCAAGCTGAATTGAATCGAGAGACTCAGAACCAGAAATCGAATGCTCTTGTGTTCTGTAAGCATTCTGATACTCCAGAGGTCCCTAACACACGGGCGCTCAAGGCGCTATACCAACAACAAGCTCTGCATATTTTGTGTGAGCGAGGCCCAGACTTGTCCGAATGTCCAATCGCATCGGGCATCAACCAATTGATTGATCAAGGAACGCTTGGATGCGATTGCCCCTTGAAACATCGCCCTGCTTACACACGGAGGGCCAGTTCGTCTCAGAAGAAAGTCTCTCACTACGGATATAGATGTCTCCGGTCTCGTCTCCTGGAAGTTCAGGTACCATAGCCTCACCCACACTACCGACTATAGTTCTGGCCCATCAATCCTCCTTCCTTGGACCTGCGGGTTGGGGGGTTCGCCTCACCGACCGTTTGGGCTACGTTGGCCTGGCCAAGGCCGAGGACGGTCAGCCACCATCAACACAACAACGAAGAGCAAGCAATAATGGCTCCATCGCAGACTGGCAGACACGCGTGTTTCCATGGTATCTGGTCTCTCATCTTCAACATTATATTGAGATCACTGCTGCCATGGGTCTCGGTCTACTGCTGGTGAATGAGATCCAATCGCTGTGGACAACATGGACGGCCTGATACATCTCCACGTTCCCTTTCTCCCAACCACGGTAGAAGAAAAAAAAGCACTGGAAGTGCTGGCATGACGGTTAAGTCGCCATTTTCACGGGTCTGCTATATACCATTTTCAAGATGCAGAGAGGCCTGGGTTGCAATTTCTTTTAGTAAACCCTCCTTGACCCTCCTGACTCCCAGGAGCGAGAAATACTAGAGGATGTGCTGTGGTCGGCCGTAGAGAATGCGTCATCGCCACACAGTCGACCGTAGTCTTTCCAAAACTGACATCATTTATTTTGTCCATGTTCAGATTCATCTCACCAAGGTCTCACCAACCACACATTCAGCCAGTTCACTGTCCGAACAGTACATGACAAAGGCCAAGTTGATGAATGCCGACCAAGCCTGATCATGTTGGAGCAGCTGGGCCGTCCTGGTCAGGAGGACAGGGCGATGTGCTCGCGCTGCCCATAGTCCCTCAGCCCCGTCACTGCAGATGGCAAAGAGTTGCGTTCTGCGGTTCGCGCGATTGCAGTCTTCATCAACGCTGGCACGACCGACAAATGGCTACAGCTGAAACTTGGTTTACGCACGCGCAACAAGCGAGTCAATTAACCTTCAGGACAGTGGCGCTCTCAGAAGCTATCGGTAAGAATAAGAACTCCCCATCAGAGTGCAGAGGGACTCGGGTCGACATTAATCCACGGGCACATCTACCCGCGAAAAGAACAGGAGCTTTGGATCGGAAAGGCGTCACCCACACACGCAGTGTCCGGTGCCCCAATCACGCGTCGCGTCGACACCCGTTCCCCCAGCAGTGTCTTTAGGGTTGCCCTCGCACTACCAAGGATGAATTGGGCTGAATTGCAGCGTACTGTCTTCTGGGAGCCGGAAATATTCAGTGTGTCACATACCTCAAAGCTGCATGCGGTTCTGCCAAGCGGGCTCCACTGTCTGGGTAGGTGCGTGAAATCACTATTTCGGACGGTCGCAGTTGCAGGTTGAGCGCGAAGCGTACGGTCGAGGACGAGGTAAGCACCCCATGTCGGTGCCATGACACGTCTCCTTTCCCTTTGCGGCATCGACTAATCCAAAACCAGGTCATTTGTATGGTCAATGGTTGACCCAAGCCGGGGTCGCATGGTCTGCCTGTTTTTCTGAAACATTTGGTTCCACGCGGGAATTCATAGGAAGAAACCCGCGACTGGTTTGCCGGTCAAAGATTCGTTATCGTGGTGACAGAGCTCTGTCAAGATCTCGACGAAGCCCAATACTTGGATAGACGAACCTCGAGCCTCCACGAGGGTCTCGTCCGAGAGAAGTCAATGGCGAGCGCTGGAAGTTGGAGCCGAGGATCAGACCGTGGATGGACGCTGTAGGCAAAAACACTAGGGCTGTTTCGATTACCCAGACCATTCGCTATTGGAATCCCGCTTACCAACAGTGGTGAATGCTGGCAGTGCCAGTGATCAGTTGTTGGGCAGCGTTGACCACCTGGACGCTTTTTCGACTTGACCCAACTGTAAAGGCTGGAGGATGGCTGACAGTGATGGTGACTCCAATGGGTTGATGAGTTGATCAAGGGCACAATGCTCTGCAAGGTTCGTGCTCGTTGGACTGCCAGGAGACTGGGTTCTTTGGGGGGTGAGGTCCTTGGTCGGAGCCGTGTCCAGCCATTCTCACAGCAGGATATGTGCGCGGCTGCTGCTTTCGTGCAGGGCATCGAGGACCGCGCCAACTAGCCATCATTTCTATATGTAAGATGAGTGCTGAAATCAACAATTGTGCCATTTGCCAGTGTGTTTCTGTCTGTCCTTCTCTCGACCATCCATAGTCAAATGCTGATCGAGATCCGGGAACCGAGACCCGGGGACCGCGACCGAGGCATCGACCAGTCAGATGGGCGGGATTCTGGGTGTCATAACCTCGTAAGCCTTCATTGAGCCTGATATGCACCGATCATGTGTGGACGACTCGACGACTTGACGACTCGCCAGACTGTCTCCCGAGGCATGGAATCGGCAGGACTGGCTGACGGGATGCCGTGGGCGCGGGGAACCAACCACCAAGGCAGTTGCGGTTGCTCTGAATGGTGCAAATGGTGTTGGTGCTGGATGTATCGACAAACAAGAAGCGCGACCCCGCCCGTCCCTGGTGTTGACCTCGTCGTATTGACTCGTACGTATACATATCCTCCGCCTGAATCTGACGGCTGCGACAAAACTGGCATGCTCACTCTAGAATGATCGCTCTTCTGAAGAGGGCTGCTCCTTTTCACTTGACAACGACCACTGTGCAGCCATGATCCTCTCCTTATTCCAGATTGCCGCAGCAGGCACAGTCCTGGGCGTGATTTCTCACCTGGCGTATTTCATCCATGGCGAACACCATCGGCAAGCGTTCCAGTATTTTGTGGCTTTTCTGACGTTTCCTGTCATCGCAACCGCCGCGCAGGTCACTCTCGGGGTGAGCCTGGTGTTGGCTGTCCAGCAGACTGCCGCCTTCTACACCACATACCTAACAGGGCTATACTCGAGCCTTTTCCTCTACAGAACCTTCTTCCATAGACTGCACTCGTTTCCCGGCCCATTTGGAGCAAAGGTGTCGAAACTATGGCACGTCTGGAAGGTGGCTCCGACCATCGACAACTACAAGCACATGACTAGAATGCACGCGAAATACGGGACCTTTGTTCGGACCGGTTCGTGGTAGCGCTGAGAAGATGGGGACGACGACGACGACGACGGTGTGTTTGCTGACCTTCTCAACAGGACCAAATGAAGTTTCCATCGTCCATCCCGATGCGGTCGAAGTGCTTTATGGAGCATCCTCCAAATGTACCAAAGGAGCTGGATACGAAGGCAACTCTGACTTGACGTCGATGCATTCGACAAGATCAAGACGGCATCATGATCTCCGTCGGAAAGCGTGGGCTCGAGGGTTCACACAAAACTGTAAGGATAGCATTGGATATCGAGTGCTCTACTCTACTGACGTGTTTTAATTGTTCAGCGCTTCGCGAATATGAACCTCGCGTTGAACGGTACACCCAGAGCCTCGTCGAACAGATCCGGGCCTTTTCTGGACAGCCGATCAACGCCGCACAGTGGTTCAACTATTACAGTTTCGATGTCATGGGGGATCTGGCTTTCGCGAAAGACTTCGACATGCTCAAGAATGGACAGAAGCATTGGGCCATCGAGATCCTCAACGCTGGGCAGCGCGGCATTGGAGTCTTTGGACCTGTGCCATGGCTGTTCATCATCATCAGCAGCATCCCTCAAATCACTAAAGAATTCCGGAGGTTCATCAAGTTCTGTGAAGATATGATGGACGAAAGAATGAAGATGAAAGTCAACAAACCAGACATATCCTCCTGGATTTTGCAGTCTCCGCCCATGACGGATACCGATTACAGCGAACGTGCCTGGCTCACTGGCGACTCGCGGTTGATCATTGTGGCTGGAAGTGACACGACTGCGGCCACCTTGACGCATCTTTTCTATCATCTGGCCAAAGATCAATCTCAACTCGAACTCTTGAGAGAAGAGATTCAGTCTCTGAGTGGCGATCTGCAAGCCTCCAAACTGCTCACTCTCAAGCATTTGAATGGTGCGATCAATGAGGCGCTCAGGCTTCACCCACCTGTTCCCAGCGGAGTTGCCAGGCTCACGCCACCAGAAGGCATCACTGTGGGAGGTACATATATTCCCGGTAATGTCAATGTGTTGGCACCTTCATATCCTTTGTGCCGTTGTGAGTTGACCCCTCCCGATGTGTGGACCGGCGCTGAAGATCACCCCCAGCCCCAGAATGCTATGAATATCCAGATGAATTCATTCCAGAGCGGTGGTAAGCGAACAACCATATGACTCTGTCAGCTCACTCAGCTAATGATCTTTTCAGGTACAGTAAGCCAGAACTGTTGAAGCGCAGCGATGCGTTTGCTCCTTTCCTTATAGGTGAGCTTACCTCCCTGCCTCCTCGTTCCACTGTGCTCTGACGTTCGTCTTCCTTAGGCCCATATTCTTGCATCGGCAAACAGCTTGCTTTGATGGAAATCCGCTCCGTGACTGCTCAGATACTCTTGAACTTCGACGTCACATTTGGTCCTGGTGAAGACGGGACAACTCTGCTTGAGAAGACTCTCGACACCTTTACCATGGAACTGGCACCCCTGAGTCTGTGCTTTACTCCGCGCAAGCAGGAGGCCGAAGCTTGAAAGGGCGTGAAATCTGGACTGTGTCCGAACAAGCCGCCAGAAAAGAGAGCTGGCTGTCCCCACTGTCGTTCTTCAGAGTTATAATGCTGCCTTCAGCAGGCGGAGGTCATGATGTATCTGGATTCCTCATGATGTATCTGGATTCCTCATGATGTATCTGGATTCCTCATGATGTATCTGGATTCCTTAAGTCCAGCCCCAGCATGTTGGGGGTTGTCTTCTCCTCGAAGATGGATTGGTGTCAGTTGGCAAATGCTATACAGATAGATGCTCTCGCTCACTGACAACTATCTGATCGAGGGGGTAGTCGCATCAGCTTCTGGTTTACGTACGTCAAACTCGAACGCCTAGAGAGACAATAGTAAGCTAAGACTTATCACAAAGAGGTCTACATGCTTTAGAAGCGGGGGGTGATTTATCAGCGCTGATTAGAAATTGAGGCTGTTGTCCTTGCTCAACCTCCTGACCCTGAGGCGCGTGATGAGGGAAGCTCCAGGCACCGCCAGGCAGAAAGACGCAGGCCGGCTTGCCGGGATTGAGAGAGCGCGCCAAATCACCTGACGGCGCGTTTCTCGCTGATCTCGAAACTTCAGGTTTCAATGGCCGTAGGTAATGGTGGTGTCGATCCTCGTATGTCTGTGGCAGTAAAGAGGGAAAGAGAACGTCTCTCGTATTCCGGACACTGAGATACGTCGGCGGCGGGACAATTTAACCCGCCTGCTTGCTATGAGTGTTCTCTCCCCAGGCTGCGGCGACGAACAATTTGCGAGAAAGAGAAGGGGGAGAGGAATATAAAAAGGGCAACGCCAAAGGTGAGCTGGATTCTACTCTTTGCTCTTTTCTCAACAAGCGAGGCAAGCGAACGACGTTCTTCGAATCCACAGTCAGAGAGAGCCACAGTCCTCGACTCTAGTCGCACTTCACCCTTGCTTGACGTTGGCGATATATTCCAACCGCAAAGCAAAAGACATCTCCAAAACCTTTGACGTTTTTAGAATCCAGTGAAGTCTTGGAAAGGAAAAAACAAAAACAAAATGGCCAATGTGAAGGTAAAATCAAATCGCCGACCTGCGCCGGCGCCCTTTCTTCTCAGTCTTTTTCTGTCTGACTCCCTGCTGTTTTGGGCCTCGCTGAACCACCACCCCCGACATTAGATCGTCTCGCAGGCTGAGTACCTCCCTCTCCGCCTGTCTCTCCTTGAGGCCGAAAAGGAGAACACGCGGGCTCGCGACGTGCTTGCCCACCAGCGCCGAGCGCTGCCCGTGGTCGAAGTCACAAGCCCGTACACCTTCACCGACGAGGACGGGAAGGAGGTCAACCTCACGGACCTTTTCGACGGACGCCCTCAGCTGATCATCTACCACTTGATGTTCAGCCCGGACTGGGATGCCGCATGTCCCAGCTGCTCTCTGTTGGGCGACTCGGTTCCGGACCTGCGCCACTTGAAGGGCCATTCGACCACGTTCGTCGCCGTGAGCCGTGCCCCGATCGACAAGATCCGGGCATACAAGAAGCGCATGGGCTGGACATTCCCCTGGGTCTCGTCGTCAGGGTCGAGCTTCAACTACGACTTCGGAGCTACGCAAGACGAAGCGGTCAAGCCCATCAACTACAACTTCAAGAACAAAGCGGAAATGGAGAAGCGGGGCATATCCTACTTCGCAAAGGGCGAGCAACCCGGCCACTCGGTCTTCGTGCTCGGCGGGCAACTGACCGGCGTCGGCGACGAGGGCAAGGTCTATCACAGCTACAGCAGCTACGCGCGCGGTGGAGAGCCCATCATCAACACCCTTACCTGGCTGGATATGACTCTATTGGGCAGGCAGGATGGCGTCAGCGGTGTGGGGGGACTGGGATTCAAGAGGCATGACGAGTACACGGCTGAGGACTTGAAGGGACTGCCGATTGCGAAGATTGGTGCTTGAAGTGAGGACTCGGGGACGGGGTGGGTGTCGGGATCTGCTGGTCAGTGAGGTGGTCGGATCAGCTGTTGTTGGAATGGGATGAGAAGAGAAGCCGGGTGAAAAGGTCTTGGAAGCAATCAATGCAATTGTTTTCTCTTCCTTGTCCTCCTTTTCTATTACTCAGCGAGTCAGTAACAGCCCTGTTCGGCTGCCATCTTTTGGCCCCCATTGTCCTAATTGTCTTCCTGCTTCGGAATGGCGCCGTAGCGTGCCCAAGCGTGCTCGGCGTCGAGATCGTTGGCCACATGCATGTCGAGTCATCGTTAGCCCAAAACGCCATCTCGCCTTTGGACCAATCGACCAGGAAGCCGCCGTTCTTTGCTTGGAACCCAATATCAGTCGTCCTGCCCGCTGGGCTCAGAGAAGATGCCCGCTACAACTTAATTCTGGCCCTTGTTTGCTTGTTTCATTGACTCAGCAGTGCCTGCTACTCGGCTCGCCGGACACCCTAGGCAGTTAGTGTCAAGTGAGCGGACACCTTACAAGACAAGAGAGAGGATAGGGCTATACGAAGCTAGCAATATGTGCTGTAAGTAGCGACTGTACGCGACACTAACGGGACTGGCCATTTTCAGCTGGTCGCACATGTGTGAAATGAAGTGTAAAAGTGTATTGGACTATTCTCAATCTATCTGGTCGGAGAGGCTGCTTTTATAGCCATAATTACTAGCGTCTTAGCGTATTTCACACCCTTCCCCCACTAGACTCGACCTAGTGCGTATAGTTACGACCTAATACGCACGGGAGTTACGACCGATTGCGACGGGGACCGAGCCGGGCCATTTCACTTTTTGCTCACTGTTGACCTCACTTTCTTTTCACTTAGTCCTCGCCGTTGCTTCTATTCTAGTTGGCGCCATTCCTCCTTTGTCATTGTGGAGAGTTCGTCGTAACTAAGTGTATTCGAGTTCTCCTTCTCGAATAACTCTGTGACTTTAGGCGATGGTTCAGTTAGTTCGATTTTCCGTTTTCGAAGAGCTCCTTAAATCTTTGAGGAATTCTAGAGGGTCTTAATTTCGTTGTCGCCGCAGTTCGCGGCTATAAGTCGTTGTCCGTTGACGAGTGTCTTTACGACATTGCCCTGTGGGTCTGCGATCGCGTACGTACCCAGGGCTAGTGCTTTAACAACTTTATATAGGCCATACCATCGAGTTTCGAACTTTGCACGGGCTTCCGCTCGCACTAGAACCTAGTCGCCTACGATAAATGGCGAAGATTTGACCCTATCTACGCGAATCTTTTATACCTTAATCGCCTTCTTAACTAGCCGTTCGTTCGCGATTATCCGGGCGTGCTGCATCCGTTCAATGCGTTCTAAGCTGTTCTCCCGGTTAGCCTCGGTGATTATTTATAGTCGTAATTCGTTGTGATCACCCGGGAGGCGAGGTTATCGTTCGTATAGTAGGTAATACGGCGACTAGTTTATACCCGAGTATACGCGGATACGTATTGCGAAGATCGCCTATTATAGATACTAATTCTAGAGAATCGTGAGTTTATTAGTTAGTAACTTCGTTAATACGGTTCCGAGGATATTATTAAAGTTCTTAATCTTTCCGTTAGTGCGGGGGTAATAAGGGCTAATTACGCGGTGTTTTAATTAAAGTAAACGTAAGTATACCTTAAGGATAAGACCAATAAATTACGTTTCATTATCTAAGAGAATTTCTTATATTAGCTCGTAAACTATCGTAACGTAATTATATAGTGTGAGAATTACTATCTTAATCTTCGCATCGGGTAAGGCCACGATAATAGATTATTTCGTTAAATATTTAATGGCGGTGAAGATTCATCGATTATCTACGGGCGTTTATGGAAGGATATCGATGAGGTCTACGGCTCAGCGATCGAATATATTTAGATTACGCCTTAATAGAACCTATAGAAGTTCTCGTTTTTAGTTCGTTCGTTGTTATTATGCGTATTAATATACCGGGTAGTATTTTATAAAGCTACGAATATCTCTTTCGATCGATAGCCACTAGCCGCGATTAGTTACGATTCCCATTAGGCCCGGGTAACCTAGATAGCTAAATTCGATGTAAATACGTTCTACGAAATCAGCTCTAAATATATAGAGAAGATAGAGAGAAGGTCCTCATTCCGACTAATATATTAGTTAGTCATCGTTATTCGTCGTAAACTCGTATTTATAGACGTAAATGAGCTCTCGGAAGGTTTCTAGAGATTCTCTATCTTATTTAAGTAGTTAAACTATATATTCGGTCTATTCGTCTTCGTCTAAATCCGCGGTTCTAACCGCTGCGACTCGTACCGCTTAATTCCGAGAGTCTTCGCTTATCTAGTCTAGTCGACGGGAGCATCGGCAATTTTTCCCGCGGCCCAGAGCATTCCCGAATGCCGTGGTGGCCCAGCGAGCCCAGCGCCGCTCATGGGACGCTAAGCTAACATCTGTGAGAGCCCACGTCTACTATTAGTTATCAACGCCGCCCTACTATAACTATAAGTGCGCATTATATTGCTTAATATATCCTTAATCGATACTCGTAGTCATAAAAGGGCGGGCAGTGCTGAACAATTCATAGTGTTGGCTGTGTGCCATTCTTTACAGATTTAATAGAGTATTCTATATTTTTAATGTCGTCTATCTATTCCTAAGTATTTCGTCGGCTCTTTCTTACTTCTTAACGCCGTCGCCGTGCTAGACGCTCTCTACTTTAGCCGCTGCCTCCCTAGGGGTGGTGTTAGTTATGATGTTACCCTGTCAGCGTTAACTAGAAACGGATTCTCGATTCCCGATCTACTGAATAGGTCTCTATACGTTGTTATATATATACGCCGAATCCTAAAGTGCTCTATTACACTATGTCTTAGTACATTTATTCGAAGCCTATAATTAAATCCGTACTTAGTTATATTTAGTTATATTAAGCACATTATATTCTAGTATATATATAGAGTACTACTATATCTATTTATATCTAGTTATTTCTATTTATATTTAGTATATTTACGTTTAATTATACGTACTATCTATTACTTAATTATTTATATTCGATACTAATTATTTATAGTAGCCTTAGTGTTTCTTAGATTGTGGTAGTTTTATTCTCTTAATCTAACTACGCTTATTATTCTTATTATTCGATAATATAATAAGTTTATCGTCATTAACATCTATCTTATTACCCGCTCCACTTAACTCATCACTATCGTCTTTCTTCGAATCGTCGTTTAAGGTATCGATAATCACTATATTTACGATTTTATTTAGTATTTATAAATTAATCCGGTTAGCGAATTCCTCTCGACCGAGTCTTCTTTAGTGTAAGGTTACTTTAGACGAGAAGTTATCGTAGTATAATTTAAAGATATTAAGATCATTCTAGTTAAAGTTACCTCTACGTAATATTCGATCGATTATTTACTCGTATAGTCCGGGGTCGCCTTACTATTTCATTAAAATAACGAATTAAGCTCTTATTAATATTAGACCCGTACCTAATACTTCTAATACACCAATAAGAATATTAACTTTATTTCCATCCTAGAAGTCAACTAATATCTAGTGACGTAGAGCTTTATCTATAGAATCGTATACGAAGGCCGTAATAATCTTAAATAATAAAGCCTAAGTCATTACGTTCTTAATATACTATACTCGGTTAGTCTCTAATCATAGTTATTTCTTTAACCCGAATATATCTTAAATATAACGAGGGTAGTTTCGTTATTCTTCGCGAAAACAATACTCTTCGAGAGTCTTCTAAGAAAGTCTATTTTCTAGAGCTACTTAATAAGAATAGACTATAGAATCGGGAATTTCGGAGCGTTATTTATTAGAAGTATTAGATGTTAGTAGTATATACTTTTAGCCGCGTCGTCGATATTTTTAGTGAAGACTTTTTATTTCTTTATATATTTCACTTCGAAGTCGAATTTTTTAGAGTTATCTACGATCTTTAGATACTTATTATTAGCGTAGACTCTTACGAGTCCCGGTAAAGTCGTATATTTCTGTAGAATCGAGAATAAACTACTAAATATCGGCTCGCTACCCGTTATTTCACTTTTATTCTTAATTATTTATAGTTTATTATTAAAACTTTTATAAAGTATTATTCTAACGTAGTTTATATTTATCTTACTTATCTAAATCGTATAAAGACGATAATGTATACGCGGAAGCGAAAGAAGAACCTTTTTATTAAGCTACTTAGTATCTCTCGTACGCTAAATTATAATTACTAATAGTAACGCCATTTATTTTATCGTATATTACTTCTTCTCTCTTAGCTACTAAGTAGTTAGTTCGCACAGTCCGAACGGCGTATACGATCTCTAGAAATCGTTCTTCATACGTAACTTTATTTACTACTAATTTTTAGATTAGTTTAGCGATCTTAGGGTAACACCGTTTAAAAGTTCCTTACGTTTCTTAAGGTACGCGTAGAGTATTTAGAGAGAAGATATTTCTACTAAGTCTCTTACGCCGAGTCGAATTAGTATATCTAATATTATTATAATCTTAGACGTTGTGAGACGATCTCATCTAGAGCGCTTAAAGATAAGTTTCCGCGCATTCATCATTATTAAGTTCGAGATACTTAGTTTCTAATGAAATTTATCTCGAGCGTATCGGCTATATAGAAGTTTATGAATTTCGGTATTAACTATATTTATCTTATATAATAGCGCGGCGATAATAAAGACGTATCGATAAAGCTCGATAAGAGACTTTTCGGCTCGTGTAAAGAGAGTACGGGCATCGTTCTTTTCTATATAGAGTTTCCGAATATTAGTTTTTATTACTTTATTACTTATCTATAGCCGAGCGCGTTAAGTCTTCTTACCCGACTCTTTAGTTATTTATACGTAGACGTAGAACTTAAATTTATTCGTCTTTATATTCACTTACTTATATTATTCTTTAATTATATTAATAAGAAGAGTATTAGATATTACTAATATCATCGTCTCTAGTATAGATCGTATCT